AAAGATACAAACGTAGTGATCCGAAGGGGCACGTGCACCCGAATGTTTATAGCAGCAATGTCTACAATAGCCAAACTATGGAAAGAACCTAGACGTCCATCAACAGACGAATGGATAAAGAAGATGTGGTATATATACACAATGGAATACTATGCAGCCATCAAAAGAAATGAAATCTTGCCATTTGCGATGACGTGGATCGAACTAGAGGGTATCATGCTTAGCGAAATAATTCAATCGGAAAAAGACAACTATCATATGATCTCCCTGATATGAGGGAGAGGAGATGCAACATGGGGGGTTAAGGGGGTAGGAGAAGAGTAAATGAAACAAGATGGGATTGGGAGGGAGACAAACCATAAGTGACTCTTAATCTCACAAAACAAACTGAGGGTTGATGGGAAGAGGGGGGTTGGGAGAGGGGGGGTGGGGTTATGGACATTGGGAAGGGTATGTGCTATGGCGAGTGCTGTGAAGTGTGTAAACCTGGTGATTCACAGACCTGTACCCCTTGGGATAAAAATATATGTTTTTTAAAAAATAAATAAATAAATAAAATAAGTGACCAAAAAAAAAAAATTCTCATCCATATTCACATTCATTCTGCTTTATTAGCAGAGAAGTCAGCACCTAACAACTAGGCTCCTGTCACTGATTCAGTGAAAACCATCAAATCTTTGTACTCACTGAAAATATTCACCAGGTATAAAATTATGCCAACACATGTATTTTTGACCTTAACAATAATTATTAACAGGACCATATACCAAATAAGAATATGCTATGAGCTTTAGTTTACTAAAACTACTGTTGGTTCTAAACACTTAAATCAATAATTTGGCATGCAATTGTCCAAATAATTATAAATATACAACCTATATTATTATTCAAGCCATATTTCTCCAGCTATTTATGAAGGTATTCAGGAGGAGAAAAAGCCTTGTTAAAATCAAGATCTATTATCACCCATTGTATATAGTGTGTAATGTATATACACATGCTCCTTTGCAACCACCAAAGTCTTACACTATTCTTTTTTAACATATACTGTATTATTTGTTTCAGGGGTACAGGTCTGTGATTCATCAGTCTTACACAATTCACAGCACTTACCATACCATATACCCTTCCCAATGTCCATAACCCAGCCATCCCAACCCTCCCACACCACTCCCCTCCAGCAACCGTCAGTTTGTTTCCCAAGATTAAGTCTTAAACTGTTCTATACATTACCAGTTCTCTCCACTCAAACATCATTAGTCTATTTTGCCTATATACATATTATAATTTAATAAATATGCCTAGTGCTCTCAATTGTGTCAGAAATAATTTTCTTTTTTCAAAATACTAGTAAAAGATCACTCATACTTTACATTCACTATATTCACTAACTATACAATAATGTTTGTACTTGAAATGAGTTAGGCATAAACAAACAAAAGTTCCTTCACCAAATGTTGTATACAACCGTGAGTGGCCAGACAGATCATGACTGCTCTAACTTCTTCCTAACTCCAACCAGGCAACTCAGTGACTATCACTTGCAGGATGAAAAGGTGGTGGCTACCACAGTAATTACCATTTCTACTACTACCACCAGCATTACCAAGTACAAACATCAAGACTGAAGTAATCCTAGGCCTCAGGTCATCCCTTATCACTAGTAGAGTCATTCTTTTGCTATTTTTGTCCCTTTCCTTCATTTCGAGAAGAACTATGTGTTCCTATCTGTCTAGATGTTTGATACTACATTTACTTTGCTCCTAAATATTCATATCTTCCTAGTTCCAACTGCCTATTTGGCTTTTGACCTACTGTCTTTGTTGAATCTTATATTACATGGATGCCCTGAAAAAATGGCCAAATGGGTCTAATTTATTGTCAACCCAACAGCCGAAGGCCTAATACTTCTGACACTGCTAAATCTGGAAGCTCCCTTCATAGTGCTTCTCTTTCCAGTAATAGAAAAATCTAGATGTTCAGAAAAATCCCTCTCAGTAAAGAAAAGTTAAAATGCTAGGAGTAGGAATAAAGATATACACGTAAATATATATAAACACATATGTGTATTTATATATATTTATATATGTCTATGTATGCACATGTTTAAATTAGTAATACAACTTACATTAATGGTATAAAGGGGAAAAAACATTTTAATTTCAATAGATGTAGGAAAAAAGCATCTGATAATATTCACCAGTTTCTCTTCATAGAAACTCTTAACACACTAAGAATAGAAGTCAATTTTCTTAAATTCCCTGATAAAGGGAATCTAGAAAAACCTTATAGCAAACATCACATTCATTGATGAAATACTGATTTCTTTAAGAAATAAGAGTAAGACAAGGATGCCCACAATACCCCCTTTTCTGAACATTGTAGCAGAGCACAATAAGAAAAAGAAATAAAAATTCTTAAGGACTGGAAAGGAAGAAACAAAAGTATCATTTGCAAATGGTACAAGTATCTACTTAGGAAACTCCAAAGAATCTTATTAGCAATAAAAAAAAGTTCACTATGGCGGTGAGTATAAAATTAACATAAAAGGATCAAGCACATTTGTACATCTTACTACCAGATTAGAAAATGCCATTTTACAAAATATCCCATTTGTACTAACGAAACAACAATAACAATAACATAAGGTACCTAGGAATTTATGCAAATAATTATATTTTGTAACAGAGGCACAAAAACCTTAGGTTGAAATATTTTATTTTAAACTTTGTAGAAAAACACTGGAGAAGACCTAAAGAGACAACGAAGTATATATTCGAGAATAGAAGAGTTAAATATTATATCAATTCTCAGTATAATCAATATTGTCAATTCTCTGCCTGGGTTAAACATCTGCCTTCGACTCAGGCTCAGGCTGTGATCTGGGATAGAGCCCCACACTGGGCTCCCTGCTCAGCGGGGAGCCTGCTTCTCCCTCTTAATCTCCCTCTGCCTGCCACTCACCCTGCTTCTGCTCTCTGTCAAGTAAATAAATAGAATCTTATATTCTCAATTCTCCCCAAGTATATCTATGGATTTAATAAAATTCTTGTAAGAATCCAAATAGGCTTCTTCAGAGAACTTGACAAACTGACTTCTAAAATGAATACGAAGGAGTAATTAAAAATAACCAAGATAACTCCTTAAAAAGGAAATGTCAGATAGCAATATGAGACTGTAAATAGGTGGTGCAAATAGGCCAATGAAGCATAATAAAGAACTTTGAAACAGACCCGACATATATTAGCACTTAAGAGATAACAATAATGGACTATGTATCAACAGGAAAAAAGGACAGATCAGTCAGTAACTGATGGTGCAGTAACTGATTAGACAAATGCACATCAAATTAAAGAAAAAAACAATTCCATATAGACTAAAAACTTAAAAAGAAACATTGAAAAACATTTAACAGAAAACATAAGAGAATAGCTTCATAATCCTGAGAAGGTAAGGTATTCTTTAAGATATAAAAATAGTTATCACCCAAGAAAATACTGGTAAATTCAGTATATTCAGAAAATACTGATAAATTCAGTATATTCAAATTATTCAAAATTAAGAATATTTGTTGGTCAAAAGACAATAAAGTGAAATAAGCCTCTAATGAGATGAAAATGTATGTTAAACTTATAATATTAGAAGTATAACATAAAACATATAAAGAATTCCTGTGGACAAAAAAAAAAAATACAAATGATTCAATGGTAAAATGGGCAAAAAACAATAACCATCAACAGGCACTTCACAAAAGAAAACATATAAGAATATCTTAATAAAAAATCAGCTTAATTAAAGAAATATAAATTAACATTGCAGTGAAATACCATTCCACATTTACCACACAACGTAAAAATTTAAAAGTCAGAATATACCAATTGTTGACAAGGATGTGGAATAATGGGAATTCTTATCTAATACAGGAAGGACAGTAAATACTGGTGAACACAAGTACTTTGGGAAACAGATTTGTACTTTCTAATAAAATTGAAGATGCATTTAACCTACAATCTAGCTGTACCACTCTTAGGTAAATATCCTTGAGAAACTCATGCACATGTACTAAGAGATGTGAGAACTGTAATAGCAAAAATATAAAATGAGCCAAAGATCCATCGACAGTAGAATAGCTAAGTTGTAATATAATCTCTTAACAGACTATTAGGTATCAGCGAAAATTGAATGAACCACAGATACATGAATGAACAGATGAATCTCAAACAAAATGTATAGCAAAAATTTTCCAATTAAAAAAATATATTAGTAGGAGTTCATACAAATAAAGTTCAAAACATAGCCATTTATGAGTATATACATACATGGTAAAACTATACAGAAAAGCAAAGGAATGGGTAACACAAAATTCATGTTAGTGGTTATTCCATTAAGAGTCTTGAAGAAAATCTGGTAATGATAATATTCTTTGAAGGAGCCTTCACAGTACTAGTAATGTTTTCATTCTTAGTTTGTGTAATTGGTTGGTAAGGTCACAGTTCTTTATTATTCTTGAAACTGTGTGTATATAATTTACATTCCTTTTATATATGGTAAGTTCCAGAATAAAAATACAGCAGCAAAAAATTTTTGGAGAGAATATATAAGGATCACAATATCTTATAAAAGTAGCTATTTTGAAGAAGCCAAATAACCTCTGATTTGCACTCAATTCACCAATGAGAAAATAAACCAAGTTTTTCAGACTACAAAGAAACGAACAAATGTGGAAATTGATTTAACTTAAGTTTGATTAGAAATGGCCTCAATAGTTGAATAGCTCTGAAGAGTTCAAATAAAAAAAGGGTCCCTGCTGGTCATTCAAGGAAGATGTAACTGGTATTTTTTATCTGACTGAAGAGCATCATTAATGAAATTTAAAAGTGTTCTCATTAAAATTATTTAAATTTTAATATAATATCTTCAAAACAAAATGTACTTTTCATCAAAATATTACCAATTTCTCAAACCAATCATAAATTTTAAGAGATTGAATTCATTGTTACCTGTCATTCCATGACTTCTCATTCTTCCCATTTTGTATTCTGCTTTCAGAGATGGTAAAAGTGCTGCTCCAATGGCTATACCATCTAACATGGCACTGAATTTAAGAACAATGGGCTTCTTTTCTAAACCTTCGGGTAACTGAGGAAATTCATTTGTTTCGATAGGAGTTTGATTAACACTTGTCGGAGTTTTTTCAGAAGGTAGGGGTGTTGCAATATCTTCTTTCATAGGCTGTGGGCTATAAAACAAAAAAATCACTTAAAAATATGTAATTAGAACAGCTACCATTTTATTCTATGAAATTACTAGAATTCATAATGAAAAATAGCAAAAATTAACTGTATACAGAGGTCTTCTAATACAAGACCACCTTAAGACTTCCTAAAAAAAGCCACAGAAAAATGATCTAGAAAAGTAAACAAGAAATAATAAAAATACAAATGAATGTTATACTGTCAAGGCCAATCATATCCTTAAATTGAAACTAGAGTTAAGACTCATGTTTGATTTCAAATTCTACGACTTAAGCATTGTGCACTTTACTACTCCCTCTAAACTACTGTTAACACACCAAAGACCAATTTAAAGTATTACACAGAATCAGAGAACTTGAAGAAATAACTTACGCTGTAGAAGGCTGTCTGATAAGATCTGAGATCTGCTTAGATAGTTGGTGGGAACTTCGAACCATCATGCTATGTAAGGTGGCAGGGTGCTGGGGAATGTTGATGCTGATAGCTCCTACTTTGAACACGGCAGCATTGTTAGTCTTCAACCCTCTCTGGGCACTATAGAGGGCTTGTGACTTGGCAATACTACATTTCACTACAGTTCTATTAATAAAGAAGGAGGAGCATTAAAAGACAGCCAAATAAAGAGAAATATTGAAAAAGTATTTTAAGAGTAAGACAATGCTTTTAAATCATTCAATGAACTAAATGACTTAAGATTTTTCATGCATTTAAATCATATATTGAGGAAATATTTTATAAAAACATTGAAATATATTTATTTTATATTGTTTTCATTGAAAACCATTCTATATCTTAACAGAGTTTATGGAAGAAAACATGTATGTGCTTATAAGTAAAAGAATGAACACTGACATACGACATGTATACAACACACAAAATTCCATCTTTATTTTTCCTCCATTCAGAACTCCTCTTTTTGCCTCCAGCTTCTTTTAGGGATATGTGTAACCACTAAGAAAAGCATAGATGCTGAATATCTAACAAAATACTCACTATACTTGCTATACTTCTTAGAATCTAATCAAAGGAATTCATCAATCATCTAATATGTTGGAAGAAATTAACAAGAAGGAAGAAATTTAACTTATCTTTTCCATTTTTTTAAATTTTCAACAAGTGTCAAAGAAATGTTAGAAGTCCATTTCATGATAAGTAACTATTAACTTAGTTAAAAATTAGTAAGCTTTACTGACATAGACATAAAGCAGAGATACTATCTTTCTTGATTTCTTTTCTTGCTTAAAATGCCTACAACAGTTCATTGAGCATGGTGACTCTCATTGAATTTTGTGAAACAATAAGCAGAAAGAAGTAGAGCAGGGGAATGACTCCCTCCACTATAGCTGTGGAATTCCACAGATAATGTGTGATGTATGTAGAAGCCATGATGAAGCAGTTTTCATGTATAGAATGCAAAGGCTCATGTCAATGAACTGCGCCACAGAGGGCCCAGTTAGTAAAAGAATAGCTTCAGACATAGATATTGTCTTTCAAATGGGCAAAGGATTCTTGACAATAAATAGGTTTAGCCAAACAACATATAAAATGCAAATTTCATATTAACTACAGGTCGGTTCACATACATTTATCTCTACTTAGACTGTAGAGGATTTGCTGAGAATTTATGTACAGTCTCAAGGATCTAAGCAATCAATTTATCACATTTAACTTATATTAAAATAAACCCTGAGAAGTATAATAATGGCTCTATCAGAGGTGTTGATTATTTACAAACAATGATATCCAAGTATTACATAAAATATTAAAAAATTACTGGAGAACTATATGGTTTTCTTCTACAAAGGCAACAATTTTTCAGAGACTATCCACTGACTAGAAAAAAAAGTAATCTCTGAAATTGGTCTAACCAGCATGAAAGTAGATTCCGGGATACTGACTAGTTATTGAATTTGGAATCTTTTCTTAAATATTATAATAAATAAAGCTACTTTTGTCATAAATGAGATTTCATTTTATTTTTATTTTTTTAACTTTTTTTTTTTAAGATTTTATTTATTTATTTGACAGACAGAGAGCACAAGTAGGCAAAGAGGCAAGCAGAGAGAGAGAGAAGAGGAAGCAGGCTCCCCGCTGAGCAGACAGCCCGACACGGGGCTCGATCCCAGGCCCCTGGGATCATGACCTGAGCCGAAGGCAGAGGCTTTAACCCACTGAGCCACCCAGGCGCCCCGAGATTTCATTTTAAATTCAATTTCAACATAAGCCAGAACACTCAGATGGTGCTAAAATGCAAATAACTTTTTACTTGTGAACAGTATCCATCTACTGAATGAAACTAAATATACAAAAATCTCTATCTTGTTGTCTCGACAGTAAAATTCTATACCTATCTCACTGTTTTTTACCTTTATAATCTATAGAAGTCTGCTTAAATATTACTTTCAATTATATAACCACATATATAACACACTGGAATTTCAGGTATACAGCAAAAGTAAAAATGGAAAGCTAATGGGGCTGACTGCTCTCTTATTTTGGATCCTACTATGATATTTCCACTGAAAATTCTTATGTTAAGGACTTCCGGTGCTCTGTGCTGTCCAGCACCAGAGGGTCCCATTCACGCTGTAGTCTGTATAAACGATGCCTACCACTACAGTGTGAGTGTTTTTCTAGCTGGACAACATGATAGACCTATCCTGATCAAACCAGGCTAAAAACTACAGAGGATGTCTGATTAACATTAACTCCTGTCAAACTATGTGTGTTAAAGACATAAGGAGACCCAGAATGAAGAATTAAAGTTTACAAGCTGTTAGGTGAGTTACCTATTCATAATTTCATTCTTGAAGAGAGTTGTCACTTAATCTAGGTCCTACGGTATGTAGTGTATATAAGACTTTTACACAAGAAAGAAGTGGTCAAAATCTCTCTGAAGAAAAGACTATAACACCATGTAGCCTAGACATGCCTCATATACACAAAAAGTTCATGGCAAGTGACCAAACAATCTTATTAAAGAATTCATTGACAGTGGTATTTTACCCTCACAAGGTTCTGATAGATCTACTGTGATCAGCTACAATGACTATAGTGCTTAATGAGGCAAGTACTTTTTCCCCAACTTCTTTTACTTCCTGAGTCCAGGCTATAGAGTCTTAAATGCAGGCCCCATCCTTCGCTATTCTATAAACTGAGTGAGTAATCTGAGGATTTACTCTGGGGCTTCATTATCTCTACTCTATCTCCACCCCCATGAAAGACTCATGTAACGGATACTTAAATTACTGACATTCAGTATAGATCACTACCACAACATATCAGATATATTTGGGTCAAATCAAGCCACTCAAAATATAAAAGCGCATATAGTAAAAGCCATACATAAAATCTGTCAACAGAGTAGTAAACTATCCTCATCTTATTTTTCTTTTAACTCTCTTCATCTTAATAAAACTATATAGTTAAGATGTGTCAATGCTTTCATATATTAAGGTGTTAACAATTATTTTTGTAATTAGTGAAAACTCATACACAAGTGAAACTTTTTAGTTTCTATTATCACATCAGATGTTAAGAGGGATTTATGAAAATATAAATCTTAACAGTGAAGTATCTTAAAAAAAAGTACAAGTAACACATAACTAGTGTTAAAATCTTTCAACAAAACAAAGTGTGAATTATCAAAAGGTAGCCCTTACCTATGTGTGTTCCTTGAATGTCAGTAAACTTTAATCTATAAAAGGATCTACATCAAAGCTACCAAATAACAACTACATACATTCACAGCCATGCAGATAATCTAAATATTTCTTTAAAACTATTCAATACTATGTTAATCACAAAGCCCATGGGGGGAAAAAAGTAATATGACATACAGAAACTCTTGTTTGGCTGTGCTTGTAGGAGATGTAGGAAAATCCTCCAGTCTATAGATGAAGATTCAAGAGAAAGCAGGAAAACAAAAAGGAAGCAAATAAACATTCATACATAAATTAGTACAGTATGATCAATCATCTGGAATGCTTTTATTATTTCCCACTTTTAAAAATCTTCCCTCAAAGAAACTTCTCAATTTTTTTTTTTAGATTCATTTCCTTTTAACTGAAATCAGAAATGAAAAACCAAAGACTAAATCCAGAACATCTTAACACTTCTAGACTTTGGCACTGAATAATTAATAACTTTTATTTTTCCAGAAAAAAAGTTAAGGGAACTTTACTTGTTTTTTTTTTTTTTCCCCCAAAGGCAAGAAATATAACTATATAATACTTTTTAAAAATCTGTTTTTATAAATACTATGTTTTGCAAGTCTAGAGACTATTTGAAGCCCTTAAGAGATAACAGATAATAGAGATAAAAGTTTCAAGAGGAAAGAGGAAATATGACACCTGAGACAACTAGAGAAATTTGTTTTACTTGCTGCAAAAGTTAAAGTAGCCATGGTACTTTCAATTTAGAGCCAGTGAAGGAACCATGGAACTGAAGGTGTGCAGTGACATTTAGCAGAAGCACAGGTTCAGACAACAATTCTGACTGTAGGATTTTAAGTACTTTAGACACACACTTTTATCTTTCCGAATCTCAATTTATTGCTCTGTAAAGTGGGATAAAACCACCCCAGTTCACAGGATTCGGATTAGGATTAAATCTATGTAAGGCTCCTGGCTCACAACAGGTCCTTGTTAGGATTGCAATTACTGCATCATAATCCCCCTACTCCCACACTGAATTATCAGAAAAGATCTTGTCTGTCATAACTACTATAATTTCCTCATCTTTCCAGACTGCTTAGGAAATGTGATCTGGACCATGTAGGCAGCTATAATGAAATATACTCTTTGGATCCAGGTTTACAATTCCAAACTACCCCAGCAAGCCTTAATGAACCATTTCAAGGAAATGTTCTCTAAGACAGTTATCACATCACCCCTGTTCAAAATATCAATAGAACTGTTACTAGTCAATACATGATTAATACTTAATTTTTATGCAGGTGAACAAAATCTTCTATTTAGTCAGTATTCAGTATGACAGATTCACTATAAGATGACAGAACATTAACTAGTTATAACATTAAGAAACAGCATATTCTCAAAATCTGACCTAAATTATCAAAGCTGCTCCAATGAAAGGAAGTTAGGAATTCAGATATATACTCCCAAGCGTAGGAACAAAAGTTAATGGTTAAATTCAATTCAGAATAGATCTAAGAGGAGGACTTAAAAAGAAAAGGTTAAGAGCAAAGAATCAAAAGAAAAGTGATAAGGTATGGTATACTCACTATTAAAGTTTACCTATATTATTTTAAGAGTCTCATAGGCCTTATTATTAAATTCTTTAAATGAAAAATGGCAAGATATAGTAAAGCCCAGCATGAATTTGAGTAATGATTACTTAACCTAAAATCAAGAGACAGTCTGTATTCTTTGACTAAAATTTTTAACTATTTGAATTATGTAAGCTTTTGCATGTTGTATGTTTAACTAAAGTTTGCATTATAATCATTTTTTGTTATATGATCTTACAGTGTTCCTGGAGTTAATTTTTTTGAGGGGTGTGGGGGTAAACAAATTGTAGAAAGGGAAAAAATTCTTTTTCTAAAACATTTCATTTGGTGATATTCTTAATGACAGAACTATAGTATCTGGTAACATAATGTACACACATCTCAAAACTCAGTATGTATGGGATTCATCCAATGAATTTTAAGTTTTCTATAAAACTGTAATAAACAGTTTTAAGAAAGTAATAAAAATTGACACACTTACTGTATATTTGGTGTAATCCCTTCAAGCAGCACAATATTAACCCCACCAATATGAGCAGTGGCACAAGTCTCAGTCATCTTTTGATGTAAAACATCTTAAAAGTAAGAAAAAAGAATTATGTGAAATCTGGAAATAAAATAATTGTACTTTGTATTAAAGTTGCATTTTATCCATTATGCATTCATTGATAAAAGATAATTCAGAAGTTTTATTTATAATAAAACTTAAATTATTTCTGAACTACTTAAAATTTTTTTATTTCTATGCATCATATATATATACATCTTATATGTCAAATTGGAATAATGACAAATATAGTTTAATATGCCATTCATGTATTAAATAGCCTAATAGCATTTTAAATCTCAGAAGTAATACTTGGTATGGAAAACATGGAAAAAAAATTTTTTTTTTAAACATGGAAAATTTTAAAATAGGAAAAGAAACTATATAAAGCAGCATTCCTGATCCATATAAATGGGAAAGTTCACTTTTTGAAGAAAAACTGCCAAGTAGGAACTTTATAACTAGAGGCATCGGCTTTTTTCAGAAACGTAGAACTACAGCATTAGAACGTCATCCTACCTTTCATTTTTTCCTTAAGTGTAAAGCTACCATGGATCCTCTTGAGTTCTGATTCCATTGTTAGCCCCCCAATGTCCGCCTCCAGGTGTGTGCGGTTCACCATGCCAATCCCAAACACTATTAGAGTAACATGCTGAGGTTCAGAAGTCACCAAGCTACGTTTCCTCTGTGTCTTCGTCAAACTATTACTGTCTTGTTCATTCTCAAACACAACTTTACATGTCGGCTCTGTAGGGCTCCGAACTCCTTTAAAAGGAAACAAAACATATGGAATGTAAAATCAAAGAACACTCCAAACACCATCTTACCTTTCTTCATATTCCAAAACAGCCCTCTTACTCACCAAAATGATTTTTAAAATTTTTCAACATTTTCCCATGATCATATGGACAGTAAAATAATAGATATTTGAAAGCAGGTATGCCTGAATCTTTAAGACCAAACTGTGTATGGAAGGACAGGAAATGGGGTGGTGCATTATCTGACTGCCATTACTGTCTTCTCTCCATGGATGACTGGCAATTTTCTTGGCATTTCAATTATCTACTTATAACATTAAGAAAACATGATCAACAACCTGTCTATTTTAGTATTATTGCTGTTCTAAAAAGACATTTTTCAAACATAAAGATTTCCATTACCTGCTGGTCCAAATGTTTCTGAAGACTTCTCCAATATTCCTGTTGGATCAGAGATAAGTGAATAGAAATTAAGTAATTTATACATATTCTGCCAGCACTCAGCTGAAGGCTCACTTTGTTCTGACACTGTAATTGAATCAGAGTCATCCATATGAATAGTCATATGGTCCACCACATCTTTTGAACCTTTCCTAGACACTTTTGAAGTTCTTCTTTCAGATCTTCCTAATGAATTTTTGTTTCGAGATTCCTTTTTGTTATTGTCATTGTTGGTCCGTTTGTTCTTTGCATTGTTTACTCTATTGCCACCATTCAGACTTCCTCTAGAACTGCGGCTGAAGTCAGACGAGCGAAAATCCCGATGTTTTCTGGTTTTGAAGGTAGGTGTTGGGGAAGCTGATCCAGCTGTATATCTGCTAAGTTTAATGTCAGTCTGAGTTGCTTTGATGTCATCTATCATTGTACTAAATTGATGAATAAGACGAACCAAAGCCATATCTACATGCTGGCTTATTGACTGACAAGAAATAGTAAAGTTACAGTGAAAGGTATTATAATACCGTTTGTTGAGATCATGAAAAGAAAGAGCACTGGTAGAGTTCTGAGGGGTGCACACTGACTTTTCCATTACAACAGCACTGATGCTAAAGGTTTCCAACATTAATGCTGGTTTGAACTCAAGTGGAGGAAGATTCACATGACCTTGCCTAAAAATGAGGAGAAAAGAAAAAAATGTCAAGACTTAATTTCCTTTTTCCCAGAGATGCACAATCTTTATTAGTTTGTTAGCAAAGAAACCTCCAAGGTAAAACATGTTAAAAACATTTAAATAATTTTAAACAAGAGATCAAGTAGAATTTGCTTTCTCATGAGGCCAACCTTTTATATGTTGGAAACTAGGCCTTAAAACTTCCCTCTTGATCTAGTGGCAAGCCTGCCTCCTCCTCTCTCTCTCTTTCTGCCTGCTTGTGATCTTTGTCTGTCAAATAAATAAATAAAATCTTTAAAAAAAAATTAAAAAAAAACTTCCCTCTTGATCTTATTCCATAACTGACTAGTTAAAATCAGATTTATGGTAATTATTTCAGTGAAGTAATTAAACATTTTTCCTTGCCAATATGGTAGTACACTCCAATGGTAATGGAATTTAAAGTCAATTATCAGTCAATTAGGGTGCCTCCCTTAAACATCCTCTCCCCATCTGTTAAATATACTGTTTATAAATTTAATCTCACTGCATTTATATAAATTAATTTGCTATTTAAAATGAAACCCTACTAGCTTACTTTGCCAAAATGAAAGTGGGAAGGAATACAACTGGAAAAAATGAAAAATGCACATTAAAAAACTATGAAAATTATTTGGGCAAATCCTCCTGCTTATCTGAAAATTTTCATATAGGAATATTACAGGCAATTTTGATACTTAAAAGCCAAACTGTCACAGATTTCTGTAAACCAGCTGCCAATAACAACAAACTATAGGCCACAAAATTGAAAAAAAAATTATTTTTTCCTTCTTCTTCCATGTACAATATGAATGTATAGTCACGTAAGTCAAATTTTTCTAACAGAAAAAAGAAACAGAAGCTGCTTTGATGTTCTCAATTTAACTTAAAGATTTTATAGAGAATAATAATTCTTTAATGAATATTGTTTTAAGAAAAACCTTACTTTGGAGTATCATCCATGAAAATGTATAAGCTCATAGTAAGACTACAATCTGTAGTTAAAGAAGGAAAGACTGGATTTTGATAAGAATGGACAGGAGAAAGAAGGCTCAAAAGAAATTAAAATAATCCACAATCACAAAAACAAGAATTGAAAACATAAGGGAAGTAAGAAAGTCTCAAAGAGAGGAGATTCAAGTAAAAGGAGGAAAAAACAGTGGTATATAATGAAGCAGTCACTTATGACAAAAGTTGCCAGACAGATAAAGAGCTGGTGTGGGCACCATAGAGCCAAAGTTAAAATTAAATTTTAAAAATATTTATTAAGTCCTAGGGGCACCTGGGTGGCTCAGTGGGTTAAAGCCTCTGCCTTCGGCTCAGGTCATGATCCCAGGGTCCTGGGATCCAGCCCCACATCAGGCTCTCTGCTCGGTAGGGAGCCTGCTTCCCTCTCTCTCTCTACCTGCCTCTCTGCCTGCTTGTGATCTCTGTCTGTCAAATAAAACAAACAAACAAATAAAAAACATTTAAAAAAATATATTTATTAAGTCCCTATTATGTTCAACTATCTTGTCTAGGGATAGCAAAGATATGAGGAAACTAATGTTAATAGAAACTTCTACGTGCCAGAACCTATGCTAAATGATTTAATGTCCTGGCTTTACAGGATGGGATATATATGTTTGCACAAGAAACTATAACCCAATAATAATGTATAGTAACTAGCAGAATGAATAACATTCCAAATGTTGGGGGGAAAAAACCTGAAATTAATGACCAGGAAAAGTGTACTGTGGCAGAAATCTCCAAATAAATAGAGTTTAAGGTGGAACAATAGGAGATCTGAGAAATAAAAGCTAACCATGGACCAGTAATAAGAATGTAGAGTACTCAGAACTGATGTAGTAGTAGAAAAAGAAAAGGAATGTTAAGTTCAGCTAGATCAAATGCAGTAAGTTCGAAGTCACTCAAAGAACCTCTCTGTGAACATAAAGTATCAGATCAGATGAAGTTCTAGTCTGCGGCAGGCAGTATTATATAGCATTTAGTAAGCCAATAAGTAGGCTGTAACTATAATTATTCAAATACATATAATCTAATTATGTATAAATTAATTATATCTACTGATGACACATACACTGTACATACGTATGTGTATATATATATGAAAGTCAGCTATTGCAAATAGAAATACAAGTTTAGCACAGAGCTTTTAATTGTAATTAGGGAGTATAAGTTCGTATTAATGTTTTGGAGTCTGAATTTGATGATTCCAATGTGAATGGATTTCAGTTACGTAACACCAGTTTCCTAATAACATAGTTTAAATCTTAAACTAAAATGTATTGCGAATAACTGCATCAAGTACAAACTTGCTGCTAGCTCTTCAGTCCACAAATCACTATGTAAATAACAGATGGACACCATGATCATTAACCAATCACATTATGTATGTCAGTGACTGGTCAATGTACATTTGTTATTCATTTCAAACACAGACAGTAAAGCTTGTAATTGTGTTGCCTCCTCATGATAAATCCACATGACATTTTTTAAAAAATTGATAATCAAAAGGGAACTGGACAGCAAAGATAAAAATGCAGTAACAAAACAAAAAAAATGATAATGCCGGTGGTGAAATTAAAATAAAAGTAAATGGAGTTATAGAAGAAATAGCTAACTGCGGAAATGTTGATACTTCTACTGTTGTAGAAACTATAGATATACAGCTAGAGGAACTCAGTGAAGGCAAACTTATTGGCATAAAGAGGAAAGTGGCTGTAAAAAAAAAAAAAAAAAAAAAAAAAAAAGGATGGCAATATCCCAGAGAAGTGATGCTGGGAAAAAAATTCATAGTAAAAGGAATTCATAATGGTATTTCATCACATTAAAAGTACAAAGGAAAAAGTATTGGAAACTCAGCGGTACTTAGAATGGAGTATAGCATTACGCCAAGGTACATAAAGGATGCTCTTTCTGCATTGCAAGTTATATAATAAGATGGCAAGGGCTATTCAAACTATCCTTTGATGAGAATTTTAGAATGAAGTAGGACACTTTAATTCTCAGTGTTTTTGATGTTTTAAATTATAATGTACTAAGTATTAGTTTTACTGTATTTTTCATTTCCCTACACATTTATAATAAGCAGTAATAGAATGTTTAATGTTTTAACAAACATTTTTTCCAGATCACAAAACAAAGGTAATTTTCCCCCACTACTCTTGATAATCATTAAGGTCACTTTGTGGTGCTTCGGATTGCCAGTTATTGTTATGGTGCGACACTACTATGAAAAGCAGTGACTGTCTTATATTTAACAGAAAAGACAAGGTAATTTCCATGTTCCTGTGTCATTAGAAAATCCTCGGAGATCTAGACCTGAAATAAAATTTGAGAAAGCTATATTTTTTATTAATAATTGCCATAAAAATGTTTAAACTTACTTTGTCAAATTATTTAAAATTTTAAATAGAATATTTCAAATGGAAAACATATTTCACTTAGTTATATGTGTGATACATGCGCATTTTACTTTTAATTTACCACCCTGCAAAAACCTAAATTGGATGAAACCAAGAATGTCGCAAAAACCTCTTGTCATAATTGCCACCTATATCCATATTCTACTATTCCTAGCTACATCAGCAAGACCCATGCAAAGTAAAATTTAATGTTCACAAAAAGATTAATCAAATATTATTATGGGCATAATACCTCCTATTCAAACAGTAAGGAAACTAAAGAACTATCCCTGAAAATAATGACGATAAAAGATGGTTCTTAACTTTCACCATGCTACATTTAGCATTCCTGTGTATTTGTTTCTCATGGCCATACTCTCAATATAACTTCTACCCTGTTTCCTTTTTTTTTTTTAAATTTTATTTTTTATAAACATATATTTTTATCCCCAGGGGTACAGGTCTGTGAATCACTAGGTTTACACACTTCACAGCACTTGCCATAGCACATACCCTTCCCAATGTCCATAACCCCACCCCCCTTCTCCCAACCCCCCTCCCCCCATTAACCCTCAGTTTGTTTTGTGAGATTAAGAGTCACTTATGGTTTGTCTCCCTCCCAATCCCATCTTGTTTCATTTACTCTTCTCCTACCCCCTTAACCCACCATGTTGCATCTCCTCTCCCTCATATCAGGGAGATCATATGATAGTTGTCTTTCTCCGATTGAATTATTTCGCTAAGCATGATACCCTCTAGTTCGATCCACGTCGTCGCAAATGGCAAGATTTCATTTCTTTTGATGGCTGCATAGTATTCCATTGTGTATATATACCACATCTTCTTTATCCATTCGTCTGTTGATGGACGTCTAGGTTCTTTCCATAGTTTGGCTATTGTAGACATTGCTGCTATAAACATTCGGGTGCACGTGCCCCTTCGGATCACTACGTTCGTATCTTTAGGGTAAATACCCAGCAGTGCAATTGCTGGGTCATAGGGTAGTTCTATTTTCAACATTTTGAGGAACCTCCATGCTGTTTTCCAGAGTGGTTGCACCAGCTTGCATTCCCACCAACAGTGTAGGAGGGTTCCCCTTTCTCCGCATCCTCGCCAGCATCTGTCATTTCCTGACTTGTTAATTTTAGCCATTCTGACTGGTGTGAGGTGATATCTCATTGTGGTTTTGACTTGTATTTCCCTGATGCCGAGTGATGTGGAGCACTTTTTCATGTGTCTGTTGGCCATCTGGATGTCTTCTTTGCAGAAATGTCTGTTCATGTCTTCTGCCCATTTCTTGATTGGATTATTTGTTCTTTGGGTGTTGAGTTTGCTAAGTTCTTTATAGATTTTGGACACTAGCCCATTATCTGATATGTCGTTTGCAAATATCTTCTCCCATTCTGTCAGTTGTCTTTTGGTTTTGTTAACTGTTTCCTTTGCTGTGCAAAAGCTTTTGATCTTGATAAAATCCCAATAGTTCATTTTTGCCCTCGCTTCCCTTGCCTTTGGCGATGTTCCTAGGAAGGTGTTGCTGCGGCTGAGGTCGAAGAGGTTGCTGCCTGTGTTCTCCTCAAGGATTTTGATGGATTCCTTTCTCACATTGAGATCCTTCATCCATTTTGAGTCTATTTTCGTGTGTGGTGTAAGGAAATGATCCAATTTCATTTTTCTGCATGTGGCCGTCCAATTTTCTCAACACCATTTGTTGAAGAGGCTGTCTTTTTTCCATTGGATATTCTTTCCTGCTTTGTCGAAGATGAGTTGACCATAGAGTTGAGGGTCTACTTCTGGGCTCTCTATTCTGTTCCATTGATCTATGTGTCTGTTATTGTGCCAGTACCATGCTGTCTTGATGATGACAGCTTTGTAATAGAGCTTGAAGTCCGGAATTGTGATTCCACCAACTTTGGCTTTCTTTTTCAATATTGCTTTGGCTATTCGAGGTCTTTTCTGGTTCCATATAAATTTTAGGATTATTTGTTCATTTCTTTGAAAAAAATGGATGGTACTTTGATAGGAATTGCATTAAATGTGTAGATAATCTACCCTGTTTCTAACAGAAAATACTGCAAGTTGACTCAGAATGGAAGTTAGGAATAATTTTAAGTAAAATATGTAAAATTACAATGCATAAGATCCTAAAAATTCAGCTACTGCAACAGTAAACAAATTCTGAGGATATATATAACAAATGTACTTTAGATATTAAAATTACTCTCATTAGCATTAGAAGAAAATAAAGTTAAAAAAAGATGTTATAACCTGTATACAACATTCTACACAAAAAGAACAATAACACAAGACACCTTCTTGCTCTTTTGCCTTTTCTCTCTTTGGCTGTGTCCGAATCCACAATATCTGCTCTAAGGCAGTCCAAAGTCCCTGAAAATGAAAGGTGTTCTCCGAAGTACATTCGGTAGCAGAGTGGCATTGCATCCTGGGACTGAATCCCTGTATGACTGAGAAGAGGTTTGAAAACAACCTAAAAGACATAACACATTCATTAATTAGCTTAATTTATAATTCATCATTTACTGTGGCTTTTTTCTTACCCTACCTCAATACATATATCATGTATCAATATTGTACTGTGATAAAAAAAGTACTTGTGTAATAAATATAACTCTAATTGTACTTAAAACTTAACAGTATTTTTCAACACCCATTATGTGCAACTCATCCTCAAATTAATCATAAGAACAAAGATTCCTCCCTCCTGCCTAAGTGTCTGAAAGGACAAGGAAAATAAAATTGTGAACTAATTTAAATCATTCTATGTCTTGCTTTTAAAAAAGATATGAATAGGGGCGCCTGGGTGGCTCAGTGGGTTAAAGCCTCTGCCTTCGGCTCAGGTCATGATCTCAGGGTCCTGGGATCCAGCCCCACATTGGGCTCTCTGCTCAACAGGGAGCCTGCTTCCTCCTCTCCCTCTGCCTGCTTTTCTGCCTACTTGTGATCTGTCAAATAAATAAATAAAATATTTTAAAAAAATAAAAAAGGTATGAATATACACTGTGTTTCCATAAAAATATGGTATATTAGAATGGTTTATCACCTTCCTATGTTAATATTAAAAATATTTCATATGTAATATTAGGAACATCTGACCTCTTTTTAAATAGTATCACTTGGTTGTAACAGTCATTTAATATTTATTTTCTGACAAAAAAAACCCCCAAAACCTTCCTTTATATTGTAAGTACCATACAAGCTTATGGAAATAGATCACTCTGGTTACACCTCTTATTAACTGATTTTGTAGTCATGAAGAGGTAACCCAAAGAGAAGCAACTGTATGTGTTCAGCAGTTGATCACTATAATCACTCTGCTTATTCTTTGCTGCATAGTTCCTTTTCTTCCTTCTACATTCAAAATATAGGTGCTATCCAGTACTGCCCTTGGACCTCTTATAATCCTTTCACTGTACATCTCCCTTAGTGATCTTTTTCTGAAAGTTAAATGATACTATTAAAATGGATAGGTGCCATTTATGTATTAAGACCTAAGTCTACATGTTCAATTATCTCTAGGTCATCTCATTTGTTTGTGCTTGGGAAGACAGGCTACTCTTATGAAGGTCAAATGGCCTATAACAGAGAACTCCAACAATTATACACTAGAGTGGAAACTTAGGGAGAAATTCCCTCTCCCAATGTACTTGCTTGGGATATTCTTTCTCGGGTTTTACCCCTTTCATTCTAATGGGAAAAACTTTTCCCTCTTCAAGGGTCCAAACCATCCTCCATCTTTTCTAATGTTTGTCATTTATTTATCCCCCATCTTGTTAATCCTCCATACCTATCAGAAACTTTGATTTTTGACTTACTTTCTTCTTTTTCTTTTCAATCCCAATTTATCATCTTGAATGACTTCTTTAACCATGGAGATAACTCAACCAACACTTCAGTTCCAAAGTTATGTGACTTCTTCCTCCCCCCCACAATCTTGGCTTAAATGCCATTTTAGCAACTTCCTATCACCTATTTTTCTTGCTACATCTGCTTTGAATCAATCTTCTTATACTCCTATACCTGAGCTGCTAGAAACAATGAAAGGAAATTATATAATTGCTTTCACTGGTACCCTAACACTAACCTAAACTCTTAACAAGGCTCTCAGCACATCTGGCAATCCTTTTAGGGAGTCTATGGTAAGCTCTCTTTCATATTCACGCCAACCTGTACACATATCTAAATCATCTTACAGAGCATTTTACTGAATTATTTAATATTCATGTTTCTAGTAGATTTTAGAATCTTATATACAAAACAATATAATTATCTCTAAAAATATGTGTTGAATGCTAACAACTATAATTAATGTAATCTATAGGCCAAAACAACAATAAAAGGTTATTTATTTTATTTATTTTTAAATAAAATAAATTATTTTATTTTTAATTTTAATTAATTAATTTTTAATTTATTATTTTATTATATTATTTATTTTTAATAAAAAAATGAAGTCCCTAAAAGCTACTCCAATGTACTGGAGAAGTAAATCTCAAGAAAATTTAAAAGTGCCTGACACATTTCTTAACATAAATTACCTTCTACTATAAGAGAAAATTGAAGCTATCAATCTGCAAACTTACCTCTATAACTGTGAACTGTCCTTATTGCCTTCTTAGTTTCTCAGAGGAAAAAAGTAATTTTTTCTGTCTAAAACATCTTTCTCTGTTAGTGACTCTAAATTCCAACACTCTTCATCCTCTCTAAATCCTGCTCTATCAGTTTACCCTTCTTTTTTTTCTTTTTTCTGATCGGGGCCTTCCTAATTTCTCCTAAGTATGCAAATATGGTGGAGTCTCCCTCATCCTGAAAAAATAACATCTCTTAATACCCATGGTCCCACTCACTCAGTAGCCTTGTGATCACTCAGACTAAAATATACAATTCAAAGGATTTTGCTCTCCACTCTTACATTTAATCAATTGAATAAGACCTCCATATTTTGCCATTTTTACCTTATCAAAGCCACAACCATCTAAGTTAAAAGCTTCATTTACCACTTATGTGAACTATTTCAATAACTTATCTTTTCACCTATAGTGTCTCTAATCCAATCCATTTAACACATTGCTACCCATATAATATTTTTACATATATAGTTCAAGTCACTTGTTTTCCTCTGCTGTAAAATCTTCAGGGCTTCTTAACCGCTCCCTCAGTGAAGTCTTAACGTAACATTTAACACAGCCTTCTAAAGGACAGGATTAAATTTAGCTTTCTAGTTATGTTATTTAGCCAATCTGTATCTCCATATAACAAAAATGTTACTATATGAGACAACTAATTATATACCACTCTTCTGTTTAATGCATATCTATCTATAGATGCTAAATTTGCTTTTGTAATTAACCCATGTACTTTTAAAAGGCTCCTCCATTTTTGCATGAAGACTTTAGACAGACAAGCACAGAAAAAAGATTTTCACTAGAATTCCAAGGTGGATATGACTGGATGGTTCCAGTTGCTAAGAATTACCTAATGAGGAGTTAATATAATTGCAGACAAACAGACTGGCTCACCTGTGCATCAGCAAGCTGCACAGCAGGAAACCCTTGGTTGGCTTCTTCTACACCTGCCACATCATCCTGACTAGTGCTATGCTGAGAATGTGTTCCATCCAAAGTATTCTGGTCACTAGACAAGACGGTGTTGAAATCTGAGGCTGAGGGTATTGTAGGAAGATTGGGTGCAACACCTAACAGAGTAAATGTTCAAGAGTAAAATCTGAATTATGAGGAAATAGAAACAACATAAAAGGGCACAGCAAAGTAAACTTATGAAGCCCATATTACAGCAGTATTACCAGACCATTTAAACTGAATGAAGGTAAGAAACATACCACTTTTTGGTCATTTTACAGACATGATTTAATAATAAAAATGAATTTAAACTAAAATTTCAGAAAATATCAGTCATCCTCATACATGAAGTCTGTATTAGAGCCAGTCAGTTCAAAATAGAGAATTTTTTGGCCAGAAGATCCTTCAAAAGCATTTGCTCTCTCATCAGTTTTGCACTGAGGAGCAGAGTTACAGACAGCAGCAGGGCAAAATTCACAGATGTCACAGAGTCCTACATATAAATTTCTTCCCAATTATCTTTCCTGAGGCAGAACAAAAATAAAATGGCACCATTTCTTTCCTCTGTATTCCTTTTATCCTCTAACTCCCCCAGGCAAAGGATCTGTGATAAAGATGAAATGTTCTTTTCTGGTTTTCTCAAAATTTCAACTGCAGTAGTAAGACTAGGGCTAGAACAGTTCTGGGAGCTGGCAGAAACACTGTCCTTCTACCTTCTTCAACTAAGAGCCAATGATAAGAATTAGAATGCAGTCATAATTAGGATCAGTTCCAGATTCAAGAGTGATCCACATACCAGCAAAACAAAGGACTGAGTGAGAAGTCACTTATAAACACATTTCATAATATCACATTTTCTTTATGAATAGAATTTGCTAGTGATGCAAATAGCGATCACATGGGCTAATTTCAGCTGCCTTCAGTACCTAGGATCAAAGTCTACTACACATATTCTTTAAAAAATTTTTTCTTTAAAGAATATATGTATCTAAAAAAAAAAAAAAAGACTATATTTATCTAATAAATTTGGAAAAATACCCCCAAAAAGAAAAAACAGAAAATGAAGGCTGGCACCACTTATGTTTCTGCAGCTAGCCACTAACATTTCTTGGTGAATTCCCTGCCAGTATTCTTGCTGTTTATATGCATTATTTTAAATTAATAAACTGTCGGGCGCCTGGGTGGCTCAGTGGGTTAAGCCGCTGCCTTTGGTTCAGGTCATGATCTCAGGGTCCTAGGATCGAGTCCCGCATCGGGCTCTCTGCTCAGCAGGGAGCCTGCTTCCCTCTCTCTCTCTCTCTGCCTGCCTCTCTGTCTACTTGTGATCTCTCTCTGTCAAATAAATAAATAAAATCTTTAAAAAAAATGAATAAACTGTCCTCACTGCCTCCTCAAAGGCAAAATCTTATTTTATTCCTCTTAGTACACCTTTAGGCTTAATTATTTAAGTAACTATAAGAGTAAAAGAATGTTAGTTATTATATCTCAGTGGAATCTGTATAAACTAAAATATTTTCTTTATTATAGGCACATTATGCCATATTCTTCACATTTTTTCATTAATCTCCTTTTGGTATTTTGAAAATTAAGTCAGCCACATTAACTGGACATTTTAAACTCTTTAAATTACATACGATCTCACATTTGACATATCTGTCTTTCCACAAGAACACCAAGTGACTGCTTACAATTCTCTCAATTCAGTATTACCAAAGGCATTTCATAAATGGGCAAATTTCAACTAACCAGTATTAAACATTTGAGATGTTTAGACCATTCTGTGAAAAATAGAATTTTGTTAAAATTAACATATGTCCCTTAGACAGTTAAGCAAAATAACATGATAACTCAATACCTGATGGAAGACTATTGTGTGTGGATTTTGTAACAGGAGATTCTTGTACCATACTTCCACGATTACCCACAGCATTTGACATCCAATTATAGAAACTCACAGATGATGGCTCAGATAGCAAGGGATGTTCAGATAACATATCAGTGGCCATTGTATTTCCTGAAAATAAAATGTTATTGAGTATAATATTACTTATGTAATAAGCAGAAAATGTGATTTATGTAATTATTTTTTAAAAGTCAGACTAAATTGTTGTTTGCAGATGTTTTCAAACTCAGTGCATGATGTTTGTATTTGGATATTGAGGCACCAATAAATAACTTATTTTTAATATAACAAGAAGAAATTCACTGTTGGATGGTTTACACATCATACCATACCATGACTACGTTGATAGTAATATCCAATGCTACAATTTAGAAATGCAAACTGAGAGTATGAAGACATCAAGTTACAAAGAGAGCAGTTTCCCAAAATACTTTTTCAAAGATGAGGTATAAAATACAGATTAGGTATGCAACCAAAGTATAAAGCAAAATAAACTTACGTTCTGTTTTTTGTTTTTTAATTCTCACATAGAAGTAAACTTGTAATTGTCAAAACCAAAGATGTACCTGTTCTCGTTAGGGAGCTGCTTTTTATAGCTGCACTACTTCTTTGAGGAGTCCCTTCTAGGAGATTGTGCAAGCTTGGGAAGCTTCCAGTCAGGTAGCTGAGTAGGCTCTCCTTCCTTGGACTCTCCTTCACTGGCATCCCAGTACGGCCAACATGCACAGGAGAATCTGTGGCAGTGTCCCCACTGGTATAGCTCAAAGAATGATATGGGTGAATACCCTACAACAGGAACAACATAGGTCTCTTTCTTATGCTTATAAAAATGACTGCTAATAACTACCAGAACTAGTACTGTTATTACTGCTAGTTACTATTCATATTAATACCAAAACAGATTGTGCCTACTAGGATTGTGGTGAATCTCAAATATACATAAAAGTGTTTTAAAACTTTACAGTACAATATAAAGAATAGCCTTTATTATCATTCACTTATTTTAACAATGAATTATTAATTCCCTTTGAAATCTGAAGAGTGTGTCTGGTGGCAAGATATTGATCCCAAAATTCTTAATACTATACTACTCTTGTTGGTACCATGATAATGAAAATCTGTAAGAGATTCTTTGTAGAGTCCTTTTTCTTTCTTTCTTTTTAATATTTCATTTATTTATTTGACAGACAGAGATCACAAGTAGGCAGAGAAGCAGGCAGAGAGAGGGAGGGGGAAGCAGGCTCCCTGCTGAGCAGAAAGCCCAATGTGGGGCTCGATCCCAGGACCCTGGGATCATGACCTGAGCCAAAGGCAGAGGCTTTAACCCACTGAGACACCCAGGTGCCCCTCTCTGTACAGTTCTAATATGCCAAAAACCATTTCCAGCAATTCTCTGAGGAAAATTTAAAAATTGCAGAATTGCCCATCTCTATCTGTTCTGACACATCTAGGATTAGAATTTCAGATCAGTTTAAAATCATACAAGAAAAGACTATACAGACAGAAAGATCCTGAAAAGAAGTGATCTGAAACAAAGAGTTGTAATTCAATTTTTTGGAGGACTTCTATAATTCGTAAACAAAGGAATGTTTGTGGGCTAGGAAAAACCATCAAACGGGAAAAAAAAATCTGAGACTGATTAAGAAGTTGAGAATTTAAAAGTATCCTGGCTTCGAACTACACTATAGAAATAGAATAAGCCTAATAATTCAAACTTTTAAAAAGTGTATATTAAACTATCACTGAACGTTTTAATTAAAAGAGCAATACCTTAAACAGAATAAAAACTTTAAAAGCACAATCTAATAAATTGTATCCCCTGAGCTCCAGTCTACAGATTCCTTCCCCTAGAAGTACTCTTGTTTCTTATCTATTCTCTTTAAATAATTTATAACTATATAAGCACATGTACATATTTATCCTTGTTTAAGACACAGATACATATTGTCCTATATTTTTTTACTTTAGGCATTTCGGTGACCATTCCATATCCACTTAGAGATCAACTTCATCTTTCTGAGGTCTTCATGGTATGCATCTCTGTGTCAGGGGACACTAGTTTACTGGCCCTCAAATAGTCATTTATATTGGTACCATTATTTTCTTATTATAAACAGTGTTGTAAAGAACATTATTGCACACGTGTCTTTGGGCATTTATGAGCATTCATTTCTTTAGATGAATTCCTGGGCATGAACATACTGGGTGAAAGAATATTACATTTTAAATTTTGATACAAATTGCCAAATTGGTCTTCGAAGAATTTGTGACAATTTATACTCCCACCAGTACTGTAGAAGAGTGTCTGCTTTCCCTTATCTTCACCAACATACACCATTCAAATGTGTTAGTGTTTTCAATCTGATCGGTGGAAATGGAAATCTCACATTTTAACTTACATTTCTTTAATTTTAAGAGGATACATGTTCATATTTGTTTATTTTTTTTTTTAAAGATTTTATTCATTTGCCAGAGAGAGAGAGAGAGAGAGCAAGCGAGTACACACAAGCAGGCAGAGAGGCAGGCAGAGGCAGTGAGAGAAGCAGGTTCCCTGCTGAGCAAGGAGCCCGATGCGGGACTCGTTCCCTGGGATCATGACCTGAGCTGAAGGCAGCGGCTTAACCCACTGAGCCACTCAGGCGTCCCATATTTGTGTATTTCTCTGTGAACTCCCCATTAACTAATTTTCTATTTGTGTTAGTGATTAGAAAAAAGATCTTTATGTATGAGGAAATTAGCCCTTTGTCATATGTCTTTCTATTTTGTTTATAATAATTTTTTCTGTGTAGAAATTTTATATTTTAATATGGCAAAACTGTTAAGTCATTTACCTTATGGGTTCTGAGCATTAATGTAAGTCTATGCTGAAACCTTCAAAGAAAGTTAAAATATTGTCTGTCATTTTCATTGCTCAGAAAAGGAAACTAACAAAACATAAATAACCCATGACAACAAAAAATAACTTACATGCTTATTATGTGCCAGGTATTGTTTAAGCATTTTTCATGTATTAACAGTTATTTCTTGGCATCCATATTCTAGAAAAAGTTACTATCGTAATCTCCATCTTACAGATAGGGAAACTGACACACAGTATAGTTAAAAATTTGTTCAGTCAAAGAATAAGTGTCAGAGGCAGAATTGAAACCAAGGCTGTCTGGCTCCCAAGGTGGTAGTTAACCACCTTGCTATATACATGTCTTACCAAGCACTGGATAAGTTTCTTAAAACAGCTTAATTAAAGTCATAAAATAATTCAATTCAAATTGTTATGTTGCTAATCATGTTCAACTATAAAAATATTTATTACTCAATTATTAAATTAATTCTTGAATATAAAGTATTCAATATAAAATACTATTTGAATATTTAAATTTAAATACCTAATATTTGAATTTGAGATATCAGAAATTTAGGTCTTCCCTGGAAGTCTACTCTAACCAGAAACAATAATAATGTACCTTTATTTTTAATGCAGAGTCACTATGGGTATGAGTCTTAGAAAGTTTCCTCATTATCTCAGCTCCAGTTACAGGTCCAGAGCCACCAGGTGGAGGACGGTTGGCTGTTCCTTCTAATAGCATTGTGTGTTCACTGACTGTGGCTGAAACAGTAAAAAAGAATAAGTGGGCTATAGATTACCATTTTCTTGAAATATTAATATGAGTGTTCCTGGTGGTAAATTACACTCAACTTTACATATTCCTTGAGTAAACAAATTAAATTAATTAAATTTCCTTGAAATTATTTGTGGAATCTGCTATATATTTTTTTTTAATTTTATTTTTTTTATTTTCAGCATAACAGTATTCATTGTTTTTGCACCACACCCAGTGCTCCATGCAATCCATGCCCTCTCTAATACCCACCACCTGGTTCCCCCAACCTCCCACCCCCGCCCCTTCAAAACCCTCAGATTGTTTTTCAGAGTCCATAGTCTCTCATGGTTCACCTCCCCTTACAATTTCCCCCAACTCCCTTCTCCTCTCTAACTCCCCTTGTCCTCCATGCTATTTGTTATGCTCCACAAATAAGCGAAACCATATAACTGACTCTCTCTGCTTGACTTATTTCACTCAGCATCATCTCTTCCAGTCCCATCCATGTTGCTACAAAAGTTGGGTATTCATCCTTTCTGATGGAGGCATAATACTCCATAGTGTATATGGACCACATCTTCCTTATCCATTCATCCGTTGAAGGGCATCTTGGTTCTTTCCACAGTTTGGCAACTGTGGCCATTGCTGCTATAAACATTGGGGTACAGATGGCCCTTCTTTTCACTACATCTGTATCTTTAGGGTAAATACCCAGTAGTCAATTGCAGGGTCATAGGGAAGCTCTATTTTTAATTTCTTGAGGAATCTCCACACTGTTCTCCAAAGTGGCTGCACCAACTTGCATTCCCACCAACAGTGGAAGAGAGTTCCCCTTTCTCCACATCCCCTCCAACACATATTGTTTCCTGTCTTGCTAATTTTGGCCATTCTAACTGGTGTAAGGTGGTATCTCAATGTGGTTTTGATTTGAATCTCCCTGATGGCTAGTGATGATGAACATTTTTTCATGTGTCTGATAGCCATTTGTATGTCTTCATTGGAGAAGTGTCTGTTCATATCTTCTGCCCATTTTTTGATATGATTGTTTTGTGTGTGTTGAGTTCGAGGAGTTCTTTATAGATCCTGGATATCAACCTTTTGTCTGTACTGTCATTTGCAAATATCTTCTCCCATTCTGTGGGTTGCCTCTTTGTTTTCTTGACTGTTTCCTTTGCTGTGCAGAAGCTTTTGATTTTGATGAAGTCCCAAAAGTTTATTTTCGCTTTTGTTTCCTTTGCCTTTGGAGACATATCTTGAAAGAAGTTGCTGTGGCTGATATCGAAGAGATTACTGCCTATGTTCTCCTCTAGGATTCTGATGGATTCCTGTCTCACGCTGAGGTCTTTTATCCATTTCGAGTTTATCTTTGTGTACGGTGTAAGAGAATGGTTGAGTTTCATTCTTCTACATATAGCTGTCCAGTTTTCCCAGCCACCATTTATTGAAGAGACTGTGTTTTTCCACTGTATATTTTTTCCTGTTTTGTCGAAGATTATTTGACCATAGAGTTGAGGGTCCATATGCTATATTATTTTTTGTCTTTCTTTTACTCTCCCAACCTCAATCTTCTCACTCAGTCTCAAGAAAGAAACAAATAGCTTGTATTTAGTCCCTCCACACCTCAGCCTAAGGGTTTAGAGAGAAAAAACCAACTAAGCTAAAAGTATAGAAATTTCAGATTAACCCAGGAATGTGTAGATGGTTAATTAGAAGGGAGCCAACATGAGGTTTGGTATTACGACACTGAGATCAGGACCTGAGCTAAAATCAAGAGTCAGATGCTTAACCAAATGAGCTACCCAGGCACCCTTCCTCATAGCATATTCACTTTAAGTTTTTTTTTTTTTTTAAAGACAATAAAAAAAGCTGGATAACTTTTATATATCAGTGTTCTGAGACCTCTAGTTTTAAGGCTACTGTCCTTTTTCATGGTACTTTCAACTTTTCTAAAATATCATAATTCAATATTATTGAATATTACATGCTGTGATAACAAAAATTTACCTCTGAAAAAGCATTAAAGTGTGCACATATATTTCTGAAATGCACATCTACCATCTGTGTTCTGGCATAGTCATGATGCTGACAGAATTATAGGCTGAATGCATGACTCTAAACACTACATAAATGCAGAATCAACCAGGCACCAGGTAAAATTCAAAGACTTCTTTAAGTGGTGTAGGAAAGATGATGAACAAATATAAATATGAATTTTATTTTTTTTTCAAATGTGAATTTTAAAAGGAAGTTAACATGCTTCACTCAAATATTCTAGCTATGCAAAAATGTCTGTTATTGTACGGGATAGATTAAAGAAATCTATCATATTTCATGAAATTAAATGTAAAAACCAAAAGTCAGTATAAAGATTCCAACATTATTATCATTCCTTTGGACTAATATAAATCATACTTGTATACTTAAGCCATAACATTTTCAAATTTGGGACACAAACGATCAAAATTATCACATACATATGTTACCAAGGTATAATATTTGACTAAAACATTTACAAATTACCTGCATCAAATTCAAATTCTGCTCCATCAGCACTGGTATCACTTTGAAGACCACCTCCATTGTCTAGCCCAAGTCCGTCTTCATGTTCGTGGTCCACAGCTGATTGAGGTTTCAGTGGCTGAGCTGGTCTGTGTAAGCTAACTCCTTTAAAGGCTGGTGTCACCACAATAAACTTCATCCACTGTCTTGCCAGTGCAACTAAACCTTTCTTTAAAGTTACCAAAGCAGGAAGTCCATCACTCTGTAACAACAATGATGAAATAATGTTACCACTTAAGTGCTTTCCATACATTTATTCATTTAAATTTCATAACCCCCATTTAGAGATGAAGAAACTAGAATTTATGTGTTATAATTTGTCCACAAAAGAGAGTATTTCAAGCTGACAATAGAACTCAATTTCTAAACACAACAGTGCATCTTTCTGTCATAAACAATGCCATACCAGGTGACTAAGAGGCTAAACATGGGGTACAAAATTGGAATTCTCCTTAAAGAGTACTAAATCCACTTTACCTTTATTGTTCTAGTGAGGAAATCAAATGTATTTCGAGCTATCCAGGATATTCATTAAACAAAGAAGAAATGAAATTACTCCCTTCAAAGATTAGGTAACCACCACTATTTTTAACATTAGAAGAAATAAATTACTATGGTTAAATGCTGGACACAGATGGATTTTTAACTGTTTTGAAAGTTAAATATATTATCAGTAACAATTACATAATTTAAAATACACTTTATCCCACATGGTAATGATTATAAGAAAGAAAATTTGGTTATTTTTCCAACTGGCACCTTAGTCTAAGAGTAAAATATCCAAATCCCCTCCAACCCCTTTCTTATAATTCCCTGTGTTAAGAGAAATGGCTCTAATTGAAGAGAGCCATTTATTGAACAACAGAAATCACCTCATTTACTTTCTGAGGAACATCAGATCTCTTTGCCTGTCCTTTCATTCTTAGACTCAAGTAATGAAAGCCATATTGTGTATTTTCCTCTTACATTAAAAGCTTAATCTCGGCAGAGCATCCACCCATGGGAAATGCCTGCCATTCTGTCTGTTTCAAGGTCTCTCTGCCGATGACTAGACAGGCAAGTTAGCCTTGCACTGTGGACCTCCAGTCTTCATCTCACAGGGTAGGAGTAAAAAGCACTATAGTAGTCTCAGGTCTAAGTACCTTTTTCAAATCTACCATTTACTAGAGATTCTCTCATTGGAGGTTATCAGAAGTTTGACTGGCTATTACATATTGATTCTAATTTGGCTAAACCTTTTGTGCATTTTCTATTGACCAAAAGGTTGGCAAGATGAGAGATCTCAAGTTCTAAGCCCCTAATGATGAGGTGTTACCTTCTATAGTGCTTTTCTAGAGGCAGACATATATTGTATTCATTTTGTGTTATGAAATACTCTCCCCATAACCATTAACTAGCCCTTCTTTTATTAAACATTTCTGTGAAATTTCATGCTGGTCATTCTTGCTTGAAATTCTTTATACCTCTGGCTTCTAAGACATTTTTTCCTGATTTTCCTACCTCTTCCTTTCCCTCCTCAGCATTCTTTGTAGCTCTCTCCACCTTTCTTTCATGTCTCCCCCACCCCTTTAATTTTGGTGTACTTCAGATATCCTTTCTTGACCAGCTTCTCCCTCAACATACTATCATTTCTAGAAGGCTCATCCATAACCACAGCTTCCAACACCTTCATGTTGGCACTTCCCAGATCATTCATCTCAGCCCACTGCTGTCTGTAAGCCTGTATGTTTAACCATATTTCTCCTTTGGACTTCCCAGCTGCATCTCAAACTGTGGGCCAATGAATGGCTCCTCAAAAGGACAGAGGCTTCTTCATCTTTTTTTTTTTTTTTTAAAGATTTATTTATTTATGTTAGAGGGAGAGAGACAGACTGGGAGCATGAGCAGTGAGAGGAACCGAGAGGGGGGATGAAAAAATCCCAAGCAGACTCCGCATGGAGCCCAACACAGGGCTTGATCTCACAACCCTGAGATCTTGACCTGAGCCAAAACTAAGAGTAGGATGCTAAGTGACTGGGCCGCTCAGGCACCCCAAGAATAGAGGTTTCTTTAAAGGTAACATATGGTTTCAGTAACTCACCATTGTAGCATCATCAATGATGGAGTAATTTGCCTGGTGCAGGTAGTGATGTAGTATATTGCACAGTAAACATGAAGGATTTTCTTGGAGAAAACGGGCAACTTTTGTAAGTCTGTTGTATTTACTTCTTAAGGGAAAATGTACACTTTTATTCTGAAACAAAGCAAAAACAATAGATACAGAGTGATGTATCAAAGACACTACAAATAGAAGATATCCAGTAATCAAGAACTTGCAGGTCTGTTGTTTTCCAACAATGATGAATAATTAGAGATCATGTTCTATAATAAACTGTATCAGATACCTTGTATTATTGATAGACATACCTCTAATGCTTCTGTCATTATGCATCCCATAACAGCACAAATTCTCAAGGTGCCCTCAGTTTCTAATTTGTTTAAGGATGATTTGAGTTGATCAATGGGAACAAGCCATGCACCAACAGCTGGAGTTGCAGTGCTTAAAAGATTCAGCTGCCTTTGAAAATTTAAAAAAAAAAAATTATAAAAACAACTGTCAAGACTGGTATTTCAAACAATCTTCCATACTTACTATACTTAGTGGCCATTTTACTTAGGCAAAATTACTTTTCATTTTGGCTATCAGATAAATCATAAACATGTAAGTAGAAAATGTGAAGAAAAGATAATAGAAAAGAAGGAAACATATTAAAACCTATTAGACGTGACAGTAAGAAGTTCAAGATGGTGTGACATATAATAGTAAAACTAAAGCCCTATGAAAGAAAAAGGGTCAAACAAGACAAGAATAATGTCTACAGAAAACATAAGGTAAGAAAGATGGTAAGAAGGTGGCAACCCTAATGCTATATAGATTAGAAAAATAACTTAAAAATAACTGAAACAGAATTGAAGGTTATTTAAAATGAAAAAAAAATCAAGGAATAGTACTACATATTTAAAACTTTTTACCTAGAAAATGCATGTGTAGGAGATCTCACATTGGTGGGAGCTGCAAAACTAAACCAAATTTCCTTGATGGTCAACTTCATGCTACATGAATCTGGAGGTGGAGGCATCAGAGGTAGATCTTTTTTCAAATCATCAGATTCAACTCCTTCATCCTACATAAAATAAAAAACCAAAAACTTCTAATGTATAGCTGCTTAAAACCACTAGTGCAAAGTAAATGTTTAAAGCACAAAATCTTCCCATTGAATCAAGGTCTACAGGTGACACCTTTATATAAAACAGGTAAAATAAACCTTGCTCAGCCTAACCCTGATTCTGAGAAATACCTATAGATCCTTGAAGCTCTATGGAGCAAAGACTGAAAAACCACTGCACTGCAGTAAGCCGTAAGTCACAGATCCTAGAACCGAATGCTTCTCTTGATCACTTCATTCAATTACATTTGTTTAGGGATGTTTAAGTATTTTTTTTTTTCCAGATGAAAAAAGTGAGAGAAAGAGGTTTTGTGACTTGTCAAAATTCATACAACTATTAAGGAGAATGAATGATAGAATCAATGTCTTCTACTTCCTACTACAATCTGTTTTCCATTCCATTTTAACAACATATTTCAAATTTCTAAAAACAAATTCCACAAATATACTAGTATAGTCCATGTTCAAATAAATAATACTCTATAATAAAACAGTCTTATTTATCTTGTATGCAGCAATCTGAATCAGTGTTAAGAAGTAGTAATTTTTTAAAATGTATAATTACCACTCTTTAGAATGCAGGGAGGTAAGCATAATATTAAAGAAATAAACAAAAAAGTCTACCACCTGTTATGTCTCTTCATAGTTCTCTAATTCACTTTTAGTTATTACTGGTCAAGATAAAAGACTGGCATTTCCTCATGGGACAATTAAAGAATGAAGAATATCCACAAAACAGCTCTGAATCCTAAAACAATGTGAACTATAGGCAATAGTTCACAAAACAATGTGAATTGTAGGCAATTGTTATTTTAAAGTTAGCAGATGCTAAATATAAGTCCACATTCCTTATCTGCAGCTCTAAATCTCATAACATTCTGAGAAATCTAAATATTTTTGTGTAAATGTGGCATCAAAACCTGATCTAAATTTGGTAAGTGGCTATTTATCCCACTTGGAGTTTTTATGAATGTTGTGCTACAATAGTATTTAAATATTTCAAGATGGAGTGCTCAGATTCCACTAGGAGTTTATGTAACATAAAACACATACCATATTACCTTTCTGTTAAAGGAAAAAAAATCTGAATTCTCAAATACATCTGTCCTGTGGGTTTCAGATAAGGTTGTTAGCTAGGCACTAAGTTTATAAAAGATAAAGAAGACAGTTTTCAGGAACTGAAATTTTTAAAAAGGGAAGGCAGCTTATAGATAGTAAGTAACTAATTATAATAGTATGTAAAGCAAAGCAATAATAAAGTTGGATAAGTTGGATTTAGGTTGGCTGAATTTTTGGTACCTATGGCATGTGTAAATGAAGATAGCTAACCAATGGGAAAGAGTTAGCATCATCAAATTACGGAGCAGGACTAGAAAATGAAGTAAATCAGGGAGTGGACATACAGAATTAAAAATTAAAAAAAGGTAGCCAAGAACAACATGGGAAGAATACCCACACTGAAGGACAAAGAACTGAATGAGGACATGGACCAAGAAAAGTCAGAGAACCCAAAGAAAGCAATGTTACAAAATTTAGGGATATTCAGCAAAGAGAGGAGGATCACAGAAATCAAGGAAGACAGCTGAGTTTCTGTCAAGTATTTCAGTGGGCTAGAAGGAGAAGGAAACAACAGCTGGATTCTTCCCAGCTCTTTTGTCCAGTGAGTAACTATTGTATTTTTAAATTTCCTTAATTAAAGTGCTAATCCCTGACCACCACTCAAATGCATCCAAAGACCTCACAAGAAAACTGTGATTAGACTCCTAACTATGGGGTGCCTGGGTGGCTCAGTGGGTTAAAGCCTCTGCTTTCGGCTCTGGTCATGATCTCAGGGTCCTGGGATTGAGCCCTGCATTGGGATCTCTGCTTGGCAGGGAGCCTTCCTCCTCCTCTTTCTCTCCTTGCCTCTCTGCCTACTTGTGATCTCTGTCTGTCAAATAAATTAAAAAAAAAAAAAAAACCTTAAAAAAGACTCCTAAATTATGCATCAAATCAAAATAAATATTTCAAAAAATAAACTACCAGAAACCTGGATTTAAGAGGTGATTATGCCAATGAATGGTGGATACCATAACATTTCTTAATTAAAAGGTATTTTTTTCCCTCTTCAATTGGTCTAATTTCCGAATGATCAGAAGTGTATGTACATGTGTGTTTAAAAACAACATTTACCAAGTTCTTACTATGTACTAGACACTGAGTTAAGCCTTTCATATGTATTATCTCCTTTAATCTTCACAAGTCTGGGTCAGTATCCTTACAATGCTATTATAGACAAAGAAACTTCAAAGAGGAAAAAGTCTGCACCCATCAGTTAGTGGTACAACTCTTTTGTAATCTAGAATTTTGAATATTTTTATTATTTCTATTATTAATCATCATGACATTCTACCATATTAAATATAATAAATGAGTTACATATAAAGTATTCTTCAGGACTCTAGCTAAAATGGGTGGATACTAAAAATATTTAGAACTTACATGAAATACTACCAGTGACAAAACTAAGTATTTACATGAATTCTGCTAAAATCCTTGAAACAACATCTAAGCAATGCCTACTTTTCTGAAATTCTATTAATTCATTAATTCAACAAATATTATTAAGTGCCCAATATGAGCAAGGCATTAAACAAGGTACTATGATAGATAAAAATATATCTATGGTACAGTACCTATGCTTCAGAAATTATGTTCTAGTAGTATAATCACCAAAATACATTGACTAAAATTTGAGCAAAATTCCAAATACTGAAAGAAGCAAATACACTCCAGAAATTAACTTTGAAATGAGTATATAGTTTTGTTATTTTTTTCAAAGCACTATTATTATTAAAAATTCACCAACTTGTTCATCTGAAACAGAATTTCCATTTAAGTCTGAAGAAGGGCTTATTCGATCACAAGGAAGATTATCATCAGAGACATCAGTATTATAGCCACTGCCAGTTGGAGAATCAGAAGAATTATTGGATGTCAGCACTCCACCTCTTTCTGTGACACTAGCTTTACCCATAATTCCAAAAGTATTATATAAAACAGCACCAGACTGTCTTCCACCTGTAAGAGAGAAGGAACGTATTAATTAAAAACAGTGGGTAGGGGCACCTCGGTGGTTCAGTTGTTAAGAGTCTGCCTTCGGCTCAGGTCATGATCCCAGGGTCCTGGGATCTAGCTTCTCATAAGGCTCCCTGCTCAGTGGGAAGCCTGATTCTTCCTCTACCACTCCCCTCTGTTTTGTTCCCTCTCTAGCTGTGTCTCTGTCAAATAAATAAATTAAATCTTTAAAAAACAAAATAAAACAAAAAAACAGTGGGTATCTCAATGTTGAACTCTACAGTACCCATAAAGATAAAAAAATAAAAATAAAAATTCATAGGAGTGCCTGGGTGGTTCAGTCGGTTAAGTTTCTGCCTTCAGCTCAGGTCATAATCTTGGGGTTCTAGGATTGAGTCCCAAGTCGGGCTCCCTACTCAATGGGGAGTCTGCTTCCCCCTCTCCCTCTGCCTCTCCCCACTGCTTGTGCTCTCTAATAAACAAATAAGTAAAATCTTTTAAAAAATTTTTTAAAAATTAAAAATTCATAAAGATCTTTTTTTTTCTCACCAAAACTTTGCCCTTATCTATAAAGGTCATGTAAGGCTGGATTACCAGGTAAAGAACTGTAGGCACACTTGATTACTATTATATACATGACTAAACCTAAACGTTTATATATAACTTATAACTCAACCTTACATAGAACTCAGCCTTCCTTTATATATTACTCAATAATGCAGAAAAAAATTGTATATAACTGTAAGTTATATACCTGTAAGTCAGTCTGTCACTGAATAAAGGATTTACAGTATTTTCATCCTTCCAAACTCTCCTAATAAAAAAATCCAGTTTCCAAAGATGCAAACTGTCAAAAGCTAGGTGGCTCTATATTTTACTCAAAATTTTTTTTTCTGAACCACAGATATTTTTGTTCAGGCAGTAATGTTTTGTATGTCTACATGCTCTGTAGATTTGAATCACACACTGAAGGGAAAGTCTCACTTACAGAATTGGGATGGGACACCCATCCTGGTAAATAATCCCAGGTCCCAACTTTATGCTTAAATATGCAGATTTGGGTTATTCAAAGTCACAATTGTTCAAAACATTTTAGCAATGTGGGACCAATTTGTCCCTCACTTAAGCAGAAATGGAAAAAAAAAATGCTTACCTTTTATGGTTAAATTTTCAAGTCCACATTCAAACATTATCCAACCCCATTTTTCTTGGCTGGGACCTATTCGAGTTACATCTGGAACAGCTTGCTGATCAGTTTCATCCACAAAAGTAAACTCATCCAACTCTTCAAGAGTAAATAAAACTTTGGATTTCTCAAAAGGAATAGCAGTGATGGCACAGGTACCTATATCTATTACCAAAAGAGAGCAAAATGAGCATCTTTAAAGACAGGTTTGCATTGTTTTAAAAAAAACATTTAGACACCGTCTTTGGGGTGATCCGTGGTGGACGTTTTGAGGGTAGCTGACCCATAGCCTGCGCATCCCATACTGCCTCCTGTGGAAGCCTGAGCTGGTCATGTAGCTTTCTCCCTCTGTCTCATAACTATGTCCACCAACGAGAACGCTAATTCACCAGCTGCCCACCTTACCAGATTCAAGAACAAGGGGAAACACAGTACAGAAATGAGGTGGCATCGAATATGGAGCTGAGGAAAGCTAAGAACGATGACCAGATGCTGAAAAGAAGAAATGTAAGCTTGTTTCCCGATGATGCTACCTCTTCACTGTAGGAGAACCGCAACAACCAGGGCACTGTAAATTGGTCTGTTAATGACACTGTCAAAGGCATAAATAGCAACAATTTGGAAAGCCAGCTCCAGGCTACTCAAGCTGCTAGGAAACTACTTTCTAGGGAAAAACCGCCTCCCATAGACAACATAATCCGGGATGGTCTGATTCCAAAATTTGTGTCCTTCTTGGGCAGAACTGACAGTAGTCCCATTCAGTTTGAATCTGCTTGAGACCCCGAGGAGATTAAAAAAAAAAAAAAATTGGGGACAGTGTCTGTCTTAAAAATGTATCTTAATACTGTCAAAAAGAAAGATAAATGAACTAATCAACTTCTGAAATAATGTCTAATGTCCTACAATTTAAAAAGCACCAGAATCACACTGAAATAAAAGGGAGGAAAAAAGATTCCATATTTAAGAAATAATTGCTCAGAGGCAGAATGAATTCATTTCTGAAAGATTATAGGGTACTCTAAAAATCTAAAGTTAAAAAAGCTCCTGAATAATTCAGCTTCATGGTAAATTATTTTTAAATACTTTCTCATCTTACAAAATAAAAAATCATTCTAATTAATTACCCAGCTACAAGAAAAACATTAGAAAATAGGGAAATTATAGCTTTTACTAAAGGACTGCTTTATGCTAACACATTTTATGTAATTATAATTCATAAAAGACATTGCCATAATTCCACCACTTACAATATGTGATATGGAAACTAACATCCTGCATGTCTGGCAAAGCCTTGTGTTTTATTTACTTTTTTTCATTTCTTTCTCTGATTACTGCTAATAAATACAGAAAAGCAAAAAAACAAAAAAAAAAAAAGATGAAAAAAATGTAAATTTAGCACCCAGAGATAACTTGTTTACAATCAAACTAAATTTCCTTACAGCTTTTTAGAGATTATTTTACAAACAAACCAGCTTTGATTCTGATATTTCAAGTAACAGTAAACCAAGATAATTTCCTAATGGCATTAAAAATTCTTCAAAGATATTATTTTAAGCTACATAATACTCGATCATATGAAAATACTATCTTTCACATTTATGGTTAGAAAAACTTTCTGATCAGAGAGTAAATATTCAGTTAAATTTTTCTATGCTTTTCTCATTATTTATATTTTATATCTGCCTTTAATTCCATGAACTTATTCTTATTATGAAATAAGGTGAGGATTAAAGTTAAATTTTATTTAAATTTTTTGATTAAGTAATACACTTGCATAGATCAAAGAAAGATACAAAACGAGTGAAAGGGTATACAATGAAAAGCCTGACACACACCCAAGGACATACTTCCTCTCCCCATAGGTAACAAATGTCATTAGATTATTGAGAATCCGTTCACAAATATCTTCTGAACATGTAAGCAAAGACAACTACATTTTTCCTTGCATTTTTATACAATGTTCGTTCAGTGTACCTTTCAATATTCTATTTAGTTACTTCTTGCACTCTTGTGCAATTGCAAACTGGTTACCAGTGTAAATTACAGAGCTGCTAAAAGTCTTTTTATATTCCAGCCACTGTATTTTGCACTAGCTTTAGGACGATAGATCTCAGGTAGCCAAGAAAAGTCTCTTTATTTGGAATCCTCAGTCAAATACTTTGCTCTCAAACACAAGGATACTGAAAGAAGATCTGAGAAAGCCACAACAGTTATACAGACCCAGAATACAGACAAGAATCATGGAAACTTCAGAGCCTATAGAATACAATGAGCAAAGTCAAGGTAATCATTTGTACATTCAGGATTAGTCATCTGTCCCACATGTAGATTTTAGCATAGCAATCGTCTCTAAAAGACTAACTAACTCAATGTTTTCTAGATTGAATCTCCTACTGTCTCAGATGATTTAAGCTTCTAAATGCACTGAATTACGTCAAAAATATTAAAAGGATATGTGACATCTCTGGTTTTCTTTTTCACCTCACCAGGGACTTTATTTAAGAGGCATAGCCAGATCGATCATTCTAATTGTTACTGTATTTTACAAACTTGACTATCTGCTTTTGATACTGCAATTAATTCTTTTTAATGAAGTTGTGCCAACAGAATGATTTTAAAAAGTAAGAAAGACAATAAAGATTCATACTCTTTCTTCTTTAATGAGCAAGCAGATACCATGAAGAAAACAAGAGATACAAGCAGTTCCTAATTGGGACCATACCACTTATTTTCCTACCAAAGTTTACCTTTCATTCTCATAGAACATGGTAAATAAACAGCTAAATACCATGTGCTCAATATATGCAGAAATACTTTTCTATAAAAATACTCAAATTGTAGCAATATTTGAAAAAAAAACATGTTTCCTTTTGCATTATCCTCTTTTATTTTTACATGTCAAAGAAAAAATATTTGTTGTAGATCCTACCTGTTGTATCAAGACCTCTAAGTTGCCCATGAACTCGATGAATATTTAACTTGGCTGCAATTTCTTTGCCTTTTTCTGCTCCGGCATTTGATCTGAGAGATCCAGATGACTGAGGCTGCATTTTAGTGGCATGGACATACCTATCAAAATTTGATGTTCTACCAGGTTCTGTATTATTTGAAGTCTCTTCAACTACACCTCTTAATAAAAATATAAAAAAGTATGATGGTTAACATTTAAATAATATAGTTCAGTAAAAACATTTAATAAGCAGTTATTTTTAAAAAACTGCACTGTTGTAATTAAGCCATTATTAATAAATTTTTCAGTGTTTACTGAAAAACAGTATGAGTAAAAACTTTTAAAGATAACTTTTGTTATCTATAGTAATACCTGAAATTCCAATACCAATTTTGAGTTTAAACATTAGAATTTTCAGAAATGTATTTAAATGGTTATGGCTTACTTTTACAACCAACAAGAAAATTATGGCTCAATAAAATCTTTCTCACCTGTTCATACGAACTTGTGTAGCAATTCTGTCAAAACACAATGCTATTAGAGAAACATGAGTCACACTTTTACTAGGAGCCGTACTTGGAGATTCTTCCACTGAGGCTTGTAACAAACATAAGTTTACCTAACACACAAAATGTCATAAATTTCAGAGATACAAAGTGAAATATTATCACTTAAACATAAGATATACAGGAAAATGAAAAACTACTGTTAAGAATGGTCTATCTATGTGTCTGAGAGTAACGAAGATAAAGCTTATAAACAGACTCATTAAGTAATCATAATTCAATTGTTACTAGATGGATATGGAATATTTTAGTAAATACCACCCAATATTCCATTTACATAAACTATTTGTATTATTAATTTTTATATTAGTTCATCAAAGGAATAAGATACGTATTTTTGATATTATAATCTATTCTACCGCTATTCAGTTTAGTAAATTCAGAGGATAAAAACCAGCAAAATGTTCTCCTCTTCCAGGAAAATTTTTTTAAATATTAAATGGTTACCTTTGGTATGCTAACATTAGCCTGAAGACCTTTAATTGTTACATTATCTTGCTTCAATACAAGATTTGTCTGTGCTTGTCCTTGATTAGTCGTTCCTATGGTAGCATGTTCAGTTTTTGTTCCTCTAACATCTTGTTTGGAAGATAGCTAAAGAGATTAAAGTAGAATTGTTATTTCATAGAACTTTCATAATTTCCATAACGTTCACAAGGGCAACTTGCTTATTCACTGTGCTCCCTTATGCCTATCTATGTGTCAGCTGCCATCCCAGTTAGCACCCATACTCTTTTTTTTTTTAAAGATTTTATTTATTTATTTGATAGAAATCACAAGTAGGCAGAGAGGCAGGCAGAGAGAGAGGAGGGGAGCAGGCCCCCCGCTGAGCAGAGAGCCCCATGTGGGGCTCGATCCCAGGACTCCAGGATCATGACCTGAGCCGAAGGCAGAGGCTTAACCCACTGAGCCACCCAGGCGCCCCAGCACCCATACTCTTAAAGTCCAAACTTCAAGTAGCTAGGAAAAATACTGGCAGCTTCAGGGCTGAGAAAAGTTATATAAAATAAAGTGAAACCAATCTACAGAGAAACAGAAAAAAAAATGGCAATAAGTATTATTTTAGAATCACGAAAATGTATTTATTTGATAGTATATTTTGGATTTGATAATTGGCTCCTTGTTGACTGGGAACATTTTCAAACTTCTTTGATGTATACTCCTCTACCCTAGGAAATGCCAATGTTTTGAACAGTTGGATCATTAAAAATAATCAGCCTTACTTTACCTTACCTCTGGTCTCTTGCCCAAATATGAACAAGATAAATTTGAAAGTCAAATGGAGAATCACCAGAAGAGCATCAGGATATGACTGCTAAGAAACTGGCTCCATAGCTAGAACTGCTGCATAAGTAGACTATCACATACAGGAGATGATGACTTGAGTCACTGAGGTGACCAAAAATAATCTCAAAAATATTTTTTTTTCTGTTTTAGTGGGCATCTGTTTTGCCTGCTACTTTATTTTCCAACCTAAAATCATACCCATTTTTAAATAATCTTTTTATTATGTTATGTTAGTACAGCACATCATTAGTACTACACAGTACATCATTAGTTTTTGATGTAGTGTTCCAAGATTCATTGTTTGCATATAACAATCTGTGCTCCATGCAATCTGTGCCCTCCTTAATACTTATCATTGGGCTCACCCATCTCCCCACCCCCTACCTTCCTAAAACCCTCAGCTTGATTCCTGGAGTCCATAGTCTCTCATGGTACCATGATAAAATAATCTCAAAAATATTAAGATACAAATGATCTAATCACAGAGAAAAGCCAAATTATATGCAGCTTTGCTGTCTTAGAAACTGCATGTACCGACCTGAAGAATGCTCATTCACTCAGGACCGAAGTTCTTTCAGAAAGGCTTACAATTAATTAAGCTACTTCCAAAATAAAAGAAAAAATAAAGCTACAAATTTAATAAATATTTTATTGCTATTTAATCCACAGTATAGTTATATACATTATCTCTTAAGGAGCCAATAACAAACATATAATGACTATTTAGAAGTGTCCATGTATTCCAATTTAAATGGCTAATAAAATTTTAATATATTCCATTTTTTTTCAAGTTCAGATATCATATATACATGAAGAGTACTCAACTTGCTAAACTCATTGAATAAAAAGTTCTTACATTTTCTGAGAAGGTAGTCTTGCTATTTTGGACAGCCTCCCTGAGGACTTTGGCATGGAGATCATCTACAATTGCAGCTGGATGGCGGGTACTAGCACAATGAACCATTGCTTCAATGTACCTGAGGGAAGAAAAATAGTACAGGAAAAACCTAAATATCACTTAATACTATGGCCTACTTTATCTAAACTGTTCTGTTATGTTCCATTCTAGAGTCCACTCATGGTAGTTTTGTCTCCCTCAGTAGATTATAAGCTCCTTGCAGGACAGAGAAATCTATTATTTTTAAACCTATTTTCATCTTTGTGCAACCAAAACAGCCATCATCAATATTCTTCTTCATGAATATGTATCACATATGATAATTATATCACATATACTTAATCATTTTATAAAACATTACTTAAAAATTATGTTCTCCAACAAAATTAATACCTGTCTAAAGCTTCGGCTACCAGGGGAGTCAGAACAATATCAACAGTCCCTTTCACTTCAACTATGGCTGTGGTCCTGGTCTGAGAGACCGGCTGATCCAGGGTCCACTCTTCTGCCAATGTTTCATCATCTGTGTTATCAACCGTTTTCTTTTCCAGAGGAGTGTATGGTGTACTATACAATTTAATAACAAAATATGTATTAAAAAGACCATGAAAAAGAACAGAAGTTAGAGCTTCCTTAAGATGAATAATCACTCAAATACACATTCAATTTCAACTAAAATTTTCATGGAATCAGACTAGATGCTTATGTCCCAAATGCTTGGCAGAGATAGGTGAGATGCAAATATGCAAACTGATCAAAGATGGTTAATACATCAAGTAAGAAGAAAAAGGTCGATATATTTACTTGATGGGGCTTTTCCAAATTATGAAAATTACAATACTGAATTCTTATTAGTTCCCAATTTCGATATGCCAAGTTATGGCTTGCACATTAGGTCCAACAGAAATGCTAGTGGCTGCTAATAAATGTTGGCAAAGCCATGACAGACAACAGAGTTGAATTATTTACGGTAGTTAATTCATTTTTTAAAAATATTCCAGGGTGTCTGGGTGGCTCAGTGGCTTAAGTGTCTGCCTTCGGCTCAGGTCATGATCCCAGGGTTCTGGGATTGAGCCCTACTTCAGGCTTCCTGCTCAGTGGGAAGCTTCTCCCTCTCCTTCTCCCTCTGCCTGCCAACTCCCTTCCCCCACTTGTGTGCTTCCCCACTCTCTCTCTGTCAAATAAACAAATAAAATCTAAAAAATAAATTTTCCAGAACTAATCTTATTTTTCTTTCATTTTCCCAAGGCCCTGGACAATTCCTCCATATGATGGCCAATGAAATGTTACTTATAATAATGAATAAATAAAAATGAGAAGCTGTAAAAAAGATGAAATAAAATGAAATGCAAGGCCAACTATTTACTGTTTATAAGAAAATACACTTAAAGTGTAAATACAATAGGCAGGTTGAAAATTAAAAAAAAATAGTAATAATGGAAAAAGATACTCCATGAATACATATGTATCACTCAGCCTGAGAAAGCTGAGGTGGCTGGATTAATATCAAAATGGACTTAAAAGAATTATTATATGGGCTAAAGAGGAAATTTAGGTAATGATAAAATGATATAAGCAGACATATCAGTGTGTAAAAACTACTAAGAGCTTCAAAATACATTAAGAAAAAACTGATAGGGGTGCCTGGATGGCTCCGTTGGTTAACTGACTGTCTTCAGCTCAGGTCCCTGATTCTGGGGCCCCAGGATCAAGCCCCACATTGGGCTCCCTGCTCAATGGTTGAGTCTGCTTCCTCCTCTCCCTCTTGACCCTTCCCCCGATCATGCTCTCTCTCTCAAATGAATAAAAAAAAAAAAAATCTTAAAAAATTTTTTAAAAAACTGATAGAACTGAAGGCAGAAATAAATTAACAACTTTAATTAAACTTTACTTTCCCAGAAACTGATAAAAATGGTGAACAACAAACCAGTAAGCTTGTAGAAGATTTGATAACACCATCCACCAACTCTGCCATGTGTAGAACACTACTCCATCCAATAACTGCAGAAAACACTTTCCTTTCTACTGTTTGTGGAACACTTACCAACACAGACGACAAGCCGGGGTACAACACAAGTCTCAACAAATGTAAAGATCAAAATCACAAAGACCATACTATGTGATTACAAAATGAAATTAGAAATTAAAAACAAAATGATATCTTTTAAAATTCTCAAGTATGTGGAAATTAAGCATTGCATTTCTAAATAAGCATGGGTCAAAGAATTAAATTAAAAGAGAAAAATTTAACATAAATAAATAATAAAGTTTATAGCCAAGTAAAGAATGGCTATTTCTCAGAATAAACTCTACATATCTAATAATCAATAAAGACTGACTTTAAACTTCAAAAGTATGTAACTTCTACTTACTTTGAAGTTGATCCTGAAAGTTGCATTCCTCTGTCTAGTAAAGAATTAGCTGTGAGCCCCTGTTTGATAACCTAAAATAATATAAAATATTACTCACAGTCTAGAATCTTAATGTTATTTGTTCTCTAATTTTATGCTATCAACTGGCATTTGTGAATATCCAAATTACCTTGTTAATATGACTCTGATATGTACAACAAAAATACTTAACATATAGAAGCACCTGGGTGGCTCAGTGGGTTTCAGCTCAAGTCATGATCTCAAGATCCTGAGACTGAGCCACGTGTAGGGATTCTCTCTCCCTCTCTCTCTACCCTCCACCTGCTCATTCTCTCTCTCCCTCTCTCTAATAAACAAATCTTAAAAAAAATATTTAACAGACAAATTGAGAAATATCATATAAAATATGAATTGGCAATTTCATTTTCTGACTATTCAGATAAATGACAGGGTAGGGTTGACAATGAGGGTAAAAGACTATACAACTAAAGCTCAAAAGTAAGTGCTTCAAATGTTTTTCCTCCTGAATTCCTTAACAAACTGAGCTTTTCTTAAACTAATTTTAGAATGTTCTCCTGGCACAATCAATTTTTAAGTAGGGAAGACTCCCAGAGAAACATTAAATTATAGGAAAAACTGACATATTGTATGTCCAGAAAAGAAAACAAATAAAATAATACATTTGATTATTCAAACCAAACTTAATGCTTTTACATGTTAGACAGTTATTCATATTTAATAGAGAAAAATAACTTTCTTACAACCTATATTCTATTTTGATTTATCTAAAGATATGAACTTCTTCCCTGACTTATTTATTTCAGAGATTTGATTGCCTAATCAAACTAGAAAGATTTACTGAAAACACTAAAATAATTCTAACTTCTTAGGTACAATTCTGTATTGGAAGTACCATTGAGTTTTATACTGGAAAATTCATATACCTACATACTTTCACATGGAATAAAGAGAACATTTTGAAATCTTTTTTTTTTTTTTTTTTTTTTTAGTTATTTGAGACAGATCACAAGTAGGCAGATAGGCAGGCAGAGAGAGAGAGGAAGGGAAGCAGGCACCCTGCTGAGCAGAGAGCCCGATGTGGGGCTTGATCCCAGGACCCTGAGACCATGACCTGAGCCGAAGGCAGAGGCTTAACCCACTGAGCCACCCAGGCGCCCCATCATTTTGAAATCTTAATGGGCAATTTATATTGGGCAAGAGGCACAACCTTAAAACCAAAACTTTGGGGGTACTGGGTGGCTCAGTTGGTTAAGAGTCTGCCTTTGGCTCAGGTCATGATCTCAGGGTCCTAGCATGGAGCTCTGAGATAGGCTACCTGTCAGCAGGGAGTCTGCCTGTCCCTCTCTGCAACCCCTGCTCATGCTCTTTCTGCCTCTATCTCAAATAAATAAAATCTTAAAAAATACACACACACACAAAACTTTGTAACTGTCACTAATGTTTCTTCTTCCTTCAACACATATTGCTCAAATGCATATATATTTTTTTCCCAACTCCATCTATCACATTTCCAGCAGTCCTTAAGTCTAGTCCTGTCACCTCTTACACAGATTGCTGCCAACAGCTTCCTAAGTGATCACCCCAACCTTCCCACTTCATGACAGTTCAATTCTTCTACTCAGTATCCAAGTACATGAGAGCACATTTCCTTAAAGCTCTCACAGGTTTCCTAATGAAATTTCAATGAAATTGTAAGAACTGATACCATGGTCTATAAGTTCTTAATGATCTGTCCCTTGTTTAGGTCTCTAGCATCAAAATGAGCAGTCTCCCTGCTAACTTACTTATGTGTACTGACTTCTCTCCCACTTGAGAATTTTAGCAAGGCTCCTGCCTGTGCCTAGGTCTTCCCATCATCAGTTCCTTCAGTTTAAATATTACCTCCTCAGTTAGACGTTTCATGTCAATACAATATAGGTAGCTCCACCCCCCCATTATTCTCTATTCTAGCATTTTTGAATTATCTTCATAAGACTCTTCTCAACTTGTAATCATGTACTTATCTGTTTTATCTATTAACTGTCTGTCTCCCACACCTAAACTGTAAGTCCTATGCCCATTTTCCTCATCACTGCATATCAAATGCCTGGCACACAGCAGTTCATAATAAATACTGAATTAAGAATATGTAAATTAACTATGTAAGTATATACCACATAAGATTCCTACACAGTTATTCAGTTCTGTAAGATTTTCTCTGCTTAATTTTGTTCTTTAAAATCATAAAAAATTCTCTTATAAATGTATAATTTCATAAAAAGTTTTCATATTGTCTATTATCACTAGTTTGTTAATGTATTTTGTTTTCCTTTAAAAAGCCACTACATAATTCACTACAGAAATAGACAATAACCAATTCCTGCTAAAATACAAAATGTCAAATGTCAAGTGCATGGAATTGGATTTGCACAGTAGCAGTTACAGATTAAGTAAAAAGAACACCAGCTATTAAAAACAATTTCAAAATTTTATTTTTAAGACACACAGAAATTTGAATTCAGAGACTTGATCTTAATCTTAGAACATAATGTAGACAGAGACTATATATTAACTGATTAACATTGTGACAAGCAAGTCTGAAACTAATCCTCAATTTGAGATGTTTAAGTTTATAATACTCATCAATAACCCTGAGATTTATTGTCACACATGAAGCCATGACTTCAGAAATTCTTTCTTTCAAGAAGATAGTTAAAATGACTGAGAGAGGGGGAGGAGTCAAGATGGCGGAGAAGTAGCAGGCTAAGACTACTTCAGGTACCGGGAGATCAGCTAGATAGCTTATCTAAAGATTGCAAACACCTACAAATCCAACGGGAGATCGAAGAGAAGAAGAACAGCAACACTAGAAACAGAAAATCAACCACTTTCTGAAAGGTAGGACTGGCAGAGAAGTGAATCCAAAGAGACAGGAAGATAGACCGCGGAGGGAGGGGCCGGCTCCTGGCAAGCAGCGGAGCAACGGAGCACAAAATCGGGACTTTTAAAAGTCTGTTCCGCTGAGGGACATCGCTCCAGAGGCTTAACCGGGGTGAAGCCCACGTAGGGTCAGCGTGGCCTCAGGTCCCGCAGGGTCACAGAAGGATCGGGGGTGTCTGAGTGTCGCAGAGCTTACAGGTATTAGAACAGGGAAGCCGGCTACAGAGACAGAGCCGAGGAGTAAGCTCTAAGCTCGGGGTTACCTTGAACCGGTCGCAGGCTCGGTCAGCTCGGAGCGTGGCCGGAGGCAGGGTGACGGGAGTAATTGGGCGCTGTTCTCTGAGGGCACACTGAGGAGTGGGGCCCCGGGCTCTCGGCTCCTACGGGCCGGAGACCGGGAGGCCGCCATCTTCATTCCTGCCCTCCGGAACTCTACGGAAAGCGCTCAGGGAACAAAAGCTCCCGAAAGCAAACCCGAGCGGATTACTCAGCCAGGCCCCTGGTAAGGGCGGTGCAACTCCACCCAGGGCAAAGACACTTGAGAATCACTACAACAGGCCCCTCCCCCAGAAGATCAACAAGAAGCCCAGCCAGGACCAAGTTCACCTACCAAGGAGTGCAGTTTCAATACCAAGGAGAGCAGCGGAATTCCAAAGGAGGAGAAAGCAAAGCACGGAACTCATGGCTTTCTCCCCATGAATCTTTAGCCTTGCAGTTAATTTAATTTTTTTTCTTTTTCAATTTATTTTTCTTCTTCTGCTAAATTTTTTTAACTTTTACCCTTTTCCTTTTTAACGTTTATTAACTAGTTTAATATATATATATATTTTTTTCCTTTTTATATTTTTTCTTTATTGGTTTTCTTTTTTTAACTGTTTCTTTTTTTTCTCTCTCTCTCTTTTTTTTTTTTTCTTCTTTCTGAACCTCTTTTTATCCCCTTTCTCCTCCCTCACGATTTGGGATCTCTTCTGATTTGGTTAAAGCATATTTTCCTGGGGTTGTTGCCACCCGATTAGTATTTCACTTGCTCCTTCATATACTCTTATCTGGACAAAATGACAAGGTGGAAAAATTCACCACAAAAAAAAGAACAAGAGGCAGTACCAAAGGCTAGGGACCTAATCAATACAGACATTGGTAATATGTCAGACCTAGAGTTCAGAATGACGATTCTCAAGGTTCTAGCCGGGCTCAAAAAAGGCATGGAAGATATTAGAGAAACCCTCTCCGGAGAGATAAAAGCCCTTTCTGGAGAAATAAAAGAACTAAAATCTAACCAAGTTGAAATCAAAAAAGCTATTAATGAGGTGCAATAAAAAATGGAGGCTCTCACTGCTAGGATAAATGAGGCAGAAGAAAGAATTAGTGATATAGAAGACCAAATGACAGAAAATAAAGAAGCTGAGCAAAAGAGGGACAAACAGCTACTGGACCATGAGGGGAGAATTCGAGAGATAAGTGACACCATAAGACGAAACAACATTAGAATAATTGGGATTCCAGAAGAAGAGGAAACAGAGAGGGGAGCAGAAGGTATATTGGAGAGAATTATTGGAGAGAATTTCCCCAATATGGCAAAGGGAACAAGCATCAAAATCCAGGAGGTTCAGAGAACCCCCCTCAAAATCAATAAGAATAGGTCCACACCCCGTCACCTAATAGTAAAATTTACAAGTCTTAGTGACAAAGAGAAGATCCTGAAAGCAGCCCGGGAAAAGAAGTCTGTAACGTACAATGGTAAAAATATTAGATTGGCAGCAGACTTATCCACAGAGACCTGGCAGGCCAGAAAGAGCTGGCATGATATATTCAGAGTACTAAACGAGAAAAACATGCAGCCAAGAATATTATATCCAGCTAGGCTATCATTGAAAATAGAAGGAGAGATTAAAAGCTTCCAGGACAAACAAAAACTGAAAGAATTTGCAAACACCAAACCAGCTCTACAGGAAATATTGAAAGGGGTCCTCTAAGCAAAGAGAGACCCTAAAAGTAGTAGATCAGAAAGGAACAGAGACAATATACAATAACAGTCACCTTACAGGCAATACAATGGCACTAAATTCATATCTCTCAATACTTACCCTGAATGTTAATGGGCTAAATGCCCCAATCAAAAGACACAGGGTATCAGAATGGATAAAAAAACAAAACCCATCTATATGTTGCCTACAAGAAACTCATCTTAAACCTGAAGACACCTCCAGATTTAAAGTGAGGGGGTGGAAAAGAATTTACCATGCTAATGGACATCAGAAGAAAGCAGGAGTGGCAATCCTTATATCAGATCAATTAGATTTTAAGCCAAAGACTATAATAAGAGATGAGGAAGGACACTATATCATACTCAAAGGAACTGTCCAACAAGAAGATCTAACAATTTTAAATATCTATGCCCCTAACGTAGGAGCAGCCAACTATATAAACCAATTAATAACAATATCAAAGAAACACATCGACAATAATACAATAATCGTAGGGGACTTTAACACTCCCCTCACTGAAATGGACAGATCATCCAAGCAAAAGATCAACAAGGAAATCAAGGCCTTAAATGACACACTGGACCAGATGGACATCACAGATATATTCAGAACATTTCATCCCAAAGCAACAGAATACACATTCTTCTCTAGTGCACATGGAACATTCTCCAGAATAGATCATATTCTCAGTCCTAAATCAGGTCTCAACCGTTATCAAAAGATTGGAATCATTCCCTGCATATTTTCAGACCACAATGCTCTGAAGCTAGAACTCAATCACAAGAGGAAATTTGGAAAGAACCCAAATACATGGAGACTAAACAGCATCCTTCTAAAGAATGAATGGGTCAACCAGGAAATTAAAGAAGAATTGAAAAAATTCATGGAAACAAATGATAATGAAAACACAACGGATCAAAATCTGTGGGACACAACAAAGGCAGTCCTGAGAGGAAAATATATAGCGGTACAAGCCTTTCTCAAGAAACAAGAAAGGTCTCAGGTACACAACCTAACCCTACACCTAAAGGAGCTGGAGAAAGAACAAGAAAGAAACCCTAAACCCAGCAGGAGAAGAGAAATCATAAAGATCAGAGCAGAAATCAATGAAATAGAAACAAACAAACAATAGAACAAATCAACGAAACAAGGAGCTGGTTCTTTGAAAGAATTAATAAGATCGATAAACCCCTGGCCAGACTTATCAAAAAGAAAAGAGAAAGGACCCAAATAAATAAAATCATGAATGAAAGAGGAGAGATCACAACGAACACCAAAGAAATACAGACAATTATAAGAACATACTATGAGCAACTCTACGCCAACAAATTTGACAATCTGGAAGAAATGGATGCATTCCTAGAGACATATAAACTACCACAACTGAACCAGGAAGAAATAGAAAGCCTGAACAGACCCATAACCACTAAGGAGATTGAAACAGTCATCAAAAATCTCCAAACAAACAAAAGACCAGGGCCAGATGGCTTCCCGGGGGAATTCTACCAAACATTTAAAGAAGAACTAATTCCTATTCTCCTGAAACTGTTCCAAAAAATAGAAATGGAAGGAAAACTTCCAAACTCATTTTATGAGGCCAGCATCACCTTGATCCCAAAACCAGACAAGGATCCCATCAAAAAAGAGAACTACAGACCAATATCCTTGATGAACACAGATGCAAAAATTCTCGCCAAAATACTAGCCAATAGGATTCAACAGTACATTAAAAGGATTATTCACCACGACCAAGTGGGATTTATTCCAGGACTGCAAGGTTGGTTCAACATCCGCAAATCAATCAATGTGATACAACATATTAATAAAAGAAAGAACAAGAACCATATGATACTCTCCGTAGATGCTGAAAAAGCATTTGACAAAGTACAGCATCCCTTCCTGATCAAAACTCTTCAAAGTGTAGGGATAGAGGGCACATACCTCAATATTATCAAAGCCATCTATGAAAAACCCACCACAAATATCATTCTCAATGGAGAAAAACTGAAAGCTTTTCCGCTAAGGTCAGGAACACGGCAGGGATGTCCGCTATCACCACTGCTATTCAACATAGTACTAGAAGTCCTAGCCTCAGCAATCAGACAACAAAAGGAAATTAAAGGCATCCAAATCGACAAAGAAGAAGTCAAACTATCACTCTTTGCAGATGATATGATACTATATGTGGAAAACCCAAAAGACTCCACTCCAAAACTGCTAGAACTTGTACAGGAATTCAGTAAAGTGTCAGGATATAAAATCAATGCACAGAAATCAGTTGCATTTCTCTACACCAACAACAAGACAGAAGAAAGAGAAATTAAGGAGTCAATCCCATTTACAACTGCACCCAAAACTATAAGATACCTAGGAATAAATCTAACCAAAGAGAGTAAGAATCTATACACAGAAAACTATAAAGTACTCATGAAAGAAATTGAGGAAGACACAAAGAAATGGAAAAATGTTCCATGCTCCTGGATTGGAAGAATAAATATTGTGAAAATGTCTATGCTACCTAAAGCAATCTACACATTGAATGCAATTCCTATCAAAGTACCATCCATTTTTTTCAAAGAAATGGAACAAATAATCCTCAAATTTATATGGAACCAGAAAAGACCTCGAATAGCCAAAGGAATATTGAAAAAGAAAGCCAAAGTCGGTGGCATCACAATTCCGGACTTCAAGCTCTATTACAAAGCTGTCATCATCAAGACAGCATGGTACTGGCACAATAACAGACACATAGATCAATGGAACAGAATAGAGAGCCCAGAAGTAGACCCTCAACTCTATGGTCAACTCATCTTCGACAAAGCAGGAAAGAATATCCAATGGAAAAAAGACAGCCTCTTCAACAAATGGTGTTGAGAAAATTGGACGGCCACATGCAGAAAAATGAAATTGGATCATTTCCTTACACCACACACGAAAATAGACTCAAAATGGATGAAGGATCTCAATGTGAGAAAGGAATCCATCAAAATCCTTGAGGAGAACACAGGCAGCAACCTCTTCGACCTCAGCCGCAGCAACACCTTCCTAGGAACATCGCCAAAGGCAAGGGAAGCGAGGGCAAAAATGAACTATTGGGATTTTATCAAGATCAAAAGCTTTTGCACAGCAAAGGAAACAGTTAACAAAACCAAAAGACAACTGACAGAATGGGAGAAGATATTTGCAAACGACATATCAGATAAAGGGCTAGTGTCCAAAATCTATAAAGAACTTAGCAAACTCAACACCCAAAGAACAAATAATCCAATCAAGAAATGGGCAGAAGACATGAACAGACATTTCTGCAAAGAAGACATCCAGATGGCCAACAGACACATGAAAAAGTGCTCCACATCACTCGGCATCAGGGAAATACAAGTCAAAACCACAATGAGATATCACCTCACACCAGTCAGAATGGCTAAAATTAACAAGTCAGGAAATGACAGATGCTGGCGAGGATGCGGAGAAAGGGGAACCCTCCTACACTGTTGGTGGGAATGCAAGCTGGTGCAACCACTCTGGAAAACAGCATGGAGGTTCCTCAAAATGTTGAAAATAGAACTACCCTATGACCCAGCAATTGCACTGCTGGGTATTTACCCTAAAGATACAAACGTAGTGATCTGAAGGGGCACGTGCACCCGAATGTTTATAGCAGCAATGTCTACAATAGCCAAACTATGGAAAGAACCTAGACGTCCATCAACAGACGAATGGATAAAGAAGATGTGGTATATATACACAATGGAATACTATGCAGCCATCAAAAGAAATGAAATCTTGCCATTTGCGACGACGTGGATCGAACTAGAGGGTATCATGCTTAGCGAAATAAGTCAATCGGAGAAAGACAACTATCATATGATCTCCCTGATATGAGGGAGAGGAGATGCAACATGGTGGGTTAAGGGGGTAGGAGAAGAGTAAATGAAACAAGATGGGATTGGGAGGGAGACAAACCATAAGTGACTCTTAATCTCACAAAACAAACTGATGGTTGATGGGGGGAGGGGGGTTGGGGGGGTGGGGTTATGGACATTGGGGAGGGTATGTGCTATGGTGAGTGCTGTGAAGTGTGTAAACCTGGCGATTCACAGACCTGTACCCCTGGGGATAAAAATATATTATATGTTTATAAAAAATAAAAAAAAAAAAAAGACTGAGAGAAAAATTCTAGAAACATCTTAAAAATTGATTTATCTAAGTAAACCTATCAGTGGAAACTAATGATTTAGTTTATACCTTAAAAGTTGGAACAGAAAGCTGTTCAAATGATGATGAGCTTTCTTCACTGGTTGGAGTATCCAGATCAAGGGGACGATGCAATGAGGACTTAGAGGTTCTTTTGTTAGTAGGGTGCTTCACTGACCAATTAATTACCTGGAACTGAGTAAGATAAGTCTGATAACAATTCATCACAGGTTGTTGAGAAGTAATCTGTTCACTCTCTAGTGTTTTCTCAACCTCTACAACATACGGATGTTCTATAACATCATCTTCTCCACCTAATGCAGAAACAAATGAAGCCTGGGAAGGATGAGTTTTGAATGGCAGAGTTCGGGGATCCTGAATGGTCTCTCCATGGCCAGTAAGTGGTCCTTCTACACTGTGATATATGGAACCCCTACTGTAGTCAATCTGCTGTGTTTGCTTTTTCTTCTTTTTTCTACCTGGATAAGTTCCAGGGCCTTCATCACTGCTAATGGGCTCAAATTCCTCGGCTGCAGAAAAGTAGGCTTCACTATCAGCCATTGACATGCTGGAATCCATTGACCGATATTGATGAAATGAATTGGAGTCTGCCGATGGCGTGTATGGAAATGAACCAAAACTTCTTCTCTGCTTTGGTGAGTCTAATACATTCTCATCACTTCGGGAGACATCACTACTAAACTGGACTCCAACTGTAACAGGCTGCTTGTCCCCATAAAAAGCAGCAGTAAGGCTCTTGGTACTCCCAAGTCGAGTGGAACATACAGAAGCTTGTCGTTTCAAGGGAGATCTCAAAGGAGATTGACCTACTGACTTTTCCTGAGTATTAGGAGACACGGGGCTGTTTCCTGGAATTTCTGTAGGAATGCTAAAATGGAAAGCAAAGCTATTACCATTTACTATACATCATATAAGTATCAATAGAAGTACTTATAAAATCTTTATAGTAATTTTAATCATTTATTTTGCAAATAAAGGAAAATCTAAAATTTTACAATGAATTATCTATACAAAGTAGCAAAACAGCACAATAAGTGTTCATACCTCATGTAGTTCCAAATAAATCGAGGCGGTTTACAACATAATAAAAACTTAAACCCAAAGTATAATCTTCTATCCATGATTTGTGGACACTAATGCATTTATACCTTTTTTTTTAACATCCTTTAAAAGTCTGTCTAACACAATATATCAGGGGCCCCTTTGAATAAATGAGAGGGACTGAAGGAGAGGAAAGAGCTAGAGATAGCCCCACTATCATCACCTTTAGAAACTGGTGCTAGTGCCATTTACTGAGGCAGAATAAGTTGAGCATGACAGGTACAAGGTCATTTTTTATAGGCTGAGTTTGAGGTCTCCATGAAACACACAAATAGAAATATCAAAAAGGTAGCTGGGCCTAGAGGCACAAAAGTTTTGGCTAGAGTTTTAGATTTAGAAGATGTTGGCTACAGATCATAACTGAAGCCAAATCATCACTGAAACTATCTAGGGAAACAATACAGAATGAGTGGAGATAAAGGTACAGAACAGAGCCCTAAGCATCCAGAACATCTAACAAATGGCCAGCTGAAAGAGGAAGAAAAGAAGAAATGGAAGACCTGGAAATAGGGAATAAGAAGGAGCAGCAAAGGAAGTTGAAGGAAAATCTAAAATTTTTGTATCTGGAGGATGACAAATATTTATTTTCATTACATTTTTCTATATTTTCCTATTTCTGGAATGAGATATGTCTATCTATCTAACTATCTATATATATAAATTTTGTAATTAGCAAGACAAAAGCAAATGAACATTTAAAAATATGTTCAGGAGGAGAAAAGAATTTTCTATAGTAGGTGAGTTGAGAGGAAAAAAAGTTTCTTACCAAAATTTTAAGTAACTACAATCTTATTATAATTTCTAATCTAATCTAGTTTCTGAATAGAATTGAATACTGACCTTACATGGCCATCATCTCTTTTTGCATTATGCAAGAATTCTTTTTGAACCAAATGGTCATCAGCAACAGAAGAGGGACTTTCCTTTTCTCCAGCCAATAAAGGTTGTGCAGCACTAGAACTACTATTTTCCTCTGAGGAAGAGGATGAACTATGAGATCGTAATGGTACTTGAAGACTAAGGTGCTGAGTTTTTCTTTCTACTTCTATTCCCACTGATTTGTTTTCCCATTCTTTCCTCTTCATGCCATTCACATTACCTGAATAAACAAACAAAAAAGTAGGTTACATGAACATAATAATTTCAAAAGCAATTTATGAAAATAAGAGCACTTAATCCAATTCCCTATTTTTATAAATATAATCAGTTTTTTAAAAGCACAAATATCCAATTTCACATAGCAATATGCTAAACACTATAGAAAGATATTATAGTAAGTATGGATCCAGAGTCCATAGACAGTGAATTTTTTAAAACTTTATTTGAAAATTTTCATACTTACAGAAAACTTTAAAGAATAATACAAAGCCACCATATATCTTTTACTCAGAATTACCTATTTTAAACATTTTGCCACATCTGCTCTAATATGTATAATATATACATACAACTTTTTGAATTGAGAGTAATTTGTAGACATAGTGACATTTTACCCTAGATAGTTGTGTTTATGTCAAAAGAATAATATATATATAATCTCTATATAATTATCAACTTGGAAATTTAGTATTTATACAATACTGTTATCTAATCTACCATGTGCTCTCCAATTTTTTCAATTGACCCAATAATGTCCTTGAAAGCACCTCTGCCCCTTCCAGTACAAGATTAATGTAGGATCATATATTAGTGCATTCAGCTGTCATGTGTTCTTTAATATGGAACATTTCCTCAGCCTTTTATAAGAGCCCTGTGACATGTTATGTAAATTGGGGGCGGAAGGAATGAAAGGAGAGTCCTACTAAATTGCTTAGATTAAAAAACAAACAAAACAAAACAAAAAACAACTCCTGCCCAGTTTCTATTCTCCTCCAGCCATTCCTGTATTACCCAAGAAAAGAGGAAGCTGTTAGTAGGAAAAAACACCTCTCCCAGCAGAATGCAGTTCTAGATGGAATTTAAGGGGTAAGAAGACTTAAGAACTTACAATATAAGTAGTATTATTCGCTTCTACTACCACAAATGGAAAAATCAGAACAATAAATATCAAAAGAAAAATGGGTTTCATTCTCTTTCTAGATGACAGGAAACTAGTGGTCACTGACTTTCCAAGGAACTCCTGCGTTCTACCATAAGCCCTCCTCGATTCTATTCTAACACTGCATATCTATACTTGGCTCCTAGAAACCTCAACAATCAGAAGTCAGATACTTACACAGGGGTTAATTCTATACCAAACTCATAATGATTTGTGAATTAGAGCTCACTCCTGAAAGAATCAATAGGCGATATAATCACTATTATACATTATAAGAATTATAATGAGCTTTGCTTTTGTTCGGGTAGGGAATTTGCTCTCTTTCCTTTTTTATACCATCTGTAACTTCCCTGTAGATTTTCTTTCTTCCCTTTGTGATGGTTAAACTTTGATCTGCAGATCAGAATATCAAGCAATGTTCATAATTAGTGCCAGCTGTAGTGCGGTAGAAAGAACACTGAAGTGGCTTTGATGGCCCTGATTCTAGTTTCTGCTTAGCCATCTGATTTTGTGCAACTCCATCTCAGTGATGAGCCTCACTTTCTTCACTAGAAGAAAGGAAAATATAGAACTCACACGGTAACTTGAAGATTAAATGAGACAATGTCTGTGAAAACCTTTAAAAGCAAATATTAATCAGATGTAAGAAAGTAATATTTTAAGAAAAATGATAAATTCTATTTAGCATCTTTCCTATCCTTTAAATGTCAAGAACTTTTGATGTTTGCAGATTCTATAGGATAATCTGCTTTTATTCTAGGCAAAACTGCTGAAGTCAAATAACCTTAAATAAGATGTATATACTTATGTATTAATATTTAGTGAGAAATCATTAAAGCAAGAATTTGATATATATAGTCCAGCTCTTTCTTGTAAGAGCTCCTTATACATGGAAAATCAAAACTACTTCTTCCCTCCTTTTGGTCTACTAACAAAAGGCAGTGCTGTAAATGTTTTTGAACAGATCAAGGGGAAAAGGCTGATATTAGTAAAATAGCAAGACTTTTCCATATTTCACTTCTTGACAGCATGACAACTTAAGCAGTAAATATTGCACTTAATTGTAGGAACATACAACTAAAAAACCCAAAGGAAAATTCACTTCTGAAGTCTTCAGAGGTAAGATACTAGATAAATCTAAATCTAGTATACTTAAAGCCACCATTTACTGCTTACAACACACCTGTGTATCTGCAAAGTTATCCTACAGGGTCTAAGGAAAGGTCACATTTCTCTTTTTGACATGATCAGTTTTAGTGATACTAAGAATATCCTGCAAAAGAGTTGGTAATATGAGGGCCAATGGTATAAATATTACTATTGATAAGTTTTCCTATATAAGTAAACTGGTAAAACAACTGTTACCTTGAAGCACAGCTATTCTTAAGTAAATCTCTGGAAGCTGAGGTCACAGAAAATAAGAATATATATAAAGAAATACTCAGAACAAGCTTCTCTAGGAAAATCACCAATGTCAACAATAGGTCTGAAGAGTAGACCTACTTTTGCCTAGGTAACTGTAAAAACTCACTAGTCTTCTCAGGCTTTAGTTAAATCACCTGCAAAACAAAGGACGATTATACTGAACCTACCTACAAGACTGCTCAAAAAACTGAGTTGAACAACTAACACTGAACTTCTCTCAAAAATGGCATAAGGATAAAGATAAAAAAAAGATTAGCACAAGTAACAAAATAACACATTACCATCTACAATATTGGGAATTTCTTTAGTAATAATCCATTCTCCAGGCTGTAGCAGAGACTGTCCATAATACATATCAGACTCTGCACTCGTGCTTGAAAATGCAGAACTACTGGAAGGTGTCAACTCTTCAAGTTTGAAGAAATCTAGGCCAGTAACTGTGCCACCAAAGAATCTGCAGCCACCGAGACAACCACACTTGTTCCTACACCTCTTATTCTTCAGGGTATCATCTGGCCACAAAAACCACAACCTAAACAGAACCCAAAACAAAACAAACAAAAGCAACAACATAACAAAAACTCATTAGGAAATAAACTTTTTGGCAGATAATTAATTAAAACTAAGTTAATTGTTAACATTTTTAAAAGACAACAGAAACACAAACACAAAAGCTTATTTTACTGTGGAATGTCTAATCATTTTGCCTTTCTTAAAAAAAAGTAGTCTCACCATGGTGAGATGAAAGTAAGTAGGAAAAGAGAGAGAGATACATTTAAAAAAAGAATTAAAAAGAAGTAAATATAAAGATCAGACATTTAAATCCAATTTTAAAATAGTAGTAAATATTCTCAAAAGGACTAAAAATTTTAAACATCAAAGTAAAAAATGGACAAAACTATTGGTACAGATTATACTAAATAGATAATTTATCACCGTTAGCATTTCAGAGCCTATTTCACAGACAAATACACCAAAATACTATAAGTGTAGAGCAAATAAGAAATTTATTTCTCAATAAAACCAAAATAATGCATTCTATATATTAGAGGAAAAAACTGTAATAATTTTGTAATAAGGACTCAGAACAAAGTCTTAAGAATTAGGACAGTGGGAGAAAATGTGTGTAACATCCTTTAGGTTCTGTAAAAGATCCACACAAAAGCCCGTCAGTATATTAACTTTCTTAAAAAAATATTCTATAATACAAATATGGGAGATAAATCTTTATTCTTCTTTTTTTAACTTTAAATAATAGAATTACCTCATATTAACAGTCTGTTTTTCTAAGTATTTTTACAGGCATTATCTCATTGGATCCTCAGGGCCCTCAAGGAAGACAGAATAGGTATTATCATTTTCATTTTACATTCTTTCATTTATATTTCTTGAACATATTGGTATGTGCCTAGTACTGTGCTAGGTGAAACTGACAGACACAGTCTTATCCATATGAAGTTCAGAGTACGGAGGCAAAGACAAGCCAGAAACAAAATATCTAATCATAAACTGTACTGAATGCTATGAGGTAAAAACAAAACAAAACAAAAAAACACAAGGTGTTGTGACAAGGAAAACAGAAGGAAACTTTCGAAAAGTAGTATTTGAGATGTGAAAGATGAGATGAAATACATCAAAATAGGAGTGCAACATCAGTCTAGAGGACAGTAGGAAAAATGTAAGAAAGCCTTATGATTAGTGAGAATCTGACATATTACTTGAGTTAAATGTTACCAAATTCAAGTCACTTCTCTATTTTAAAGTATTAAGATTGAATCACTCAGCAGACTACTGCAAACACTGTAAAAATAAAAGACTTTATATATTCTACACACTTTTTTATTTAGCTTATTTGTGTAGCAACAAGCTTAGAAAAATGCATAGGTTTGCATTCGCCTAGATATGGGTTCAAATTCCAGCTGTGCCACTTAGTAACTCCAGGACCTTGTCAGATTAGTTAATATTTCTGAGCTTCAGTTTCCTCAACTGTAAAATTGTGATCTGATACACCTAATAAGACTGTTTTGGAAATTAAATGTAAAGCCCCTGATATAAAATCTGGAATATAGAAGTTGCATAATAAATGTTAGCTCCCCTTCCCTCCTTTTATTACAATCCAATGCACTAGTTCTCAATTTTAGCTTGCATTAGAATCACCTGGAGTGCTTATTATACTATGGAGTGCAGGGCTGCACCCCCCCCCCCCCCCCCCCCCCCCCCCCGCCGAGTTTCTGACTGAGGCCTATTAAGACCTGATTATGTAAACTTCTAACAAGTTCCAAGGAGACACTGGGGTAGGTGGTTTAGGAACCATACTTTTCAAAAACACTAAAGAAACTAATGACCCGTGTGTCCAGTAACTTTTCCAGTTATATCAAAGAAGAATACAGATAGGCCCCCAAACTCCTAGGAATCAGATATGCACAAGGCAGCCAAATCTGAAGGTCAGTGAGTTACTAAGTTGGGAGAGGCAATTGCCAATATGCCCTAAACATCCCTACCTGTTTTTGCTGGGTATGCCAAGTATGCAAAGCCATGACCAGGCCATTGCTTGGGACTGTACTGGCAGTAAACAACCTAAAGAGACGAGGTAACGTCTCACCCTGGAAAAGAGTAGGTTTGCTTTCATGTCCTATAAAAGTTGTGGAACCCTTAAGTTCAATATTCTTCTTCTATAATGCACCCCACTGTGTGTAGATACCCATCATGGACTTTTTGCGTCACCTCCAAAGGATTCATAAATATGGGTACCAGATATAGCCAATAAAAGTAAGTTTGTCCTATGCAATGTATGGGACAATATGACACACCTATCCTAAAAAGTTATTTGTTGTTTATCTCAAATTCAAACTTAACTAGGCATCCTATATTTCCTCTAGCAACCCTACTTGGGGGACACAGGGAACCCATACAAACACATATGACTCTGGTTCATACTTTTGTTGTAATAAAGACCTTTGTCCTTGACCAGGAGTTTTGTGTCTTCTGGCAGCACCCATGAAACTGTGGCAGGATAACTTGTTAGCTTGCAAGCACGGTAAAATCCCACTCTTCACAATTATTAACCAAAGAGAGCACTGAAACCAATCTAAATGGTTGGATTTACTTGAACACCTGGAACTTGAATCACATGGTGCCATTTTCTTCACTTCATTAGCACCCTGTTCTACAATCTGACCTAATTAGACCCAGGCACTTTGTTCATAGCTACTGGCTTCCTGAGCAATAATTAACAAAGAAACCCAGATTTTTTTAAAACATTATTCTCCACACATGAGCTTCCATACTTAGATTTACAGGATGTCAGGATCTTAAAGTAACTTAAAAGATTAATGTAATCTCAGTAAAAAAAAAAAACTCAGAATTTTTAAAAACTAGACAAATAGCTCTTTTGGGAAATTAACAGATGAAAACACCCAAAAGTTTGTGATAAAATGGAAAAATAAGTGTGTATTAGGTATAAATTTTTACTCCTGTATTTGAATACATATTTGCAAAAAAGTTTATTTACATCCTTGGCTGGATTAATACAAACACACCATAAAAAATCCAGATAGAGGGACACCTAGGTGGCTCAGTTGGTTAAGCATCTGACTCTTTTTTTTTTTTTTTAAGATTTTATTTATTTATTTGACAGAGAGAGATCACAAGTAGGCAGAGAGGCAGCCAGACAGAGGGGGAAGCAGGCTCCCTGTGGAGCAGAGAGCCTGATTTGGGGCTCGATCATGAGATAGAGGCCCCCATTGGGGTGCTGAGTATGGAGCCTGCTTAATATTTTTCTCTCTGCTCCTGCCCCCCCCATGCACAGGCTCTCTCATTATCTAAGAAAAACAAAAATAAACAACAACAACAAAAAAAAACAGAGTTTAATGTTAACAACAATAACAACAAAAGGAATAGAAAAAAAAAGAAAACATAGGTGCCATGTGATTACTAGCAAAGGAAATATTTTCTCAAATTAGTACAAGAAATTATAAAGGTTAAAAACTGACATATCTGAATACATAAAAAATAAAGTCTACATAAGACTAAAAAAAATTCTAAAAAGAAACAAATTGCAAAATATTAGCAACAGGGACTACTGAAAGGATGTAATCTATAGATTTAAGAGCTCTGAAAAATTGGTAAGAAATATACCAATATGCCAATAAATTAAATATACATAGAATAATAAGATGCAATTCACAAATGAGGAAATAAAAACCACCAATACATGAAAAAATATTAATCTCAGAAATAACAAAATGCAAAATAGAAATATCATCTTCCAGTTATCATAAAACACATAAGGGAAGCAAAGATGCAGTGAGACACAGACTCAACTTAAAAAGTCACTGGGAATATAAAGTGAAATAATCTTTCTGGGAATTTGGGAATGCATATCAAAAGGCTCAGTTTTTAGCACAGTCACACCACCACCCCCTTTTAAGAAAACTATTTAAATTTAAAGAACATGTGGGAAAATATTTTATGTGCAAAAAATGTTTGTCTTACTATTATATATAATGAGGAATTTAGAAACATTTTTATGCATTTAATAAATAAGGGCAACGGCTAAATAAAGTACAATGTATCTTTTTGATGGTGTATTATCATTTGTTTTAAAGGAAATTTATAAAATTTTTGATCATATGGGCAGATGCTTAGGATATAAGTTTAACACCAACATGCAGAATTTATAAATACAGGATGATTTCAAGTATAAGAAAGATACATTAAAAATATGGGGAAGAAATATGACAAATTCAGTGTGGTAAGGTTATGGTAATTATTTTCCTTTATTTCATAATAGTTTTCTCTATTTTAAAAATAAGCTTAATTAACTTTATAATGAGGGAGATGGGAATGGAAAAAGCTATACTAGCAGTTTAAATAGATACGATTCAGTAAGAGGCTCTGGCAACTTTTTAAATGGCAGATACAATTATATCTTAATGACTGTTTCTTGAGGATTAAATTCCCTTAGTCTCCCTTGCAGTTTTGAGAGCCCACGAAAGAAGAGTTTCGTAGAGTACATGGTGATAGCAATGATGTTTTCTAGAAATGTTGAAATGAAAGTGGTAAGCTGTGGTGAGAGAGAAAGAGGGGTAGTGCTCTATAATATGTTACTTGGGAACTAGTAATTTAAGCTCATTTCACTGCTATTACACATAGTATGGGCTTAGAAACATTAAAAAACAGTGTTATTTCCATTAACCGCACTATTACAAGAGATGAGGTATATAACGTATTTACTTAAATATCAGGTTCTTACATCTTCACTGAGGTGTACCCAGCACAATCATATTTAGTCTTTATGTAAAATGTTCCTATTCCATTCCTAACAGTGGAATTTCCTCTATAATTATAAGGTAATTTTTGTCCGAACTTGGGATGATTAACTTCCTTAAATTTCGCTTACCTTTTAGTTCTGGCATCATGAGTTTCTAGGAAATGTCTTTGAGCCTCATGTTTAGAATGATGATCAGCAGCTAATGCAATATCAACAGTAATGAGTCCTAAATTGGCTGACCCTGCTTCAAGCCAATAGGCCCTCCGTAGTACTGTAGGCTGAAGTCCAACTCTGGAATTATTTAATTGTTCAATGTACTGTCTCACTTGAAAATCCTGAATTGCAGCACTTATTCCTTCCCCAACTGACTGATTGTGGAGATTACAGTTTGCAACTCGAATTGCACCCATCTAAATTGAATAAAGAAAATGAAATAAAATGTAGTTTCTGCACTCTTAAGCAACTTAGAATAAACTACAAAAGAGGTATTTATTTCAAATTTAATGAAAGAAAAAAAGAGAAAAAGGGGAAATGGAAAAGATAAATGCAACAGAAAAGTAAACATTCAATTAATAAAAAAAGGATAAGAGGAAAAGAACCTAAGTCAAAAGGAAAACAAGAGAAGGAGGAAAGAAATGTTGGTAGTAAGTAATAAAATCACAGACTTTTAACAAGGCTTAATTTTAAGCAGTAACCCACAAAGCAGAGGGGGCAAACAAATGTTTTCAGGAGCCAGGCAGGATATAAATGTACAAAACCTAAAGGCAGTCAAAATTCAAATCAAGGTAAAAGCTTTGCACAACAAAGGAAAACAGTCAACAAAACAAAGAGGCAATCCACAGAATGGGAGAAAATATTTGCAAATGACACTACAGGAAAAGGGCTGATATCCAAGAACTTCTCAAGCTTAACACCCAAAAAACAAATAATCAAGTCAAAAAATGGGCAGAAGACATGAACAGACACTTCTCCAATGAAGACATAGAAATGGCTAAGAGACACATAAAAAAATGCTCATTATCATTAGCCATCAGGGAAATTCAAATCAAAACCACACTGAGATACCATCTCATACCAGTAAGAATGGCAAAAATTAACAAGACAGTGAACAACAAGTGTTGGAGAGAATGTGGAGAAAGGGAAACCCTCTTACACTGTTGGTGGGAATGCAAGTTGGTGCAGCCACTTTGGAATACAGTGTGGAGGTTCCTCAAAAAATTAAAAATAGAGCTACCCAATGATCCAGAAATTGCACTATTGGGTATTTACCCCAAAGATACAGGTGTACTGAAAAGAAGAGCCATGTGTACCCCAATGTTCATAGCAGCAATGTCCACAACAGCCAAACTGTGGAAAGACCAGAGATGCCCTTCAACAGATGAATGGATAAAGAAGATGTGGTCCATATACACAATGGAATATTACTCAACTATCAGAAAGGATGAATACCCAAATTTTGCATCAACATGGATGGGACTGGAGGAGATTATGCTAAGTGAATAAGTCAAGCAGAGAAAGTCAATTATCATTTGTTTTCACTTACTTATAGAACATAAGGAATAACATGGAGGACATGAGGAGAAAGAAGGGAAAAATGAAGGGGGGGAATTGGAGGGGGAGATGAACAATAAGAGACTGTGGACTCTGATGGTTTTAGAGGGGAGGGTGTTGGGGGATAGGTTGGACCAGTGATGGATATTAAGGAGGGCACGTATTGCATGGAGCACTGGGTGCTATACATAAACAATGAATCTTGGAACACTGCATCAAAAACTAATGACATACTGTATGGTGACTAACATAACACAAAAAAAACAAAAACAAAAAAAGAAAGAAATGGAGATTTGGGGGCATCTGGGTTGCTCAGTCATTTAAAACGACTAAGTCTTGATTTAGGCTCAGGTCATGATCATCAGGGTAGTAAGACAGAGCTCCATGTCTGGCTCCACACTCAGTGGGGAGTTTGCTGATCTCTTATTCTCCCTCCCAGCACCTGGTCATGGTCTCACTCTCTCTATATAAAATAAATCTTTAAAAAAAAAAAAAAAAAAAAAGAAGTTCGGTTTAGAAAAAGAACTAACTATACTGGCCAAGAAATAGACAAAAGTGTACCTTTAAAATAAATGTACCTTAAAAAAAAAAATGGAAATTTTGGTTTGGAAAAAGAACTATATTGGCCAAGAAATAGAAGTGTACCTTTAGATTTGTAGCACAGCCATGTTCCACGACATAAATATCTGCTCCATCTACTGCTAAACGAGTCATAGTATATTTCAAATCATCTGAAGTTGGACAAGGCCCAGGAATACAACTCAACTAAAAAGAAAAATAATTGAATATTTAATTCTTCACCATCACTGCACCATTTTGGTACTCACACCTGTTGATTTAAATAAAATTTTCATCACGTGCATATTTAAAAAATTAGTCAAATCTCATTTTCATAATGATAAATGAAATTATCAATAATTAAAGACTTACTAATTAGAAACTAATCATAAGTATGTACCATTTTCATTCATAAGGGGAAAGAAGCAAGTTTAAATTGACAGAATATAGTTACTGAAAGTCACAAAGAATCATCAAAGTAAAATGATAAGTAAACCGTGTCATAGGATTATAAGAACTGTATAGGAGTTTAAAGTTGTAAGATTTTCTTATGAGTACTCTATACTACACAAACACACACACTTGTTTTTACAAATATATCAACTCTAAGTTTTATTATGATATCTAAGGACAATTGACACAAATTTAATGTTATTTTACTCCTGAAACAGATTTGGTCATGGTTAGGCTGAAAGAAAACATACACTTCCCCTACTTCTTGGGAAAATGGCAATCCTGAGTAAATTATTGGCTCAATGGCATACAACTGTTCATTAGTGGGAGAGCCAGAGTAGAACACAGATGTCTTGCATTATACCCAGTGTTCTATAATAATAAGGCATACCTTGGAGATATTGCGGGTTCCATTCCAGACCACCGCAATAAAGCAAATATCGCAATAAAGCAAATATCACAATAAAGCAAGTCAAATTTTTGTGGCTAAAATCAAAAACACAAGAAACAAGAAGTGTTGGCGAGGATGTGGAAAAAAAAGGAACCATTCTGTACTGCTTATGGGAATGCAAACTGGCATAGCCCCCGTGGAAGACAGTACGGAGATTGCTGAAAAAAATTAAAAATAGAGCTAATCTATGATCCAGTAATTGCACTACTGGGTATTTGTTCAAAGAATATGAAAATGCTAATTCAAAAAAATATAAGTACCTCTATGTTTACTGCAGCATTATTTACAATAGCCAAATTATGAAAGCAGCCCAAGTGTCCATTGATAGATGAATGGATAAAGACGTGGTGTGTGTATATGTATGTGTGTGTGTGCGTGCACGTGTATATATATAATGGAGTGTGTGTGTGTGTGTGTGTGTGTGTGTGTGTGTGTGTAAACAAAATGGAATATTACTCAGCCATAAAAAAAGAATTAAAATTTGCCATCTGTGACAACATGGATGATCCAGAGAGTATAATGCTAAGCAAAATAAGCCAAAGACAGATACCATATGATTTCACTCATATATGGAATTTAAGAAACAAATGAACAAAGGGGAAAAAAGAGAGACAAACAAAAAAATAGACCCTTAACTATAGAGAGCAAACAGATGGTTATCAGAGGGAAGTGGGGGATGGGTGATATAGGTGAAAGGGATTAAGAGTATGCTTAATAAGCACAGAGTAATATATGGAAATACTGAATCACTACATTGTGTAGCTGAAATTAGCATAATACTGTATGTTAACTTTACTGGAATTAAAATAAAAATTAAAAATAAATAAATACTGTAAGATGAAAATGAATTTTTTGGTTTCTCGGTGCATATAAAAGTTATGTTTACACTTTATACTATAGTCTAAGTGTGTAACAGCCTATGTCTAGGAAAAATGTACATGCCTTTATTGCTAAAAAATGATAACCACCATCTGAGCTTTCAGCAAGTCATAATCACTATCCAACGATCACTGTAACAATAATAATAATGACAAAGTTTGAAATATTACAAGAATTACCAAAACGTGACACAGAGACATAAAGTGAGCAAATACTGTTGAAAAAATGGTGCTGACAGATTTGCTTGCTGCAGGGTTGCCACAAACCTTCAACTTGTTAAAAAACAAAGACACAAAACCACTGTATCTGCAAAGCACAATAAAACAAGGTATGTCTGTATATTTCACCCCCACAAAACAGACCCAAAAAACCCTGATCTAAAATTACAGAGGCACATCAGTGGTTGCATGGAATAATGAATGGCTGACTGCAACGGGACACAAAGTAATTTTCTAAGGTGATAAAAAATGTTTGATTTTTAAAAATTTTAATGTAACATGAAAGCTTTGAATCTTAAAAAAAAAAAAAAGGAAGGAGGCGACACCTACAAGTATGTGTGATTTATCCAGAAGGAACTAATTGTTTGACATATAACTAAGGATTCCCTAGATCCTGGCAGTGTTTATAACAAGAAAAAAAATAATTTTACCACCAATTATAGCAATTTCCTTTCCTGTCAGTAAATTAGCAGAGGTTATAGATATTTTGGACATAAAGTTAAAAGCAGGATAAATTGTTCTCAATTCACACTAATGTAACAGCAAATAAACATAGTATGTATAACAAAAGAAAAAAAAGGAAAAACACATATAAAAAGAAATTAAAAAGAAAAACTAAACTGTTAACAATGGTTATCTCTATGTTATAGAATTAGGATAAAAAAATTTTTTTTTGAACTGCCATGTTTTCTTGACAAATGCCAATGTTACTCACCATGTTACAAAAGAACAGGTATGTTCTAGGGAGATCTATAAACAATGTCATGTAAGGAATTTAACCTTCCTCTTGCTTCAATTTCTAAATCTTCTACATAAATATTTAGCCATATCCAAAAGAATGTAATTACATAAGAAAATGAGTTAACAGTAAAAATGTAAGAGGTAAGATATAATCTTTATAATATCTCTATTTATCTGTGAATTTTTGTTTTAATAGTTACCTCATATGTTAGATACTTGCAGCTGGCTACAAATCTGCAAAATAATTTATTGAGAAAACTGAACAATAATGCTTACTTCATGGCTATGTGTATTTGATTTAAAGCTGATATCTCAATCTTTCATTTTAAAAAATCCATAAATGTCTATAATATTTCTCACATATTTGTTAACATACCTTGGATTCACAGAACCGACGGTCAAATCCATGCTGACATATTATTACTGATTTAGGTCTTTCCAGTTCATACTCCCGACATACCACATGAAAAACAAATGTCTGTCCCCACTCCAACAGACAAGCTAGCTACAAATAAGCAGTGACAGGTTGAAAACAGTGTTAGCATTCTAAACACATGTTCAGAGTTCAAAAGCTTATTAAGAATATTAATACAGTTTGAGAAAACCCAAATGCTGTCTTACACCTGCTACTACATAGCACAGTTTTTAGCTAGAATCATGATTTCTACCTTGACATCATTTTTAAGCTTATGTTACTTTTCATTTGTGAATGACAAAATGCATGACAACTGAAAAATTCAACCTCAGCAACTTACAAAGTGTATTTCCATCAAGGTTAAATCTTCCTTCTTATATAACTGGAATCCTCTGTACACAAAAAAAGCCTAAAATTCTCTACCTAATAATAAACAAAGCTTGGATATGAAATTATTATCTAATTATCATAGTGAGCTGCAATTTTGGAAAATCAGATATTTTGAAGATTATAGCACTTTTCTTTATGCAAACAGAAACTTAAGTATATATTAATTCTTCATCAAATCTTTGGTTTACAAAAAAAACCCTTCATTTTATAATTGATTAGAGTTGTTAATAAACATATTGAAATGTTTACATTTACAGGATATCATTCAATAAAAAAGTTTAATTTAAACTATCAGAAAACATGAATTTCACTTTTAAAACATACAAAGAATGGAATACACATTAAAAAGCACCTATGGATTCATGAAATGCTCATTCAAAAGTGATGCTAAGATTCTAGTGCAGAAGAAAGAAATGTTTCATCTTCTAATAAGGGCAACTTAGAAACATATGAGATTCTAGCAATTGTTAGATTAAAGGAATTGTGTCCATTATTGTACAATCAGCATGGCTTTATTCTGTCTTTGTTAAGGAACAAACTTTTTTTTATAAGTTTCAGTCTTTACCTATACATTAAAGAAAAGAGATGGTGGATAATAAGGAAAGGATAGTCACCAGCCCAGTGAGCACTGAGTATTTCTTTCCATCCATTTTTATACACTCTATTATGTATTTTATCTACTTTTATATAAAATATCCCTTTCAAATCTATTTTCTTATTTCTAGAATCTTAATTTTTGCTGCCTTTCAAAAATTTCTTGCAGATATGCAAGGTATCTAGAGTCTTTACCCACCTTCTTGTTGCTATTTCCTACCTATGTTTCATACACAATCTGTAATTTTTATTAAAATTGAGCATGTACATTTCATTCAAGATCAAATTCCACTCTTCTTAAATGCCAAGATAAGCATGTACATCATAAATATATGGATCAATAGGTGAAATGTTACAGTAACACAGCTATTTGGCTAAATATCAATGGTCTGTTTCAAGAACTAAATGATCCTTATGACCTCTGAGTCTTCTAAAGATTAAAGGGGATAAGAGGAGGAGGGGGATTTTATCAAATTTGTTCTTATTTTTTTTTAAATCCACATCATTAAAACAGATACGAATGATGTTATCTTGCTTTGAGACATGATAAGAACTGAGCTATTTAATCTTGAATTTCATAAACAATATTTTAAAATCCTACTTAAGAAATATCAAGAAAGCAAAATTCTTTAAAAAAATTACTCCATAATGGGCGCCTGGGTAGCTCAGTGGGCTAAAGCCTCTGCCTTCGGCTCAGGTCATGATCTCAGGGTCCTGGGATCGAGCCCCCATCAGGCTCTCTACTCAGCAGAGAGTCTGCTTCCCTCTCTCTCTCTCTCTGCCTGCCTCTCTGCCTACTTGTGATCTCTCTCTCTCTGTCAAATAAATAAAATCTTAAAAAAAAAAATACTCCATAATACTAGGGGAAAAAAGAATTTTTCAACAGCAGAGAAAGAACTAATGTAATTTTAATAATATATAAAATTTCCAGACCAGTTCTCATACTTCCCAAAGTTTCGATCTTGAAAGTGTTATGCAGAACTATAAAACATTACACCCTTCAATTTTATGTGGCTCAGAAAAGTGAAATTTGTCTCTGACTCATTTGTTGCTAAGAAAATCCTGAATGGCAAGAATGACTCCCAAACAAAAAGCAAAGAATTGTTTGGCTCTCAGAATGCTATTAGTGGAAATGCAATGAACATTCAAACAGGCATACAACTTGCTCTTGGCAAAGTGGGTGAGCAAAGGAAAAAGAAGTCAGATAATCATACCTGTGGTGCTGTGACCTTAGCTGTAAGACTTCCAGCCTGCACATCAATTAACCATGCATATTCTAAGGAATCACTTCCCAAAGGAAGACCTTCTGCTGAGAACATAGCATGTGCTCTCAGCTGGAGACCTGACAAATTGATGTGACCCTCCCTGAGTACTTCATCCACAGGAGGTCGCTGCTGAAAACAATAAGAAGACTGTAAGAAGTACAAGAAAATGGCATTTTTGTTTCTAGTTGTTTTTTTCTCCAGAGACTAACAGTAAAAACACGCTATCTGGAAAATAACACTCAAGGGTCCATAAAATCCTAACACACAACCTTGTACCAGAGAGCCTCAGTTAAGCTTCTTTAGTGACAATATCCATTAAGATCCAACTGCAAAACAAGAGAGCAAAGTCCCAGAAAGAATGATACTTCTCTGATACAAATGAATAACTCAATATTTGAATAAAAAGAAATTAGAATTCTGACTGATAGGGAATATAAGAGACCAATCTTTGGTGGGAAGACAAGAATAATGAGATTAAAATACTAAAAAGAAAAAAAATAATAACAGAGAAGAACAAAGACCATTAAGACCATAAAATGAAGAAGTAGGAAAGAAAGCCATCTTTCATATAGATTTTGAGAACCACATAAAGATAAAAAGGATAGATTTATCTTACAGAAATTACATACTTACTACCAAAAAGCAGCAAATATTTCAAAAAGAAAAGTTCTGGAACTTACAAAGCTAAAAGATATGTCATAAAATATGGTAGTCCATGGAACACTAGTTCCACAGAATAGTAATATAGTAATATAGGATATATATAGTAATATAGAATTAAATAGGTTTGGCAATGCCCTACCCATCAGTCACCAATTTTGTAGAATCTACCTCCCAATCTCTCCGAAATTCATTGATTTTCTTCTATCTTCACTATTATCATCATGGTCCAAATAATATGACCTCTTGCTAAGATATGTGCAGAGCCTCCCAGCATTCATTTTTACATCTCCCTCCTCCATACTCTAAAAAACAACCACAGAGATCTAAAAAGGCAAATTCTACGATGTTCCTGTTTCAAAACCATTGTTTTTTATTTCTTCCATATTTCTCTTCTCTACCAGGTTTATTAGGGTAAAGATTATTTGTCTTATTCACCATTTATCTCACCGCACCTAACAGTGACCACAAAAGGAAGATAATGCTAAATGACTATATAGATTTCTTCACAGCAAGTCTTTTCAGAGAATTCAATATACTAATATACATTGGGACAGTTCACAGGTATTTCCCAAACTAATTTTACTGCAGTAGTCTTTTTAGTATGTGTATGCAGGCCACCTGCACAAGAAACAGTGTTGGCAATCCTTGTTTCAACACATTTTAGGAAATGTATTCTTAAAAAAAAAAAAAAAAAAAAAAAAAAAAAAAAAAACTAAGGATATGAGCTAAATCAAATTCATAAGTAATTCTTAAAAGGAAATTTCTAAGTATGACTATAATAATAGCTCTAGCAGCTCCTTCAATATATTTTTTATTTTCACCTAAGCTATGTGACTATATATAAAATCACAGAAATTTCTCCAGGTATGAGTTCCCTTCTATTTTTTTATGTGAAGAAGCTGGGGAGGATGGTCAATAAAGATCACTTCTGGCACTAAGATTCAAAAATTCTCAGTATAAGATACTTCTGACTGATATTTTTTGAGCTCAAAAATACATACAGATCTAGGTTTGTCCTAAAGACAGAGCCTATCCAGTACATCAACAAAGATCATAGTCTAGATTTTATGATGCGGTTGCATCATATTGGGGGCTGAACTGTGTACCCTAAAAAGACACACTTAAAGTCCTAAGCCCAGGCACCTGTGATTGTGACCTTACTATATTTGAAAATGGTTTTAGCAGATCTAATCAAGTTAAAATAAGGTTACAGTGAATTAGGGTATGCCTTAATCTAATGACTGGTGTCCTTTAAAAAGGAAAACTGGGACACAGAGACACATGAAGACAATGCCATGAGAAGACAAAGGCAGAGATATGCATCTATAAGACAAGCAATGCCAAGGATTGCTAGCAACCACCAAAAGCTTAGAAGAGGCAAGGATTTAATCTCCTATAGCCTTGAGAGAGAGAACATGCCCTGCCAACACTTTGATTTCAGAATTCTAGGCTCCAGAACTTGAGAGAATACACTTCTCTTGTTTTAAGCCACCCAGTATGAGGTACTTTGCTATGGCGGCCCTAGGAAACTAATATACATCTTAAGTTGCTCATAAATTAAAAGGGGACGGTTTCATAAGTTGGACACAATAACCCATCCATCACCTCAGATCCTTAACCTTGAGGCCCTGCATTAAGACTAATGCTATCAAGAACACGCAGCCAAATCCTGGAGAACTCACCTGTACCAAAGGTTTTAAATTTGCCCAGATTCACCAGAAAAATCACTATCTATGGCAGCTGTAGTCTTATTACACATATTTCTTAAATAAAAGGACTTGAAAGTCAAAGTGACTCTTTGATCCATGGGCTCCAAAATGGATCTTATGTTCATTGGGCATGAAAACAACATTGATTTCAGGGTAGATCTCCATCAACACTATTGGGTGACCAGGTGCATTGTCAATGAGCAGTAATATTTTGAAAGGGCTCTCTTTTTCTGAGCACTAGGTCTCAAAAGTGAGCTTAAAATATTCAGTAAACAATGTTATAAAGAGACTGTCATCCAGGCTTTGTTGCTCCACTGAGAGCACAGGCAGAGCAGTTTTAGCGTAATTCTTTAGGGCCCTAGAATTTTCAATGATTGGCTTCAACTTAAAGTCACCAGCTGTGTTAGCCTGTAAGTACAATGTCATCCTGTCCTTTGAAGATTTGAAACCAGGCACTGACTTCTCCTCTCTAGCTATGAAAGTCCTAGATGGCGTCTTCAACTAGAAGGCTACCTCATCTACTTTGAAAATGTGTTGTTTAGTATAGCCACCTCCATGAATTAACTTGGCTAGATCTCCTAGATAACTTGCTGCAGCTTCTACAGCACTTGCTGCTTTACTTTGCACTTTGGTGTTACGGAGATGGCTTCTTTCTTCAAACCTATGCACCAATTTCTGCTAGCTTCAAACTTTTCTTCTGCAGCTTCCTTACCTCTCCCAGCCTTCACAGAATTGAAGAGCATGAGGGCCTTGCTCTCGATTAGGTTTTGGCTTAAGGCAATGCTGTGGCTGATTTGATCTTCTATCCAGACCACTGTAACCTTCTCTGTGTTAGCAACAGGCTATTTTGCTTTCTCATCATTGGTATGTTTATTGGAGTAGCACTTCTGATTTCCTTGAAGAATTTTTCCTTCACATTCACAACTTGGCTATTTGGTGCAAGGGGCCTAGTTTTCAGCTTGGCTTGGGTTTTGACATGCCTTCCTCACTAAGCTTAATCATTTCTACCCTCTGATTTCAAGTGAGAAACATGCAATTCTGCCTTTCACTTGAACACCTGGAGGCCACTGCAGGGTCATTAGTTGGTCTAATTTCAATACCTTTTTGTTTTAGAGAACAGGGAGGCCCAAGAAGAGGGTGAGAGACAGGGGAACAGCAGGTTGGTGAAGCAGTCAGAACACATGCAACATTTATCACTTAAGTTTGCCATCTTATATGGGCACCCCCAAACAATTATAATAGTAACATCAAAGATAAGTGAACACAAATCACTATAACAAATATAATAATGAAAAAGTTTGAAATACTGTGAGAATTACCAAAATATGATAGAGATGTGAAGTGCACAAATGCTGTTGGAAAAATGGCTTTGATACACTTGCTTGATGCAGAGCTGCCACAAACCTTCAATAGGTAAAAAATGCAGTATCTGAAAGCGCAATAAAGCAACGTATAATAAAATGAGGTATGCCTACTATTTCAAAAGTCTGATGAAGGAAACAGATTCTGTGGCAAAAATAAGCATATATTAGGTGTTAAGTTTCAGCTACTATGAGGTCAGGTGTGTCAATATATGCACATATGAAAAAATTAAATTCTTTGTAGAAAAATATAGTCAGTTATGGCAAAAGAGTTACAAAGGGGAGGGTAGGTTATTTTATATAAAATGATCAGTTACTATACAGAATCCTTATCATCTGTTGATGATTTGCGGGTATCAGATTCATCCTCCCATTCATAATTTTACTTTGCCTTATATTAAAATACATTTACTTTTCTAAAACTCATAACTTGACTAAAAGTAGAGAAGAGCCCTAAAGTAGTGTTAAATAAAAAATGAAGCCATTTGGCATTAAAAAATAATAATAAAGTGATAATCTACTGAAGAATGTAAATTATTCCCATTTGCTGAATATCATTGATTCCCTTCCAAAAGAGCCCTGGGGATATCTTGAGGGGATTAACGAAGTGTCTTGTAAGTATGTTAGGTAAAAAGAATAATCCTTGTGGATATGGATGTTTTGAAGATTTATAGTACTGGTTAATATGAATATTGAGGTTGTAATTTTCAATAGACTCCACAAAAATTTTATACACTTTCACGTCCATAAATATATGAAAAAATTAAAAACTGCGTTTTTCCATTTCTAAAAACAATATATATAGAATATAATTATACGGGATCACATAAATAGGGAACAGCAGAAAAAGAGAAAGAGAAAACTGAGATTCTTGAAAAACTCACATATATATACAAAACTTCCTACTTGTTAAATTACAAGCTCTAATTTAAAGAGCTATATATACCATGCACAGAAACTTAGCACACTATTTCAACCCCATAAGCAATAATACATCTCTACATCTCTACTGTAACTCACTTTCATATTACCTGATAGTTATCACTGACAAACACATTTAGGGGTGACAGGACAAGTTGCAGCATGGTCTCTCGAAATCCTTTTTTCATTTCAAAACACAGTCTTTCCAAGAATGCTGTAGGGCACTCAGGGCCATCAGTGGTTCCGTGCTAAAGTCGAACAAAATACCATAATCAAGATATAGAAAAAATAAGACCAAGGAAGTGCAGGAAAATAAAAATTACCTTTATATAGTTAAGAGATTTTGCTTCTTAAAAAGGGGAAACAGTGCTTACTGACAAAATTAACTATTCTGTGCCCCAGTAAGAACATTAGGTTCACTAAGCACCAGAGGTGACTCCTCTGCTTTGTAATCCTAGGTGTATGGTATGGAGCCAGTAGGCAGCACAATGCTCTAGGGCCTCTTCCTCCCTATCTGGTCTCACTCCAACAACCCTGGGTTCTCTGGCAATGTAATCTCATTCCAAGTCTGCCCCAACAGTCTACTGGTCAACCTAAGACTGAACCAGGATTCTGTGCTAGGTCTGAACCCCTGAAAACAATTCAACCTGCAGGGTGAAGCTGAATCTTGATTTTGTAGCAGGCTCACCATAAGGGCTCCAAAAGGTCTAGAGTTGGATAAAGGATAAGAAAATGTAAATCCTAGAGTATCCATCAGGCTAACTATAAACCCAGCAACTCAATATTGTGACAAAATGCTCTAAAGTTACAAAGAACAGAAAGAAGGAACTGAAGTGAAAGAAGAAAAGCAGAAAATTAACAATGATCAAGTAATCACATTATGAAGAAAATAATAAACTAGCTTTATTATGGTAAAAGGATAAATTTTAAAGTTTTCAAATCTGATTTTTTTATTAGTGTGTGCATGTGTGTATACACACTTACAGTTTAAGTTGAGTGAATTTCGTAATATACTCCAGACTATTCTGATACATAAACACTTACAACAGGAAGACGTCCATGAACTTTGTACAAATTAACAAGTACAGTAATATCCCAAGGACGTAAGGTAAGCGGATGAATTGACTTGGCTGAACTTTCATTTTCCTTTTTGTCATTTTCCATCCCAACAGCAGTCCACCCAGAGCTGGATGATGTTGACAGTGACAGAACAGGACTTGAAATAACCTCTTCAAAATCCATATACATGTCATCTTCCCCAAAGTAATTTTCCTATAAATATTAAGAACAAACTTCTATTAAAGAGGTATGTAACAATAACTTTTCAACTTAGAGTCTGAGTTTTGTAAACCAAGCATTTCCTTAAACTATTTTATTTAGTTAAAAGTATATGGTCTGCTTCCTTGAAATGAAAAACCAACAACAAAAAAAGATACATATACTTAAGGCATATATACTTACTTGGCTACTTAGCAAATAAACATTCTGTAGCAAAAAACCAAAAAACAAAAACATAAAAAATTACAGAAGTTTATAGTAAAGTTTCATGACAACACCACTTCCAATTATAGCAAAAACTTGCAATTTAGGTCCTAGAGGAAAACTCTGAAAATCTGAAACGTTCAATAGTTTTCAATCTTTCTCAGAGTTCTGAGGCAATAGTACCTAGAGACATCCTTTAAGGGAAGATCAATTCACTAAAAATTAATTTGACTAAATCCAATTAGCTAACTACTACAATCCATATATTCTGGGTGAAATATTTATCAGAAGTGTTTTTAACATCTTAAGTAAGAATCTCCAATTTTGGTTACTGATGAAAAATACATGTGTTATCAATAGTTACCAAAACACCCTTTCACATAATCCATCCTGGCTTCTTCTTTTTTTTTTTTTTTTAAGATTTTATTTATTTATTTGACAGAGAGAGAGAGAGAGATCACAAGTAGGCAGAGAGGCAGGCAGAGAGAGGAGGAAGCAGGCTCACTGCTGAGCAGAGAGCCCGATGCAGGGCTTGATCCCAGGACCCTGAGATCATGACCTGAGCTGAAGGCAGAGGCTTAACCCACTGAGCCACCCAGGTGCCCCCCATCCTGGCTTCTTATGCAAAGTATTTTAACTATTAATATTCTGGTTCCTTTTGTGTCAGAATTTAAATTTATTATTATTTTTTCTTTTTTTAAGGTTTTTATTTAAATTCCACTTAGTTTACACAGTGTAATATTAGTTTCATTGAGTAGGATTTAGTGATTCATCACTTACATACAATACTCAGTGCTCATCACAACTGCCCTCCTTAATGCCCATCATTATTTCACCCATCCCCATACCCACTCCCCTCTGGTAACCATCAGGTTGTTCTCTATAGTGAAGAGTCTGTTTCTTGGTTTGCCTCTCTCTTTTTCTCCCCCCATGCTCATTTGTTTCTTAAATTCTACATATGAGTGAAATCATATGGTATTTGTCTTTCTTGGACTTATTTTAAATGAAATTTTTTTCTTCCCATTATTCTGAATTTAAATTTTATCTATTTGATCTGTTAGTAGTAATCAAAAGCTGTTAAAATATTCCTAACACAGTTAACCATATTTGTTCAATATTAGAAATCAAGTCAGTATTTTGGTAAATTTTGCATTTTATTTATTGACACATTTATTTTCTAGCTAGAATTCTAGTCAATCAATCCGGCCAATTAAATATCTTTTCATAGGAAATGATGTTGAAGGGCTTGCAGTCATTTGGTTAATTAGCGGTGGGACTAATAATAAAATCCCACATCTATGGACTCACAAAACTGATGCATTCTCTATTGTTATCTAGCTCTAATAACACAGGTCCTACTTAGAACCCACCTGACATCTTGATAATTGCCTTTATTATATAACTCTGAAGCATGGAAAAACTCAAGCACAAATATAAATGTAAATAAACATTAGTTTTTATCCTAAATTCTAACATTAAATTTCTAAAACTAAAAATAAATTTCTAATTGATTTCAATCAACATTAAAGATCTAGAAGTACTCAAAGCAGCAGTCCTCAGATCACTTGAGAAGCCTTTTCAAAATACACATGCCATTCTGGTCCTGAAGACAGGTCTAATAGTTTGCAATGGGCATGGATGTCAGAGAAAGAAGAAAAGTAAAATATTTCCTTCAGTGATGTTTATCTACAAATGGCCTCCAGACCCAACCACCTCTACACCCTTCCTCCCTACAAATGATCAATGGAATCAGCGTACAATGTTCATGTTTATTAGCTTTTGACATACTAAGAGTTACCAACAAATCAATAAAAATAAATTATATTCATTTTAGTCAATTTTTAATAATACTACTCTTATTTTTAAAAGATTTTTAAATGATTTCTTATTTTTAAAAGATTTCTTAGAAGTCTCTTAGAAGTCTCTTGCAATTTTTAACCTTAAAAACAGAAGAGATTCCTGTAGATTATTAAAGAGATTCCTGTAGATTATTAAAGATTATTCCTGTAGATTATTAAAGTCAAAAGAAAAATGTTCTCTTGGGCCTCATGTTCAATTTCACTACCAAAACAATCTCCATTTAATTACCTGAAACAAATAACACATAGCAAATTCTTTAGGGAATATTGAATCCCCAAAATAGTAGAGAACATTTGCTAATTTTTATTAAATGTGTCAATGACTGTTTTTAAAGAGTTACAAAACTCTAGGAGTCTTTTATGAGTTACTATATTAGTACATATTGAATATTATAAACAAATGTACTTTTAAATTATAAATCCCTTAAAACATGAGCCTCATGTTAAATGTTTGATGTTGAGTGTGTGGTTTAAGTTTTGTGTGTTTTAGTTTAATTTTGTTTTTTTAGTATGTGAACTCCATCTGCAAAGGTTAACTTCTTGAGGATTCACTAAAAAAATTACCAAAAGGTTGACCAAAGTATAAAGTAACTAATAATATATTATGGCAAACTTTTATGGTATATTAAGATTAATAAATGTACATAAATTTTTACAAGTACAAATAAAAGTTCCATTTCCATTTTATGGTAGGTAGTATGCAAAACTGAACTAACTCTAAAACAAATTCCAAACAACCCCAGAAAAAAAGCAATAACTTATATAATTGAAAAGACGTGTTCTTTTTTCAAGTTTGCAGCATGAATGAATTTAAACACAATAAAGCAAGCTGTATTTCCAACCAACTTAAAAGCTCTTTGAAATTTTATTTTCCTAGAGATATTTTATCATGAGTGTCAAATAAGAGGACACTACCGTTTTTTTCCCCTAGCCTATTTATGCAATAATACCCATTTCTCAAAGAAAAGGAGAAAAAATTACCACTATAGTTAAAAGAAGGGAACTAATAAATTCAGAGAAGCCAGAGAGGGGGAGAAAAAACAACCTACAGGTAGTCTGTTTTCAATATTAATTTTTTTCTAATAAGAAAAACATATATGCCATATATACCAACCCTTAATCCACAGTTACTACTGACTACCACCGACATGCTATCATATTTAGATTCAGATTTTCCTTCTTCCATTAAGAAAAAACGTAATAAGACTAAGAGAAGTCAATTCAGAAGATGTAAACAGTTCCATAAAATATTCTCACAAATTTTAATGCATGTTGTATATATTCTTCTCAAATTTCCTGGTAATAATAATGGTAAGCCTAGTCTCTTTGTGGATTCTGGAAATCAATTTTTCATAAAGAGTCAAACAAATTTGATTTTTTTCTAGTCTATTCAGAATGTCTTGATGCTTAATTTTAGTAACTAAGGAAAATACAATCTCAGTTACATGAATTTTCACATTCTCTTTGTTTTCTTTTATATATACATACATTCTAACACTAAGTAGAATGTAAGTTATGTATTAAATTAGAATACATCTCATTTAGCATGACAGTAAGCTTTCTGGTAGGCAGAAAGAAAAACAGAAGATAAAAAAAAGACAAAGAGTTACTTATATTCCTAATAAAAGGAAGCATGGAGCTCATTGGCCTAGAAAAATTTTTATTTGTCATGTTTTAAATACATATTTTTAAAAATATTTCAAACCTTTAAAATTTTTAGTTTTAATAGCTACTTCATACAAGTTCTACATTAATTTGATGAATGCAAATACTAATATAAACTTTAGTATGACAAACCTTTGACACTACTAAATAGTTGTTATAAAATCTTAACGCATGGAAGAGACTGCATCAAAACCAACTATCAAGAGAGGTTACATTTATGAAGAATTTGTAAAGAAATCTTAAAAAAGGGCATTTACTCCTTTCTCTTTATTCTTTGTTACCATCCTTTTAATTTTGACAAGTATGTATTATGGAATTTTTAAAAGAAAAAAATTGAGGCTCAGTATACATAGAGTGATGCAAAAGAACAGTGATAATACCTCTTAAGTAGTATTCAAAACTGGTATTATATCAATATAACCATCCTCATTTGCTAACTAAATCATTACTTACATTTAAATTAAAATACAGTTCAGTCTCTCCAGGGAAATTATAACTTGAAAATTATACTTTAAATCCTTAATATTCACAAGCAATCCCAAGAAAATAAAATATTGGGAGAAATATTTGAAGAATACTTTGGGTCAAACAAGGGTCACAAGAAAAAAAATGTGTAGGTGTGTGTGTATGTTTGTGCATTTCTCCCCTTTGAATATCTGAAGAATCACTCCTTCAGGAATCTCTCCTAAAACCAAACCAAAACTTTAGATTTCCACAAATATTAAATACATTGTCCCTTGCACCTCTTATCTTAAATTATATCATCTGATGCTTTACAGTAGTTTATATAAGACAGTAACTCAAATATAAAAATTTAAATTAAAAAACCTGTTCAGCTAGCACTTCCAGAGAATCTTTGTTAACAAACCTTGACTGTCTTTCCCTAATTAACCCTGATCATCCTAAACCGTTTCCAGAATTAATTACACCTGTCAGTGTACATTACAGGATTGCCTGTTACCTAAGCATTCAATAACCAAACCTCCACAGTTGTGAAATCACAAAAGGAAGCAAACAAGTAAACACTGACAAAATCAGACTCACACAAAAACCTATCCCACAAATAACTCTACTGCTCATGAATGTTAATGTTTGGACAATTAGTCTCACTTTGTTTATCAGATGTAGTAAAGCATCCAACAGTATGATGAAAATCTAAAGCAAAGTGAATTAGCAAAATCCTGGAAAAATGTAAAATTTCATGGAGTTGCTAAAAGTGATACTGGGTAACTGCTCAAATCACAGGGAAAGCTATCAGTGATAAGTGTAGATAGTGCTGCAAACAAATCTTTGTTTATTACTTAGCATGAAATAAAAGTTTTCTGTTTTTACTGATTACTTAAAGTCAGCTCTTCCTGGTTTTATTTTATTACTCTCAGATGACAAAGTTCTCTTGTACTTCTTTTGCTGTGTTACATTACAATGTGTTAAAATCTCTCCTTATATATGTCTATCCTACTCTATCCTCTAGCTTATTTCCTTGAGAACAGATGCTGTATCATCTCTATCTCCAGCAACTAGCACAATTCCTAGAATATATTAAATGCTAAAAATACAAAATAAAAACTCAACTGAGAAGTACACTATTTTTAATAAATAAGTTTGTAATTAACTCTAGCACTGGAAGTCTAGTCAACATATATTATCTTCAACAACTTTAAACCACCAAAACTGGCTACTTCAGACGGTCTCAATTTTAATTAGATAGTACCCATTTGCCTATGTTTAAAAATGTGTAAGATCTTTTAAAAATCATACCTTTATACATAAGAAGGCATTTAATAGTGGTCCATAAAGAGTTATTTGAGAATCTGGGGAAAGTTCCATTTCTACATGAAGTTTATCAGGTAGAAGTTCTGAGGGATCGATAGGTGGGCGTGAAGATGTAGAAGGAGAAGAAACAACTCTGTCTGATGTTTTCTGGGATGGCCTTAATACAGAAAGCATTGTTTCTTCCATTTCTGATACTGAAAAAAATTAAGGAAAAAAAATTATGGTGGGGAATTTCTCAAAAGTTCTTTACGGAATCATTCTCTAAGAAATTCTATTTTGTAATTTTTCATGAAATCAACTACGATACAGTATCTATAGTATATAATGAAAACGACCTGCCAGACTAAAGTTAAGAATGTGAAATAAAACAGACTTCATTGAAATATGTGTAGAAATACATAAATCAGATGGTATAGAAACAAAGAAAATTTCCTATTAACATTCTCAAGTCCCTGTAATATAAATTCAGGTCACAGTCAGGGCTTTAGCTATACTTGGGCATTAAAGTACAAAGTTGTTTTCACATAAACAGCTATTCAAATGCAGTGTGACATAATCAAGCTCATAAGAAAAGTTATGAAAACTATTTGTACATTTAACTCACTAGAAAAATACAAAGAAAATATCACTTGACTCTAATTTCATTTTGGACCCTGGTAATAAGGTACATAAGCCTCAGGGAAACTGGTATGATATGATAGTTGTGAAAATGCATTAAAAAAACTAACATTTCATGAAGCCAAATGCTTTAAATTTATTTATATCCACATATACTTTATTTGATATTCTAGCTCTTCTGTTTCTAGCTTTGGCAGAACTTGAAAAAATTATTTACTTTCTCTGAACACATTTGTTCAAACCTACAATAACAACATTTATCTCATAGAATTGTAAAGATTAAATGAGATAATGTAAACCAGTAAACAGCCTGCTCTAGTATTTGATACACAGTAAATACTCAATGAAAGTTAGTTTTAATTACGCCAAAAATCCTTAAAGGATTTTTAAATGTTTAAAATTACATCAAATGAATGCATTTCCAAATAAAAAAAATTCTTATACTTTTAATGGCTATCAATCATAAACCAGATGTTTCAAAGTACAAATTATATAAAAAAACACTTACATGATTGTTTTAGTTGCTCATCTGCTTTTTGTGGATAAATTGGATGCCATGTATAATCAATTGTAAGCATGACACTTGGGACAGTCCAGCATTCAACCCAACCAGCTCTTTGAAGAACAAAAATAAAATTCTGGTCAGTTATTTAATTCATTTAACTGTGTACAAACACCACTTACAAATAATCAACTTTATCTTTATTTTTTGAAAAAATCAGAAGAATCTTCTCCACATAGAAACACAAATACTTAAATCACTAATTTTATATACTCACTTTTCTTGTGTAATATTCCGCCATTTTGGTTTAACTGTTTTCTGACCACTTTGACACTCAGCAGGAATACCAGTATCATGAGTCATTTTATTTGAGTGGCAATTCTTTACCAACATAAATAATGAGTATTTACTGGGGTGGCAATCTGGTAGAAATAAATGAAGATCAACATCTTCTCCCTAAAAAATAATTTATAATAACCCAAAGTAAAAAAACAGGTACATAGATATGTTAGGTTTCTATTTATAGCCAAACCTGTTAATAATCATCTTGAGAATAAATTCAAAAGAAAATAAATTTCAAAAGGCAGATTTTATAATCAAGTCAGTTAAATAACTGGGATAAGATTTAACATTGACTAAAACTAAATTCCGCTATTCTTTTTTTTTAAACTAAATTCTGATTAGAAAGTTAAAAAAAAGTAAGGGAATAAACAGCATAGTTTTCACAAAACAGTAAAAAGATTATCTCTATGGGTATCCATGGGTATTTCACATGTAACTCAGTTAAAAAAAAAAAAAATTAAAAATCATCTCACTGAGGAATGCCTGGTGGCTCAGTTGGTTAAGCATCTGCCTTCAGCTCAAGTCATGATCTCAAGGTTGTGAAATTGAGCCCTATGTTGGGCTCCATGCTCAGCACAGTGTCTTCTTGAGTTTCTCTCCCCCCTCCGCTCATGCTCTCTCTCTCTCAAATAAATAAAAATCTTTAAAAAATAAATAAATAAAACCAAAATCATCTCACTGACAATAAGTTCAGGTGGAATATGTTCTGTATTTTATTAAATTTTTTTTAAAGATTTAGCTTAGAGACAGAGAGACAGAGGGAAGAGTGCAGTGGGAGGAGCAGAGGGAGAGAGAAACTCAAGGAGACTCTGTGCTGAGCATGGAGCCCAATGCAGGGCTGGATCTCACGAACCTGAGATTACAACCTGAGCTTAAACTGACTATACCACCCAGGCACCCCTACTTAATTTTTAAAATAGGATTGTTTTGGATTATCAACTGCCTTTGAAGAATTCTGAATTGATATGTTTTCATTTGCCTTCACTTTTCTCCTTGTAGGTCAGTGTCCCAATCTTGTTCATCATGGTGCCTGATTTCTTTTTTGTTTTTTTTTTTTAGATTTCATTATTATAGAATTTAATTTGTTTTTATTTACATTTAAAATTTTTTTATTTAAATTCCAGTTGTTAACATTCGGTATAATATTAGTTTCAGGAGAATTTAGTGATTCATCACTTACATGTAACACCTGGTGCTCAACACAAGTGCCCTTTTTTTTTTTATTAACATATAATGTATTATTTGCCCCAGGGGTACAGGTCTGTGAATCATCAGGCTTACACATTTCACAGCACTCACCAGAGCACATACCATCCCCAATGTCCATAACCCAACCACCCTCTCCATACCCCCACTCCCCGGCAACCCTCAGTTTGTTTTGTGAGATTAAGAGTCTCTTATGGTTTGTCTCCCTCCCAATCCCATCTTGTTCCATTTTTTTCCTTCCCTACTCCCCAACCCCCCCGCCCCGCCTCTCAAGTTCCTCACATCAGAGATATGATATATGATAAATGTCTTCTTCTGATTGACTTATTTCGTTCAGTAAGTGCCCTTAACCTTAATACCTATCACCCACTTAGCCAATCCCCATCCACCTCCTTTCTAGCAACTCTCAGTTCTCAATAGTTAAGTCTATTTTATGGTTTGCATCTCATTTTCTCCCCATAATGTTCATCTGTTTTCTTAAATTCCACATATGAGTGAAATCATATGGTATTTGTCTTTCTCTGACTTATTTCACTTAGCATAATACACTCTAGCTCTATCCACTTCATGGCAAATGACAATATTTCATTCTTTTTGATGGCTGAGTAATATTCCACCATGTATATATACCACACCTCTTTACCCACTTATCAGTCAATGGACATTTGGACCCTTTATAATTTGGTTATTGTTGATAATGTTATAAACACTGGGGTGCCATGATTCCTGATTTCTTAACAGGCAGCACAGCAGAGTGGTTAAGAGAATGAAGCCCTGACTTATACCACTTGGGTTAAAATTCCAATTCAGCTACTCACCAGTCACATGGTAAGTTACATAAATGCAGCTTTTCAGTTTCCTATTTCACAAATGCAGATAACAACTACCTTATGTAAACTGTTCTGAGAATGAAATGAGCTAATACACATAAAGCACTGGAAATTGTATATGTCACACAGAACATGTTTAATAGGTATTGGCAGCTCTTATTGTTGCTATTTTTTAACCATCATAACCTCCATCAATACTAATAACTACTTCTGATTGTTCATACCCTAAAATTAGGTATTCCACAAAATTTCGAACTCATTAGAGCTGCCTTTCAGAAAAAGGAAGAGAGGTATTTGTGGCTATCCCTTGAATTCATGTTTATAATTAGTAACAAAATAAAGGAAAGTGTAAAATCTAGTTCATACACTGTAAACATTGGAGCTAGAAGGGGTTTTCAAAAGAACATGTAAGTTAGCCACAAAGGTTAGAAATGAGCTGGTTAGGAAAATATTCAGCTCTGGGAATTTTCTTTTTATTGCTCAACTCCTCTAAGGGGGAGTTGGGGAACTACAAAAAACAAACAGCAGCATTTCTGTGACACTGAACCTCATGAACAATATGGAGAACTAAAATACTGCAGGATAACAATGGGATAGCGGGGAAAAGTAAAGATAAGCTTTGGGAAATCAAACTTAATAATAAACTAATCAAACTTACTAATAAAGAATTCAAACAATTATACATACTCTTAAAGAGAACTTGGTGTTACACGTAGCTGGAACAAAGTCCGTAAAAGGCAAAGAGAAATCAATGTTTAATGTTTCCCCACAGGCTGCCAGATACACTACAAGAAGAGGAAAAAAAGAGAAAATTTATTTTTAACTTTGATAAAAGTTTAAATAAAAATTGCCTTAAATACATACCTAAGAAAATGAAACATAAAATGCTTAGTCCGATAAAAACTCTTAAGTAATTCTCCAAGAGTATTATAAGACAATGGAAAAAAGATCAATTCTAGTATCTATTAAAACTATAAAATCAACATCAATTTCCACTGTTGTAATTTCTCTTAATGAACAGAATACTTAACCTAATTTTTAAGTTCTTACCATTTTCCTGTTGTTTAGTGGAACAGTCAATCCAATTGTGTTGATTAGCAGCCCAAATCATTTCAAATTGATGAAACATGATTTTAAAATTCCATGTATATGGCACAAATGAAAAAATGTCTGGAGCACTATCACTAGACCAGTCTTGGATTAAATCTAAAATCATGGGAGTGGAAGACAGAAAGCAAAAGTTAACTGAAATTAAGAAAACAAAATATAAATATTCTAACACCAGTCAAAAATGATTTTTCTTTCACAACTAAAAAGAACTTTTATACTGAAATACTAAAAGAAGATTAAGATACAGGTGATTTAATAGCAAACCAATGTTTACGTACTAATTATTCACAGATCCAAATAAGAGCAATTTTATGCGTTTTATATACCCATTTATTTTCAATTTTTATACCTATTATTTATTAGAGAAACTTTAGAAGATAAAAGAAAAAAAAATAATCACTTGATAATCCACTACCCAAATATCCAGCATTGTGGATATCTTTCCTTCTAGTTTTACTTTCTATGTAGTTTTTTACACTATTCTAGATGTACATATTTCATATATTGCTTTTTCTCACTGAACTCAAAATTTCTCCATGTTATTTCACAAACATTAACAAAAACTTTAATAACAGTTCAATAAGGAGATTTGCCAGGATTTACTTAACCATTTAGTAATCTTGGACATTTAGACTCTTTCCAAATTTTTGTTATATATAATTTTATATATATTTTCATGGAAGATATTTTATATAATCAGGATTACTTTGTCAGTATAGATTCCAGAAGTAGAATGGCTAGGTCAAAGTCTATAAAGTTTTTCAAAGCTACTATAAATTACAGAATTGCTTTCTAAGAATAGTGAAACCATTTATACTCCTACCAGAAATATATGCTTGACTTATCTATTTCATTGTACCTTCTCCTGCATTATACTTCCTTCTACCTTCCCCTCCCCCTGTCCCTTGTCCCTCCCTCTTTCTCTTTCTCTCTGGGGGAGTGAGAGGATGTAGCTTCGGAATTAACTGATCACTAAGAACTGTTAACTCATTTTAGCTGAACTTCCTAACTACAAGTAGGGTTGAGCATTTTTTCATGTTGTTTTACTGACTAAATAAATACCTACAGAGTGTCTTCTGTGTGCCAGACTCTGTTCTAGACTCTGGGAATATAATGGTGAACACAAACGTGGCCCTGTTAGTATTTATAGTCAATAATCTCTGATTTCTGATTTGTTGTACTGCCAGTTTGTATGGTTTTAAGTCTTGCAGTTTAAAATTATTCATTTACTTAGTCTGCCTATCCTCTGGTACCTTTTTTTTTAATCCCGATAGGCAAAAACTCTTTATATAAAGATATTAGCACTAATCTAAAACAGTGGTTTTACTTTTTCTTCAGGCATTCATGTCACTTATATGCTTATACTCCCAGCAATCATATCTTTCAGTACATGGTCTCCTCCTTAAGGTGTCAAGTTCATCTCTATATACCCATAATATATAACAGTGCTATGCATATAAAATTAGAACTTTGTATATATGAGACAGAAAAATGAATAGAAACAGTATTTAGCACAGTTTGACAGCAGACAGTTCTGGGTTTAAATTCTGTCTTTACCATTTTACTAGCAATGTAATCTTAAATGAATAACACAAATGCTATTGGTTTTCTCTTTTACAAAATGAGGACAACTTCACAGACTTATGGTGAGAACTGAAATTACATGTGTCAAGTTTTAGCACAGTAACTGCCACAGGGTAAGCATTCTAGGTACGGAAGCATTTATAATTAAAGATATTCTAAAGAAAATAATAGGTAAAAATAATTAAATATTTGAAGTAGTTTCTTTGGATTTTAAATGAGGTCTTTAAACTGAAAGATATTACATTCAATAATGAAATCAGAAGTCAAATTTATCTAACATAATATATGAACGCATTTAAAATTTAGCTGCAATGTACAAAAGCTTGCGCACATTAAAAATCCCTCTCTTAATAAAATGGCAAAATAATACATTAAATATCAAATATCAGTAATTTAAATTAATATAAATAAGCTGCAGAATTTTATATCAATCAATTGAATATGGTAATTAACCTGTTCTATGAATAAAGGAAAACTCCACTTGACAATTTTAAGTGTTTTTTATTTCACTGAACAAGCAATCACATGGTTCATCATACTGTATACTATCTATGCTTACTATAAACTTTTACTTCCCCATGCCACCCTACCTAACAACTTTATAACTTTCTAACTTAATTCTTTAGCACAATGGCTAGCAATGGAGAGATACCCAAGTCATCTCTGGAATTAATTCTCTGGCATTAACCAACTCTACAGTATAAACTTATCATTAGTCAAGCTGATTTTCTCACTTTTCTTCTTCACCAACATTTTTAGTTCTGCACTTTTACTCAAACTATAATGAACATGCTTTAGAATGTTCTATGGAGACAAACTATGCAAATTATCAGTTAATATTACTGAGTTCATTATACAAAGATCATTTCAGATGTTACAGTCTTCCCCTTACCTTCTCTGATTACTAAGGTCATAGCCATTTCCTCTGCATTCATGTCTTACATGCGTTTGTTATTTTCAGTTCATGCTAGCAAAATATATATACTGTTTTGTATTGCTTAATTTTCTGAGTATAGTGCACATGCCAATAAACTTGGGACTGATAAATAATACAAAACAAGAAATGCCCATAAACTGACATGCCCATAAATTCTCTGTGGGCTGAGATCATGGTTTAAATTTGTTTTGAATCATTATTAGTAAGAGACTTTAAACTTACATTGGTTCCATTTATCTACTTTACACTTCTAGTTAAAAAATTGAGATATAGGGGCGCCTGGGTGGCTCAGTGGGTTAAGCCTCTGCCTTCGGCTCAGCTCATGATCCCAAGGTCCTGGGATGGAGCCCCGCATCGCATCGGGCTCTCTACTCAGCAGGGAGCCATTTCTACCCCCCTCGCTCTCTGCCTGCCTCTCTGCCTACTTGTGATCTCTGTCAAATAAATAAGTAATATCTTTAAAAAAAAAAAAAAAAGATTGAGATATAATTGCTAGTAAACACAAATTCAAATAATCCACAAATCATCTTAGGAAACCAATGTAATTTTATAAGGTTATTAGCTAATTTCTATTTTAACAAGTCTTACTCATTTTTTCTTCCATATTTTATTTGAATTTTCAAAATATTCTGCAGTATAGTCTCATTACCACTTTATACAATATCTTTACTGATAAATATTTTAAAATAAGGTAAAATATTTTTACTAGCTTCAACAACTATATTTAGTATGTATTTCTCTTTAAACCAAAAGTTGGTTTATGTATGTATGTTCCATACATACATCTCATTAGCAGATGGTCTTATCAAATAATTTAAAAAAGGAAGCAGTTAATTCATGACTGCCTTACCCATTTAGACAACAAATTTTTTTAAGTTATTAAGTTGTGATGAGCACTGGGTGTTGTATGGATGTGGTGAATCCCTGTATTTTGTGCCTGAAACTAATATTACACTGTATGTTAACTAAATGGAATTTAAATAAAAACTTAAAAAAAAAGTTATTAAGTTGGTAATCTAAACATTTACCTGGATAAAACTCATGTACAACTCACTTTATAATTATGTTGGTAGGCAAATACCTCATAAAATATTAGTCAGTTGTACTGGAACTTTGTAATACTGTTAACCATTGTCTTCTCCTCCTCCTTATCAGAGTAGATTTAAATCAATTTCAATATTAGCAGAAGAGACTTCACTTCTGCCTCTGCCTTACATCTTTTATTCCTGAGATTCTTTTTTATATTTATCATGAAGTTCTCTTTGCCCCACACTAAAATCTGTTAAGAACAACTTTATCAGGACACCTGGGTAGCTCAGTTGGTTAAGCGTCTATCTGCCTTTGGCTCAGGTCATGAGGCCAGGATCCTAGAATTGAGCTCTGCATTGGGCTCTTTGCTCAGTGGGGAGTCTACTTCTCCCTCTGTCTACTGCACCCTGGTTGTGCTCTCTCTCTCTTTCTCTCTGTCAAAAAAATAAATTAAAAAGAAAAAAACAACTTTATGTAATAATTGGCATAAGAATGGCTACTGAGGAATATTAGGCATGCCCTCACACCAAATTAGGTCATTCGCTTTCTGCAGAATTCTGTCAATGGGGAAACAGAAAACTGAGAACAGAGAAAAGCAATTCAAACACTATGACCAAGTATGTTCACCACCAGGCTAACCATGTTACTCTCTAATAGTCATCCTTTTTAGAGAATAAGTAAGGTTTTAAAGGATTCTAAAAAGCAATAGAAAAAATATGAATAAAAGCTACAGCTGTAAAATCTGGATTATGAGAACTTAAGTTTTGTATCTTTCAATTTTCTTTAAATTTCTCCAAATAAATTTTAGGGGAAAAAAAAAAGTGAACTGCAATATGTATAGGCTTAGAGGTTAGAAATAAAATAATTTAGGAAAAAAAGAAAAAAATTTTAAGATTTTATTTATTTATTGGAGAGAGAGAGTGGCAAGCAAGCAAGGTAGCAAGCATGGGGCAGGGAGGGGAGAGGGGAAGAGGGTTAGAGGGAGAAGCAGACTCCCCACTGAGCAGGGAACCCAATGTGGGGCTGAGATCATGACCTGAGCCAAAGGCAGATGCTTAACTGACTGAGTCACCCAGGTACCGAAAATAATTTAAGGAAAACATGGTTGTAACAGAAAATGTGCACTTGTCTATTTGAAAGTGACTAGTACATTGCTCAGTCTAAATTAAAGTGTTACTACAAAGTTAAAAATTTTAAATCTTGAGGAAGTATCTACTCCAACTATTCTTAGCACTGCTAAAGTCTAAGAATGTGAAATGTCTGGAATAAAAACAATGTGAAGGATTAAATGCTTGAAAATAGGAACCTATTTTAAAAGGTTAGCAAAGTTATAAAATACAAAACCTTAAGTGAGAGAGATATGGCTACTGTCGAAGAAACTAAATATAATAGATTCTTGAGCCAGAGGACTTGGGTTGGAACACTAGCTCGACAGACTTACTAGTTGTGTGACCCTGGACAAACTGCTTGACCACTCTGTAACTTACTTTCCTCATCTGTAAAACAAGGATAACAATAATATCGATCTCAGGAATTATTATAAGGATTCAACAATTCAATATGTGCAAATTGCTTAGAACAAAGACAGACACATAATACACACTGTGAATTTTAGCTATTTTTTAAAAATAAATTGAGCAGTACTTATTCAATGTTCGGCTTCACTGACGAAAGTTTAACTTGCCAGGGATTTTGTTACAAATTCTACTACTGGGACCCCGACTCAAGCCTTGAAGAATTATATAACTTCAAGAATTTAGAAGCTTTCTATCTAGTTCCCACAATAAATTTCCCAATCAAACTAGAAAACAAATATAAAACACTTATGATTGAACATATTTGTAGTAATGGCTTTATACAATGCCCAAACTCTAACAATAGCAAAATTAGGGTAGAAATTATTATCTCTATTTCACAGATAAGGAAACAGAAGGTAAGATAATTAGATAATTTGGCCAACATCATATTGCTAGTAAGTAACGTAAGGGCAGGACTATCTATGTATACCTACCACCATAGCCCCAAATATCTAATAGTACTCAGCACAGCTCCAATGTTTGTAAATGACTGGTGGGTACAGGGAAGGATGGAGGAATGGATGGATGGATGGATAGATGGATAAATGTAGTAATCAGTAAACCAAATATTAGGTGCTCTGGGGTAGCCACTGACCCTGGCAAATTAGCCCAACTCTGTTAAACTAAACTTTCTATGGGAAGGTTCTATAAATGCAACTTATTTTTATGTAGTCATATATATGTTAGTCAGAGACCAAGACTGCATGCTTCTAAACCCATGAAATATGAGTAGCTATCATAATATGCTTCAAGAAATAAAGGAATTTTTTCCAACTAATGATAACATCAACTCAATATCCATGCCAATGGAAAGAAGTAGGAGTTCCAAATACAAAAATAACATACCCTTGTGCACTGTTGGTGGGAATGTAAACTGGTACAGCCACTATGGAAAACTGTATGGAGGTTCCTCAAAAACTTAAAACAGAAGTACCATATGATCCAATAATTCCACTATTGGGTATTTACTCAAAGAAAATAAAACGCTAATTCGAAAAACTGTATGCATCCGTTTATTGCAGCATTATTTACAACAGCCAAGATATGGAAGCAAACTAAATGTCAACAATAGAATAAAGATGTGGTGTGTGTTGATGTACAGACACACAAACACACAAAAATACACAAGAATATTAAACAGCCATAAAAAGGAATAAAATTTTGCCATGTGCAACAACATTTCACTTACATGTGACATCTAACAAACAAAACAAACAAAAAGCAGAAAAAGACCCATAAATAGAGAAAACAAACTCTTGGTGCTCAGAGGGGAAGAGGGTAAAGAGATGAGAAAAATAGGTAAAGGGGAGTGGGAGGTAGAGGCTTCCAGTTACGAACCAAGGAAGTCTCTGCAACAAAAGGCATGGCATAAGGAACATAGTCAGTGGTGTTGTAGTAGTACTCTATGGTGACAGATGGTAGCTATACTTGTGGTGAGCACAGAGTTGTTGAATCATTATGTTGTACAACCAAAACTAATGTAACGTGTCAACCATACTTCAATAAAATAAAAAAATAACATACTTGGCTATCTGAATATACCGCTTGTGGATTGATTACATAATTGAAACAAAATAATGAAACTATGCTGATGCCTAATTCAGGCAAAGAAAGAAACTGATTCATCCTCCCCAAATTATCCCCTACTATGATGACACAAAGCACCAGCCTAAGATGAATTCTTTCATTTTTTTGTAAGCCCAATTTTGGGTTGATATTTCCCTTGTTTGCAGTAAAAGAGAACACAAAATACCTATATTTAAATTTTCCCTTTTATATTCTTAGCCCAAAAGGAAGTGTAAAAAAAAAAGTATGAACTCTACCAGAAAATCCCCATGTTGAATCTAAAGACAAAACATACTGAATGTAAACAAGTTCACCGTGATAAACCTCATTATATTTACATTTATTAGAAAATTACCAGTAAAGAAGTTCTTCTGTGCAAAGATAAAGTGGTAGGTGGCTTTATAAACCTCTAATTCACACTGCCAAGTCTGTGGCATGTTCCATATTCGGGGATAACTGGCATTGATGTGGAACTGCAAATGAAATGTTAAGTAAAAATGTTAGAGCTTAAAATGTGACACTGTGTGAAGAACATTAGAAATAAATTCACACATACACTAATAAGAGTAATTAAAACTTATTTTCCCACTGAGCTGAACAGAGGTCCCTTTGAGATTCTAATATTACTGAGGCTAAAGGTCAGTATCTATGGTTATATCCAGCTCCTTAAAAGAGTAAGCCATGAAAATTTTAAGAACAACAAAGCAGACTACAGTTTTGATACTGTACTCCAGCTAAACTAAGAAAGTAGCAACCAACATCCTTAATTCCTCTTTAAACCTAATCTGTTATGTGAGAGATTTGGTCACCGGTGCCTTCCAGGTTCCTGTTTGGCAGTTTGATAGGGAGCTTTATCATGTATTTAAGGTGTTTTATCATGTATTCCATCTGCCAAAGTTCGGAGATTCTGCTAAAGGCAAGAGCTGCCTAACCAGGAATAGCATTATTGCCCAGCACCATTTATAAGCAATAGCTCAGGAATTCGTTAAAATGCTGAATATGCCAGTTTAATATACACTTATAGTATTCAATATATTCTTGGTAATTACAAATCTCTCCTCTTAATTTACATATATATGTGTAAAAATGCTTTTTTTACACAATTAAGACCTAATATAAGAGAATCTTATAAAAGAATCCTTTCTGAATATCAGCCATTCTACATAGTGGCTTTTGTTATTATTGTTAATGTTGTCTCCCCTAATGAAGAATAATCCACCTGATAATGAAATGAGGCCCCAACCTGCCACTTAATCATAAGTACTTCCATATTTTTTCTAATATGGAGCAATCTGCAGTATCAATAAGATTTTATTCTTCTTACCTCATTCATCAAGTAAAAAGGAAAATGACTTATTAAGCCATGAGCAGGAATCCAATGGGGCCAGAAACATAGTGAAAAATTATCTCATTTATAACACAGGAATCAGTCTAAACATAAAATAAAATTTAAAAATAATCTCGGGTGCCTGGGTGGCTCAGTGGGTTAAGCTTCTGCCTTTAGCTCAGGTCATGATCTCAGGGTCCTGGGATCAAGTCCCGCATCGGGCTCTGTTCAGCAGGGAGCCTGCTTCCTTCTCTCTCTCTCTCTGCCTGCCTCTCTGCCTACTTGTGATCTCTCTCTCTGTCAAATAAATAAATAAAATCTTTTAAAATTATAATAATAATAATAATCTAACAACTTTTCACATTTTTAAAGATCAAAAATCATGCTAGCACAGACTTATATTCACTTTGCCCATAACCAGAAGCAGAGCAAAAAAGATGCCAGAGTCCACAGCACTGGGAATCTACTCCTCTTCCCAAAATTAACACCAAAAGCACCTGGTAGTTCTTGAATGAGAAGATTAACTATTTAATAACTTCCTGGTCATTAAAATTTTATATTAAAAAATTAAAACCAAATTCAGATTTTATGTATGTAAACAATATCATCATATACTCTAGACTTACTGCTAACATTTCTGCTTCTAAAAGGGTCCGGTATTGCATGCTGGTGGTAGCATCAACATGTAAGAGCTGTCCTTTAATTGCAGGAGTATAACCTAATAAGTGAAAACACAAAGTTAAGAACCTAAAAAGATATATCTATGACTAAAAATTTTGTACTAGAAACAACTCCCATCACTACCCAAAGAAGGCATCTCTGAAAAATGGTGATCAGAAACTACACAAATACATTCCAGTGATGAGGAACTTGCTATCTAATAAGTGACCTTTCTCATTTTGGACAACTCTAAAGGAATAAAGTTCCATCTTCACAAAATGTCCTCCTGATTTTGCTTGCCAGTACAAAACTGTTAAGTCCATCCTCTAAATGACAGTTTTCAACTATTGAAGATGGCTCCCATGTCTCTTCTTTTCCTACTGACTCAAAGAAAGTTGTTTTAATCATTTTCCTTATATAGAAAATGTTCCATATATAATGAGAGTTTCTAAACAATGGCTATTCCTTATGTAATTAATGACAGTTAGCAAACAATATAGCTCTATGCTGAACAAAAGAAGAAAACTGCAAAGTGTTTCATTTCTTTTCTTGAAGGGCTGCCCTTCTATGAACACTAACGCTACTATGGTAGCCAGAGTCCACTAATACACTAATTAGTATATAGCTAGTTCAGCATGCTTCCTGTTCTGGGCATTTTTTTCAAGTACCTGAATCTCTGAAAAAAGTTTTAAATGTGTTTGAACTATATTTTGCTAATATCTATGACTTAATCTAATTTTCCCCCTCAGACAGTCATCTTAAAAGCCACCTAACCTTTCCCAAAAACCTGACTGGACTTTCCTTAGACCCATAACTCACTCAGAGTTCCACAACCAGTGTGCTGTGGCACCGACCATGAATTCATAGTAAGTATGCTTGACATATAGATTCCCTCAGCCCTCAGTGGCTCCCTTACCCCAGATGTACCCATAACTGCACAAAAGAAAGGTGAACAAATATTTCCTACATGGAATATCAGTTTAAAAATGGTAGAAGCACTCCCTTAATTGAATCATTCTCAATTTTATGCAACCCCCCAACTGTCTTTTTCCTCCTGCTGTGTCTCTGTAAGGCTACCCTAAAAGATGTTCTTTACAATTTACTAATCTGAACCACCCAGTCCTAGAGAATCTCAAGCATCTGCTTCAAGACTTAGTATGACCATTCTTCTACAACAAGCAAAGGTAAGGTTTAAATCTTCACTGGAAGAGCCTCAAAGGTACAGGGAAAAGATACTCTATGCCATTCTCAGTCACTGTTTCACAACTGATTATCTAAGTAGATAGACCCAACTCCTACCTTTTTATACAAGCTAATGAATGCAGTCAACCCACTAGTTTCTTTCTTCTTATACCAGGAAAAAAAAAAAAAAAGGTGACAGAAACAAGTAAAGAGAGCCAAGCATGGTATAAAAACTACTCGAATTATACTCAGCCATAGTAACACTGTTGGTTAATGACTTAAAAATATGGGTAAGTTGCTATTCTCTGTATTCTCACGAAGTGAATCAATAAAGTAGAATTTCACTTTAATTATTCTCAATTACAAATACACTAAGAGGATAGGAAGAAGGAAAATGAAAAAGGCTATATAATATTTTGATAAATTTAACAAAAGGTATTTAATCACATTATTGATTAACTTGTATGAGTCCAAATTTCAAATGTATGATAAATTTAGATTAGCTTGGATAAAACTATAGCAGAGTATTATTTAGTATTTTAAATATGAAATATTCTGCTTTCTTAAAGCTATATTTTTCAAAGTACCAGGCTTACTCCCTAACAAAATCTATTAACAATAAAACCTTAAAACAAAGCCTTTCAGTCATTCTATCACATACTGCCCATATACCATGTGCCAGGTACTGGGTTCAGCACCAAGTTTCTATCAGTTTAAAAACAAACAAAAAAAAACAACATCTGGTCTTACAGAGCAACAGACTAATAGGAAAAATACATTTTAAACAAATTATCCTCAGTCTCACAAAAAATAAGTATAGGGTATGATGAAAGTGTAAGACCTAACTTGATTTAAAAATTTTCCCTTCTCTGCAGTTATACAAATAATTTGATTATGTAATTAATATGTACTATCAAGTAAATATAATAGAAAGCTGAAAAAGAAAACCCCATTAATTTTAGTCTCAATGGGATAGCAAACTATTATTTATAGATTAATCATTCCCCATTAATCATTTAAAACAGGAAAGTACTCATTGCAGCTTACCATTTTCCTCAACTGTCATTGGAATATTAATTTCTAAATATGAGCCAGCTCCTACATTTACATGTACAGCATTTGTTTCCTATCAAAAGAAAAAAATTAAACCATATAAAACAATTACTTTCTCACTATTTAATCATACTCACATCTTTACTTTTCAGTTACTATCACAGATAAAATATAATCATCAATAATATGAAATGGGTAATACAAGTTTCTAAGAACAAAAGTTCAAAGTTTTAGTAAAAATACACTAAAACAATTTGGCCAGATATAAAGAAGAAAATGAACCAGATTATAGAATTAAGATTTATTATTAATTTTTCCTACTTTTGGTACTTAATGAAAGCAACATAAATACAATTAGTGTGGGGGGAGGGTGACAGGAAGCTCATAGAAATGAATGTAAGTATAGAACTAGTTACCAGAAAAATACCCTGGAAAATAATATTCAAATTTTAAACACTGTATTCTACTATATTATTTTAATAATTACCCTGTTTTTGGTAAACAGCAAATCAATTGTAGCATCTGCAATAATATTCATTCGGAGTTCAAAAGCAAGGATCTGTCGTGGTCTCCCAGGCTGTGCAATTTCAGAAACTTTCAGAACTTGATAATCAGGTGGGAAGAAAAACTTCCACAGACAGTCTCTATATATAAAGGTATAAAGAATAACTTGTTACTCAAAATTATACCTATAAGGGAGCAAAATCAGTATTCTAACTTTGTACTATCACTGCTATCTCATTTAACAATTGGACATGAAATAGGAAAAAAAAACTAAGTCACAAAATAACACCTATTAAAGATTTATTTATTTATTTGAGAGAGAGAGCATGCGCAGGTGCACACACACATGCACAAGAGTTGGAAGGGGCAGAGGGAGAGAATCTTCACACAGACTCCCTCACTGAACACAGAACCTAATGCATGGCTCAGTCTCACAACCCATCAGATCATGACCTGAGCCAAAACCAAGAGTCCCAACACTTAATCAACTGAGCCATCCAGGAACCCCAACAAGCTTTGAGTATATAATACACTATTGTCAAATGAGATACAGGTAAGAACAAATCTGTACTGTTCAAGCATACTGGGAGAAATTAAAGATTTTCTACAAGCATATGAAGAGTTAAAGAAAGAACTAAAGGAGGATGGTTTAATTAGAATCATTCCACTATGGATGAGTTATTTAGCCTTTCTGAAGACACCTGACCTGCTTTCTCATCTGAACAACAGGAATAACACAACTTGCCTCATAGAATAGATCTGAGGATTAAATGACAACCTATATGGAAAAGACTTGACAGTACATGATGCTTGAAAAAATGGTTATTATTTCTTTTATTTTTATAATCATTATTATTTTGGGGGGTGGGGCAAAGGGAGAGGGAAAGAGAGAATCTTAAGCAGACTCTACACGCAGGTTGGAGGCTGATGCAGGGCTTGATCTCATAACCCTGAGATCATGACCTGAGCTAAAATCAAAAGGCAATGCTTAACCAGGTTCCCCTTACAATCATTATTTTTTTTTTAAGATTTTATTTATTTGACAGAAAGAGATCACAAGTAGGCAGAGAGGCAGGCAGAGAGAGAGGAGGAAGCAGGCTCCCTGCTGAGCAGAGAGCCCGATGCGGGGCTCGATCCCAGGACCCTGGGATCATGACCTGAGCCAAAGGCAGAGGCTTTAACCCACTGAGCCACCCAGGCGCCCCTACAATCATTATTTTTAATCAATAACCTATCAATAAGAATCTAAAGGTCAGTAGATCTCTAAAAAGTAAAGAAGCTAAGGCTCTAATACATTTGCCTCCCCTCATCATTCTCACAAAGATGAAAGAACCCAAGGACTTTCCATTTCAGAGTCAAAATTAATGTAATGTTATTCACACATTCAGAGAAGGTGACAGTTTATAGCTTTTAAAAAGGAAGGGTTGAAAAAGTAACAAAAAATGCTACTTAGAATAAATAAGGTAGGGAAAAATTAGATGAATAGAACAAAAGGTGAAAACTGACCCATTATAGACTATAACTTGCCATCAAGTTAGTGTATATGAACGAAAAAGTTCTGCAAATGTTCTAGCTACAACATAAAAATACATGAAACTAAGATTATTAAAGATTAAAAAAATCCAATATGATCACTGAATGAAAATGGACTGTTCGATGGATAGCAGGATATAATGAAAAGAGGCGTGGACTTGAAAGGCTTGAAAAGCTAACAATTGTTAGCTCTAGATGCTACAGCATCATTATCTTGCCTAAATCACTGAACCTCCATTTTCTCACAGGTGTAATAAGCTTACCATATCTGCCCCACATATCTCACTGGGTTATGAGACTCAAGTGTGAAAATACAAAGAAAAGCACTTATGTGAAAGCAGTAAGAGGCTAGACAATGTTGAAAATGTTTGCATTCTTATAACTATCACCTATCTAAGGATTAAGTACAAATCTCATAACGTTTGTATTTCAACTCTGACATGAAAACTCACAGAAAGAAAATATCATGAAGGAAAAGCTGAATATCGTAATGATTCAGAAAAATCATGTAAAGGTGGTAGAATGAAATCAAAATCCAGAAGCTAACAAGATCAAAATGTCTTTTGAAGAGATCAAAATCTCGTCACAAAACTGAATGAACTATCCAATAGCAAAACAGTTGAGATTTCTTCCTAAATTTCTTACATCTTAGTGGATGCTAAGAAAACTGACCTTATAATTCATTTCTGATTACAATTCATATTTGTATAGAAATGCAAAATGGTAGAGAAGAAAGGAAATGGATACAAAAGAGGAAATGCACTGTTTGTACATGTTAAATAAGAAGTATTGTTAATAAACTAAAAGCATGTGAAAGTAAGTTTTTCAGGGCACCTAGGTGGCTCAGTTGGTTAAGCGTCTACGTTTGGTGCAGATCATGATCTCAGAGTCCTGGGATCGAAAGCCTGGAGTTGGGTTCCCTGTTCAGTAGGGAGTCTGCTTTACCCTCTCCCTCTCCCCACCGTCCCGCTTGTGGTCTCCCTCTCTCTCTCTCTCAAATAAATAAAATCTTAAAAAAAAAAAAAAAAGAAGTTTTTCTTTTTTCTCTTTTTTCTTTCAAATAAACCTGAATGAATGATTTTAAGTCCAGGTTAAGAAAGATATTGCTGTTCTCTTCTGGCAGTGGCAAGATCTACTGAAAAGAGTCGATAAAACAAATTTTTCTTTTTTTCTTTTTTCATTTCTCCACGTAATACAAGTATCACTTCAGAAGTGAATATGGCTATTTAGTAAAAGAATTTTAGTTTGGGCTTTTATGTAAATATACCCTAATTTTTTTTTTAATGTAACAAAATGAAATACAGTTTAAAAATAATCATACTTTATTCAAGTCTTAGAAATGCAAATATTTTATGTGTCTGTGTTGAAGCTTTTTTTTAATATTTTCCTTTCAAATATAATAATGTATAAATATAACTGTTATGTAATAGGATGTAAAAACCCTCATTTTCAACAATTCCAACACAGTATGGCTTACTATAGAAAAAATTTTATCATAAAAGGAAAATTTAAATCCAGTAATTTGGAAAGCATTTGTTTCCTAACCTGAAATTTTAAGCTGTTTACTTCCAAGTCTAATAAATAACCTAACCCAGAACCCAACAAAGTAATGTATTAGCATATTGCAGGAGTTTTCAAATGACAAACTTACTTATTCATTTATCATACAATTGTTAAGTAGCTACACTTGATGGGACAGGTATTTCAATATACTAGAGTTACAAAGGTTAACACGCGACTTAACAAAGTATGTATTTCTTTTAACAAGCTAGGTCGAAAGCACTTTTTAAAACAAGTATAAAAAGAGTCAGTATATCAAGTCAGTATCAGCACTCTTCATTAGTCCATCAACAGCCCAACAATATCTGCTTCAGTGAATGGTTTGGCTTGTATTTCTCCATTCAAGCTTGTTTATGAACAGAAAAACTAAACTGACTTTAGGCAATGTCTATTTACATAAAAATTTAGATGTTCCCTCATAATTAGTGGTAAATGTCCCCTTCTTTGCTTAAAACTCTTCAGTAAGTAGAAACGTGGTCAGAATGTATTAAAATAAGAATTACTTCAAAATTAACAGAATGACTAAAAAATTAAAAAAAAAAACCTTTCAGACACTGTCCATGACCCTAGTATAAAATCTTTCTTAACTACCTCCAAGTCTCCTAACAACCTATAGAAACTATAAGACAAATCTCCATTGTCATCATGCATTTGCAGAACTCTTCCTTTTTCTCAATTATTTGTCCTCCTCTTCCTTCATTGGCTAACTCCTACTTAAGTGTCAAAATTCAACTTACATGTTACCTCTACTAAAAAGCCTTCCCCAATTCTTCTCTGATGAGTTATGTATCTGTTATAAAAGAATTGTGTCCCCCTAAAAATTCATACATTGAAGTCCTAACCTTGAGTACCTGAGAATTTGATGTTTGGAAATAGGATATTTAGAGAGATGATTAAGTTAAAATGTAGTCATTAGGGTGTGCCCTAATCCAATATAACTAGTGCTCTTCTAAGACAAGGAAATGTGGACACAGAGACCTACAAGACACACAAAAGGCAAGACCATGGGAAGACCAGAGAAAAGATGACCATCTACAAGCCAAGAAGAGAAGCCTTGAATACACCCTTCCTTCACAGCCCTCAGAAGGAACCAAACCTACCAACTCCTTGATCACAGAATTCTAATCTCCAGAACCATGAAAAAATTTCTGTTGTTTAAACTATACAGTCTATGGTTCTTTGTTATGGCAGTCTTAGCCAACTAGTACAGTATGTTTCTAAGTGCTTCATCAAGACTTTTTCCTTACCTCTACCTCAACCCTTAATAAAACTCTTTTGTTTGTTTTTCCTCACTGAAACTGAACTATATGTCTTTTGTCTGTGAATCTCTACAGCCCAACAGTCCCAGGCAAATTCATTGATTAAATACAAAAGAAAAAACAAAGAAACCAATAAATATGCTCCTCATTCACCATTTTTCTAACAAATTAGCCCCTCCTTCAGAATGAACTTGCTTATGCCAACTTATAATTTGAATTAAAATTATAATTTATAATTTGAATTAAAATGCTTATAATTTGAATTAAAATGCTTAATGATATCTTACCCTGCCATAATAAAAGAGCTTATAAACTATTAAGCCACTTTTTTATAAAATTTATATCATTCAACATTAAAAGACTTACTAGAAATATAATTTACTCAAGTACCTTTGTCTATCGGCCCATGGCCCATAGTTGAAATCCGTTCCTTTACCACAAACTATATCCAGTCCCCAACACGGAGGCAAATCTTGTAATTTGCAATCCTCACTACTCATTTCTCCTTCAATATTTTCTTCTGTTTCTTCTGGAACAAGTCCTATATTGCAGAGTATACAATAGAAAGGTAATTACTTAAAATTACTGTTTAAAGATTCCCTAGACCAGGAGTTCTAAAAATGTTGCTTTCAGTAATCCTTTACACTCTTAAAAATTACCAAGGATACACAGTGGGGTTTTTTGGTATTATCTCAATCATAATTTACTGTATTCAAAATTGAAACTGGACAATTTTTTAAAATTTTATTTTTAAGGTAACAACTCATTGCATGTTGATGTAATAAAACGTTTAATAAAATTGAACTCATTACATTTCATTTAATATAACTTAATGAAAATATGATATGAAAAAATTATTTTATAAAAACTAAATGAAATTTTAATTCCATTTTTAATGAAAGTACTTTTCAATGAACAAATAACCATATTTTCTAAAACAAATTTATTTAGAAGTAAGTGTTGGCATTGTTTTTATTTCAGCAAATCTCTTTAATGTCCAACTTACCAAAAAATAAGCAAATTTTCAAAGCTGCTTCTGCATTTGTTATTTAAGTATCTGAAGAAAACCTAGCCTCAAACAGCTATTTAGAAAAGGGAGGAGTATTTTAATAGCTTTTTCAGATAACTGTGGATATTCTTCTCTGACACTATACCAAAATTCAAAAAGTGGTAGTTCCTTAAAAGTTAGTTGCAACGTGGAATCTGAAACCCTATACTGAATTTTTCATACTCGGATACATTAAAACTTACCAATCTCCCAACGTGGAATCTGAAACCCTATACTGAATTTTTCATACTCGGATACATTAAAACTTACCCATCTCCCTTATACTTTGAACGTATCTTTTATCCATGGTGTAACTTTGTAACATTTGGAAAATACTGGTTCACAGAGACACACATATGTTCTCCAAATACTGATAAATTTCATCATTAAATATTTTTTTTTTAGGGGCACCTGGGTGGCTCAGTGGGTTAAAGCCTCTGCTTTCGGCTCGGGTCATGATCTCGGGGTCCTGGGATCGAACCCCGCATCGGGCTCTCTGCTCAGCGGGGAGCCTGCTTTCCCCTCTGTCTCTGCCTGCTTCTCTGCCTACTTGTGATCTCTGTCTGTCAAATAAATAAATAAACTCTTTAAAAAACAACAACAACATTTTTTTTAAAGATTTATTTATTTACTTGACAGAGAGAGAGTGATCACAAGTAGGCAGAGCAGCAGGCAGAGACAGAGGGGAAAGCAGGCTCCCGGCTGAGCAGAGAGCCTGATGCAGGGCTCGATCTCAGGACCGTGAGATCATGACCCGAGCCCAAGGTAGAGTCTTAACTCACTGAGCCACCCAGGCGCCCGTCATCATTAAACATTTTTAAAATCACATTTGTTAATAGCACTGGTGGTCTTATCAGAAAAGTCCTTAAACTCACAGTTGGCAGAACCAAATTTTCCAAAATTCTGATTTTCACATGAAAGCTCAAAATCATAGATTGTCTCTAGTTGCTTCTTCAAGTAAAACTGGTGCTCCATGAAAAGAGCATATAATTCAGCTAGAAACTCAACTATACAAGTGCTTTTCCTCCAAACATCAGTATACTTTGGTATGTAGCAGAGGTGTATTATGTGTACTTGGCCATTTCATCACACTAATTATTAAAAAGTTTACTCAAGGGTCAAGATTTGACAGAAACACTTTTTATGGCTTTATCAAAGTTTTTTAAACTGATACTGGCATGCGTTTTACTGTAAATGCATAGTAGTGAAAAAGTCAGTGATTACTAGTATAGTTCGGAAGCTCTGCTTTAATTCATACTAAAGCAGCCATTGCTGCTTTGTACCAGCAATGGCTGGTATCATTTCACCCACCATTGCTTTTGTACCAGCATGCAAATGTCAATATGGTTAAAAAGGCAAGTAACATCCTCATTTTCCTCTGAAAACACTGTGACCTCATAAACCCCATGAAGGCATAAAAAAAAATTAGTAGGAAAAAAGGGCTAAAAATCCAATGTTTAGTTACTTTTATAAAATTCAAGCCACCTGTGAAGCACTCTAACGAGCTAGACTTCAATCCTTAAACTTCAAGCCTTAAAGGATTTTCTTCTTAAGCTAGCATGAACTACCTTAACTGTCACCACATTCTCTAAAGGTTTTCACACCAGGTTACTTGCATTCACAACTTTTAAGGTATACCTCTGAAAACAGAATTGAACAAAAGATTCCTATATTGTTCTTTTGGTCTAAAATAGTAATATTCAATTGTTGATAAATGACACAGACATTTTTTAGGTAGGAACTCTTCCATCCACATTTATGACATATTGATGTTTATTTTATCTGAACTAAGGAGACTTAAAATATTATTAAATATCAACATTTCATAGAGTAAAAGTGCAGCTATGAAACACACTTTCAAAAACTAATACCTGGCTCATCCATGTAGTAGTAGATGTCAACATCATTTGACTGCATCACCACAAACCCTTCTCCCATTAATCTTGGTGGTCTATAGAAGGAGGGGGGACGACAAACTAAGTACATCTCCAGAATATAAAATGTTCTGTATTCTAATAAGGTAGTAATAGTTGAGAACAAAAAGAGAAAAAAATCTAAAAAACAATCAAGTGTAGCACATTGAAAAGGGAAAACAAAACATCTTTTACATAGACAATGAAGTTTTGCATAGTTGTATTCTGTATTAGACTAAATAAATTGGTACTGAAAAATTTTTAACCAATATATTAGTTTCAAAAAGAAAAAATGAAAATTTGTTATGCATTTTTAGCTTTAAAAGAGAGAAGTCAATTTAAAGCAAAGTTCGATTAAATATAATCGAAGAACAATGATCATTAGAATAATCATATTCTGCATTGGCAACAAAAAATTTAAAATTAAACTTTAAATTCAACCATTTTATATTAATACTTTATAACTTAATAGGAAATATTCTATATATCTGTAAAATAAAGTTTAATCTTTTAGAAACATTAAATAAGAAAAATATTAAGCTTTTTTAACAACTTGATATTATCTTTGTCTTTATATTATCTTATTTCTAAGAATATTTAGTTGATCAACTTGAAAAAATTCTGGAATTAATGTTTCTCTACAATCACTTCCCCACAAATTATTAATTTTTACTTGCTTTGATTCAACAACTTTTCTCTTTTTCGTTCATATACCACATCTTCTTTCCATATCAAAATTAACTTCTCAGTCATTAGATAATATATACAAATTCAACAACCTTCTTCTAAATATATATTAAATGATGAAGGTTAATGTCTAATATCATCATTCAATTTCCACACTTACTTTGAAGAGTGAAAAATACAATTTTACCTTTTTATAAAAATTAGTAAGAAAACACCTTTTTATCTTACTCTGTAAACTTCATAAGGTCCAGATTTATTCAGTATTTTAAAATTTACCCATAATATATAGAACTGTGTGCACAGCCCACATTCTATAAGATGCTTAGCAAAGTCTGTGATTATGAAGAATGAGATGAGGTAAACCCCATAGCATCCCTGCTACTCACACAGGGAAAACCTCTCCATCATTCTAGTGATGGGGAAATCTAATAAGCAAGCTAGCCAAAAGTTGGAATTAAGAAGGAATAATCATGCTTCTTATAACCTCATAAATTTTATACTACCAGCACACAAAGATAAAAGCTGGGACAGTTCCAAAACTGTATCATTCTAACTTCACCAGTTTACCAAGAGTAATTTAGATTCAATTTTCAACTTTTTATTAACTCAAAATGGTATTCCACTACACTGCATTTATTGAATGTACTATTAATCCATCCCTTCGGGAAATAAAAGCCTACCTATAGTGTATATTTTCTAACCTACAAACATCAGAGCCTAAATGCCCCAAGTAAGTTTCCCAAGTACAGTGAGAAGGAGAAAATGGTAGAAAAATTATAGTTATAATCTTACAGGAAAATGTTTAAAATTAGAGCTCATCAATGGATAATATATCATTTATAATTATAACGCACGACTATGCTGTTAACTGGTTTAACAGAGAAATATGCCCAATTATCGCCCAACTTAGAGCAAAAAAATTAAAGAGATGACAAAGATTCTAATTGATATCTATATTAGATATAAAGATATTATGTTATTTTTATGACTTTTTTTATTATGTTGTTAGCCAACATATAGTACATCATTAGTTTCTGATGTAGTGTTCAGCAATTCATTAGTTGCGTGTAACACCCAATGTTCATCACAACATGTGCCTCCTTAATACCCATCACCTGGTTATCCCATCCCCCCACCCCTCTCCTTTCTGTAACCCTCAATTTGTTTCCTGGAGTCCAAAGTCTCTCATGGTTTATCCACAATAGCCAAACTATGGAAGGAGCCAAGATGTCCTTTAGCAGTTGAATGGATAAAGATGATGTGGTTCATATATACAATAGAATATTACTCAGCCATGAGAAAGGATGAATACCTACCATTTGCATTGACATGGATGGAACTAGAGAGGATTATGCTAAGTGAAATAAGTCAATCAGAGAAAGACAATTTGTAAGACTATCTTACTCATCATTTTGAAGACCAACATATCTTGGACTAGGAACAAGCATGACTCGAACATTTTCAAGTTTCCCTTTCACAATATGCATGAATTGATCAAGATGACTAGAAGGCGGTTTTGTAGTGTAAGTTAAGAAAGCATCATCAAAGTTGATACACAGAGTTTGAGGTTGGTAATGATTTCCAAAGGCCAAACGTCCCTAAAAAATAAATAAGAGAAACTATGCTGTAATATACAAACCATATATTTTTCCTTAGTTGACCTAATAACAAACATTTTCTTTTTTTTTTAAAGATTTTATTTATTTATTTGACAGACAGATATCACAAGTAGGCAGAGAGACAGGCAGAAAGACAAGGAAGCAGGCTCTCTGTCAAGCAGAGAGCCCAATGTGGAACTCGATCCCAAGACCCTGGGATCATGACCTGAGCTGAAGGCAGAGGCTTTAACCCACTGAGCCACCCAGGTGCCCCTGACCTAATAACAAACATTTTCAAGCAACAATTAAATTATTCCACTTCAGCACTATACACTATCCAAATTACTCCACTGATCAATTTAGTGTTTAAAGAAATCTAAGTAGTTGTGAATAAGTAGCCCCTAAGACCTAATAAATGTGTGCTAAAATGGTATTGGGTGTTGAAATAATTCTTTCATACCTTTATGAACTTTGGAACCTAAACAACTCTACAAAATTACTTTCTTTAGTGAAAATTTTATTTGCAAAAATAAGAGTTTTCATTATTAACCCACCAAACATGAACTGCCGCAGAATTTACTTACTGTGCTCACATTGACCTTTATGACTGGAATAAGTGATCTCCATGAAGATGTGGGGTCTTGAGATTCTGTTTTTACTTTAACTCTGAGAAAAATAAAAATAAAAATAAACATACATAAGAAAACTTAAATAGTTGAGAATACAGTGGACCTCTTCACAATACACAGTAATACTAGCTATAACTTTCCAAATACATCTAATGATTGTTCCAGTAAACAAAATAATGACAGCAACTAACAGAATACTAGTATCTCTCAAGTATCTCTCGGGATACACTGTATCATTTATCAATTTATAAGACTGGCAAGGTATAATAACAAAATTACACTTTTAGAGTAACAAGTTCTAATGACAAAAGTACAAATTATGATATGCTGTCATTACATCCACCATTATACTCATTATAATATGACATTCTTTTTTTTTTTTTTTTTTAATTTGACATAGAGAGACACAGTGAGAGAGGTAACACAAGCAGGGGGAGTAGGAGAGGGAGAAGCAGGCTCCCCACTGACCAGGGAGCCTGATGCAGGGCTCGATCCCCGGACCCTGGGATCACGACCCCAGCCAAAGGCAGACACTTAACGACACCCAGGTGCCCCAATATGACATTCTATAAGACAACCTAAATTACTAAAATAACAAATGACCAAAGTACAAGTCACATTGATATTTTCAACTGTTTTAAGCACTTTTGGCAACTCAGCTGATCCATTCCCTTCCTTATCCCCATCACTTTATAACAGAATAATTTCCTCTCAATAAAATGAAAATGATAGGCCAAGAATAAGAAAAAAGAAACTGGCCACACACAAAGTATACTAAATTTAAGCTATGAAAATTTCACAGCAAATCACTAAAGATTTCAGATGAGAAGCCATAGCTCTTCAATAACCCAGTAACTCCTAAATCATATTTCTCAAGCCATCTCCACTAAGGTAGCCCTCAGTGCTTAAAACTAAATTTGAAACTGACCTCATTATCTCCCCTCTAACCTGCTCTTTCTCTACAGTTCCGTGAGGATAACCACTAATTAGAAACTGGATTCATTACTGACGCATCCTTCTTACTCATTCTCCACACCTAATCTATCACTGTCTTATGGATTCATTTGCCTAAGTATATCTGGAATCCATCTACTTCTCTCCCTTCTCCTTGTTACCAACCCAACTGATGATCACTTTTCCCTGAACTGTCACAACATCCTTCTTCCTTTTCCATCTGTGTAACTTTTATTTCCTTTTGTCTTACAATAGGTAGTACTTCCAATACAAAGTTGAAAAGGAGTGGTGTAAGGGGACATCCTTGCTTTGTACCCGATCTTAGTGAGAAAGCTTCTAGTTTCTCACCATTGAGTATATTGTTAACTATAGGGTTTCTGTAGATATTCTTTATCAAATCAAAGAAGTTCTCCTTTATTCCTAGTTTACTGTGAGATTTTAATCATGAATGTTAGATTTTGTCAAATACTTATTCTGCATCTTTTGATATGATCATTTGGTTTTTCATTTTTAGTGTGTTAATTCATTTTTGAATGTTAAGAACTAGCCTTGTTTACCTAATAGTTTTTTAAGTAGATAATAAGAGAACATTTATTTCCAAATAAATGTTTCATGGATATTATGTCCAAGGCACTGAGCTGAGGTACTGGGGTTCCTGAGAATATGACAACTGTTCTGCTTTTAGGGAATCTGTACCCTACAATGGAAGTAAGAATAGTTATAATAGGCAATTTTAGTGCAAGGAGTGTTACCTTAGGAAAAAGAATAGAATTCTGTGGGCACACATAGAAGGATCAGGGAGACCTGAAGGATGAATGAGTTAGGCAAAAAAGATGAAGAGTCTTCCATAGAGAAGAAACATCATATGTAACAGAGAAGTTGTTTACTGAGGCTGGAGTGGATTAAGGTGGGAAAGGAAGAAAAAAGACTTTCTTTGTTTGCAGATGATCCAGTCATCTGTGTAGACAATCTGAAAGAACTGACAAAAAAACTCCTGGAACCAATAAGTGATTATAATAAGGTTGTAGGATTCAAGATTAATAATATACAAAAGTCAATCACTTTCCTATAAACCAGCAAAGAACAAGTGAAATTTGAAATTAAAACCACAATAGCATTTATATCAGCACCACAAAAATGAAAATCTTAGATATAAATTTAACAATATATGTAGATTTATCTACATAAGGAAAATTATAAAACTGTGATGAAAGATATCAAGCAATCAAATAAATGGAGAGATATTCCATGTTCACTGATACAAAGATTCAACATGATCAAGATGTCAGTTTTTCCTGATTTGATCTACAAATTCAATATAATCCAAACTGAAATCCCAATAAGTTGCTCTAAAGTATATATAGAGAAGCAAAAGACCCAACATAACCAACATACCATTGGAGGAAAACAACAAAGTTAGAGGACTGACACTACCTGACTACAAGACTTACTGTAAAACTACAGTAATTAAGATAGTGTGGTACTGGTAAAAAACAGACACATAAGTCAATGTAACAGAAACAATGCAGAGAGCCCAGAAACAAATAAAACAAAATCATATATTTGTATATGCATCTTAACTATGTGTATATGTGTATATATTTATGTACATGCACTCAAAAGGGCATGTACATAAAACACAAATCAATATGGAAGAAAGTAGGACTAGTAAGCAGAACAAGACTGCTTCTTTTTAAATTATATAATTCTATATTACTTAATTTTTAAAGTAATTATACAATTTATGTGAATGTAAGTTTTAGTCAAACTACAAAGAAAGATTAAGCTGTGTTTAGGTGAGTAGCATTGATGATATTTAATAAAAGTAAATGATAAAATGTTGGAGATCAATAAAATTCAAGTGTAACTATGAACCTTTCGATTTTGGACTGGGTTCTTGTTCTTCCATTTTCCCGTGTTTTATCATCCTCTTTCTTAGGTGGAATTATTGTTGGCTCCAAACCAAATAATTCTTGAAGACGTCCATAAAGATCCGAACGATTATAGACATGAAATTCAAAGTCATTGACTGTGATGTATAATCTGGTTTCTGCCTTTGGATCTAAAGACACCGATTACAAAAAAAAAAGTTTTTAATCAACTTTTTAAAAACCTCACTCAAAGTTTTTAGTCAATCTTTTCTCACAGCTATGGTAACTCTATTTTAAAAATAATTCTATGATAAAGAGAATTTCAAAAACTTACAAATCTATTTTTAATTTATATAATATATAACATGAATATACAAAATAAAAATATATTCTTTTAATTTTTTTAAGTTTCTATTTTTTTAAAGATTTTATTTATTTATTTTTCAGAGAGAGAGCACAAGCAGACAGAGTGGCAGGCAGAGGCAGAGAGAGAGAATCAGGTTCCCCGCTGAGCAAGGAGCACAATGCAGGACTCAATCCCAGGAGGCGAAGGCAGATGCTTAACCAACTGAGCCACCCAGGCATCTCTTTAAGTTCCTATTTTTTTTTTAATAAGATTTTATATTTATTTGTCAGAGAGAGAGAGAGCATGCAAGCAGAGGGAGCAGCAGGCAGAGGGAAAAGCAGATTTCCCACTGAGCAGGAAGCCCGATGCAGGACTTGATCCCAGGACCCTGGGATCATGACCTGAGTTGAAGGCAGATGCTTAAATGACTGAGCCACCCAGGCATCCCTATAAATATATTTTAAAAATATATAAAACACTAGCAAAAGAAAGAAAAAAGCTGATGTTACTGTAGTATTCCAATTTAGCATTCTAAAACAATCTTGATTTCTAAATTCTGACTGTATAACAACAGAATTTAAGGATTTCTATGCTAAGAAAAGCAAAGTGCTATTTATAGACCAAAAGTAAAACTTTATCCTAACAATAAATTTATTATATATATATATATATATCTCTCAAAATGTTCAAAGTATGATACATTTAAATATTACATTAGTATTTAAATTTTTATATCACAGAAACAAAGATTTTTCATAAATACTAGTTTATTTTTTTAAAACTACACAATACTAAGGGACACCGGGGTGGCTCAGTTGGTTAAGCTTCTGTCTTAGGCTCAGGTCATGATCCCAGGGTTCTGGGGAGGGAGTCCCGCACAGGCTCTTTGCTCAGCAGGAAGCTTGCTTCTCCCTTTGCCTGCTGCTCCTCTTGCTTGTGCTCTCTCTCTCTCACTCTCTCTGACAAATACATAAATAAAATCTTACCGAAAAAAAATTTTTAATAAAACTACACATACTAAAACCAAGATCTTAAAAACTGCAGACTTGAAAGAAACAATAATCTTCTCACTAAGAGACATAATTACCTTAAATATAAGTAACAACAGGAATTATTAAATCCAACAACAAAATGATAGATGGGGCACTTGTTTCTACTGAGGAAATAATCTAAGACAGTTATCACATGTCAACTGAAGAGGGTGAGAAAAAAGTACTGCAGTGCTTTTTTTAAGTGTGTTCTTTTCTTATGTTATACATAGGTTTTTGTGAGGGTTATTTTTGAGATTACTTTAATTTTTATTCATTTTTCTATCAAATTCAACTGAAGGACAATTAAAATTAGATATGATCAGTTAGAACAGCTTATTTTTTTTAAATGGCTATGGAGAACTATTACTAACTTTCGTTATAGTAGCTTAAGCTGTGTTTAAATATGAAGTATACACCTTGAGTAATATGCCAAATTATACCAAAACTAATTTCTTCTCGAGTTACTAGAAAATAAAAAAGTGTAAGAAATGTCAAATACCTTAAACAAAATACATTTTAGTTTAAATGAACAAATGAAAAATACTGTCATTCATACCTCAAAAATAACCCATGGAAAATGAATCAACAACATTCATTTTTTATACAGTAATACTTTCATCTCTACTCCAATCTAGATTTTTTTCCCTCACCACTTCCTAAGATAAGAAAAGAAAAGATAAAAGAAAGGAGCTGTAATTTTTCTGGTATTTTTCAAATAGCTCTTGACCTATGTTCCCTCCTATTCAGATTTATCACAGGTCTAAAAACTAAGACAATCCCCTAAACTATTACAATCAAGTGTTTTTCCCCTTTCCTCTTGCTATAGATCAAATTCTTAAAATTAAAAGAATAGGAAGCACTGTTTTTTAATAAATTTGGAGCATTCAAAGACCTGATAGTAATAAATATCATCATCCATTTTTAAGTCAGTCATCAAACTCTATCACCTATTAGGTTTAAACCTTTCTTCGGTTATCATCCACAACCTCTTCCCAAAATGCCAGGGTCAACTATGCAGAAAGTTACTCAAATATTTCCAATGTGATACATTAATAGGTACTTCACACTTGACATTTCCAACGAAACATGTGCTTTTCTCGCATGACGAAACTTAATCCATGGCATTCCCCATCTTATCAATAGTAAGTCAATCTTTTCAATTACTCAAGCAAGAAAAACTGTTCTCTTTCCTGTTCCAGACAGTATCAGGAAATTCTGTCAGATTTCCTTTCCTTTTCCTATATCCAAAATCTAACCACTTCTCACCACTCTGGGTCAAGTCACTATCAACTTATACCTGTTTTATAATACAAGAGCCTCCTAACTAGTTTCCATGCTTCTACCCTTATTCCCCTTACGTGGGTACCTTACACATCTTTACAGATCTTCAAAAAACCTAACTGAAATCATATTACTCTTCTGTTCCCTAACTTTTTCATGGCTTCCCCTCCTACTCAGATTAATATCAAGGTCTTTAAGCTACCTAAAAAATCCTACAGGATCCATACTCTTTTCTCCTAATCTCTCTAAAAACTAGTCTCCACTTCGGTAATGATAGGAACAGAAAAACCAGGAAATGTTCTTCCCCCAGACATTTAAAACTCATTTCCTTACTTGTTTCATGTTTCTGTTTAACTCTCCCCAAACAATAAAACCTTCCTTGACTTCCCTATGTAAAAGAGCACCCTCCCCACAAACCAGCACTCCCTATTCTACTGAATCTGCTTTTATTTTCTTCAATGCCATATTTTCCTCACTCACTCCTCAACACTAGATATATTTACTTACTAATTACCTGAATCCCTCCCAACTTGAATGATGCAAGCTCTGTAAAAGAAGGGACTTGTTTTATCCAGTGTTGTATCCATGGTACCTACAATTCTTGGCACATAGAAGTACTCATTTATATGAAAGAATAACAGCATCTTACCACAAATCCTACTCTTAAGTAGAACAAAAATATCCACAAACGGATCTTAGAATTTTTGAAAACCCTACATGTAGAAGCATAATAACTGCAAAGTTGGATATTTTTCTATTTCCCCATTGATCTACACAAGTAGCAATTAAATTATTAAGCAATTCTTCAAGGTCATAAACAACTCAATCAAAATTTACCTCCAAACTCATTTAGGTCATTTGTTTTCAAACTTACCTACAGAATAGTTTACCATGGTTCCTAAATAAATGCCCCAATCATTAGCGACCATGTTATAAAAGCCAGTGGATGAGCAGCAGAAGCAGCAATGGGAAATATTAAGAGCCTGGACTAGCCCCTAATTGGATCGACAGTGATGAACAAACAAAAAGTGACTGAATAAAAATGGAAATAGGAATTCCTCTCAATTTCATAACTAACTTACTGGACATGCACAACTGATTCTCTTCTTTCGTATCACTGATAGGTTTGAATGTGGCTACATTAACTTAATAAGGAAACCAAGGCACAAAGATAAAGGTATTAATCTCTGAAAATATTTTGACAACATTGACAAACACTAAATACTTGATACTAAAATACTGCAAGATTCCCTCAACAATACCTATCCTATCTTCCCCAACTTTTTTTGCATTAATATTTACTTATTGTTGCTTCCCCCCACTAGAATGCAAAGTCCATTAGAGAAACATTTTTCCTGTTGTGTTTACTATTAAATTCTTAAAACAATGCCTGGTATATACGAGGTGCTCAATAAATATGTTAAATCATCAAATAGAAATAAGTGGGTTTTTTTAAAAAAAAGATTAAACACGGACATTAAGGAAGGCACATGATGTAATGAGCACTGGGTGTTACATAAGACTAATGAATCACTGAAATGAGCAACACTTCATATGTTAATTAACTGAATTTAAATTAAAAAATGAAAAAAAACAAAACAAGATTGAACAAAATGCCTAGATCACTCTTTTCCTTCCAAAAATCACTTTAGAAAAATAATAGCAAATCTACAAACATTTTAAATGCACCTATTGATTTTGTATTTTAGAATAGAAAGATTTAGCTGAATTCACAAAGGACTTTTTATTTGTTCTGCTGGTTCTATTTGTTTCACCTCCATTATACTACGATTCCAGCCAGCAAACTATATGATTAAACAATAAATCAGAACTCCACACCTGGCTTACCTGGCTATATTCTCTTCAGGGCCTTTGTCCAGGATCTTTTCTGTCAATAATCTCAGCTTTCTGTCATCCCCAGGAATATTCTATACAGCAATACCCTTTCCAGACCCCTACCCCATCCTAATATACACACAAAGATGCAAAGTACTGGCACACTTACAATCTCACACTCACACAGTAAGTCCATACAGAGGTACGCCACACGCAATGTGCCTGTTGATCTGGAAAGGTATCCTCATAAATAAATACCTCCACTGACAGATGAGCACATTCCTGAAAGACAAAACACCTTTTCCAAAGACATGTATCTCCTCTTCCAAGGAATGTGCATGTACACACACACATACACGTACACACAGCTTCTTTAATTAAAAAAAAAAAAAAAAAAAAAAGTTGGGGATTCCTGCACTGGATTCTCCAGAAACTGGAGAAAAGTAGTAAATAAATAATAGAAAGCCTATAGGTCTTTACTAATGTGACCTAAGGCAAGTACCTCAACCACTGTAAGCCTCATTTTCCCCATCTATAAAATGAGAATATGGGATGCCTGGGTGGCTCCTTCTGTTAAGCCCTAGTCCTGGTTCTCTTCTCATTGAGGAGCCTGCTTCTCCTTCTGCCTGCTGCTTCACCTGCTTGTGTGCTCACTCTCTCTCTGACAAATAAGAAAATAAAATCTTAAAAAAAAAAA